GGGGAGGGAGGGGGTTAAGGAGGGGTGGTTAGGAGGGGGCTAGTAGGAGGTGAGAGATTTAGGGAAGAGAGAGAAGGGGATATATGGGAGGGGTTAGAGGGGTGGGGGAGCAGGGTGGATGGATTGAGCGAGGTGGTAGGGGGCGGGAGGGCAGGCCAAGATAAGTAACAGTGATCATACACAGGTGACTGGGAGGGGAGGGGGAGGGGGGGTTGGGGAAGGAGGTGTTGTTGATGAGTATTTCTAAAAATGTTCCGAGCAGCATGTGTGAGACTACCCCGGTGTACCTCCACCACCCTCCACAAATACACAACCCTGATGGCCAACATAACAAAGAGGTGGTTCATGGTTAGCGTCAGGACTTTTAATAATTTACAGTACGTTAGTTTGATGTAGGGAGATCTAGAGTGAAGGAGGGAAGTAGGAGAGAGAAATGAAGGGGGATGGAGGAAGGGTACAGAGGGAGTTTAGTTTGGAGGGTGGAGAGAGAAGGAGGAGAGCAGGTGTCACTGTAAGGAAAGAGAAGGAAAAGAACTGAAAAGGAATGAATGAATGAAGGAATGAATGAATGAAGGAAGGAAGGATAACAAGTGCTATAGAAGGGAAGAGTAAAGAGAGTGGTGAGGAGAGAGGACAATATCATCAGAGTCGTGTTCCAGGATGACAGTGATAAACAAACTGTAATTGCAGATCATCTGTGTAACATAACATTTAATTTAATAACCTCTTTATTATCAGTAACATAAAGGAACTACAGTACAATAATTGCTTTGTGTACAGTATAAACATAATTTGTGAATAACCTTTGTAACTTAAGAGGTGAGATAACGATTTAAATTGAGTTATGTAAATGGACTCTGGGTTATGTTGTGGAAGCCCAGCATGTGTGGAAAGTGGGATGTAGGGGTGCAGTAGGGTCCATTTCTAGTATATATCTCTTGAAGTTTTAGCTAATACAATATTTACACATTAAGGTAATTAACTCACATCAATGAGTTTAAGAGTTTGCTATTATAGACTATTAATTAATCAAGACCGGGTTAAATAGTAGTTATGAGCTTATCACGAGTAATGGTGGGTGATGGTCGTCCTTTGTGTGTGTTTGTTGATAAGGAGACTCAGTAAGGTGCTTTTAGTTCAGTCTATGGAAGCCACCACGTTACCAGAAAATTTGTTAGTTGCTGTACTGGTTTTGCTCTCTCTCTAATCCTTCTCCTTCACCGTTCCTTGACCTCTTATTCTTTCCCCTCTCCTTCTTCATCCCCTTTTTCCATATATTCACCTCCTTCTCTATCCTTCCTTATCCTCCTAATTTATACTATCTTCCCTTTTCTTCCTCCAGCCTCTTGTTCCATATATTCTTTTCCTCTTTTCTACTCTCTCTCTCTGTTTAATACTCTCGTGTAATAATAAATAAATAACATACCATTAATGTTTACGGTGACCAAAAGCAGCCAGTCATTACATAGTACTCACCACTCATAGATCATACAGTATTTCTCTTGGGGGTCAGCGTAAAATTAGATGCCCTTGCTTATTTCACCGTGAGATTAACCCATCCTTAATGCTAACCTAACCTAATCTAATCTACCCTGACCTGATCTAACCTAATCTACCCTGACGTGATTTAACCTAACATAATCCTCCCTCCCTAGTTAGCATTGGGTTGGTTTATCTTTTATGTGATCTCTTTTGGGCATTGAAAATAGTCCCTTACTATGTTTTTTATTTGTCTTTAAGGGTGGAAGGTCAAGAGGTTAAAGTCACGTTAACACAGAGAGTCAAATTAAGTTTCTAGAAATAAGTAAATGATGGTTTTGTTGAGCTGTTCTTGGTCAAGTCAACTTACTGTACTGCATACAATTGTTTGTATGCCTGCACTGTCTGCATGCACTGTTTGTATGTTTTGTACTGTCTTGGCTTCTAACTACATTGTTTGTTTACCTGTATTGCCTAGATACATTGTTTGTATAGCTACACTCTAGGCAAACTGGTTATGTACATGCTGGATCAATGTAAATTTATATGATGACTTTACATAATATTGTACAGTACATATATAGTTATCTTTCTACATTATATATCTGTCTATCTAGCTTAACCATATATATACCCGAGCTGTAAACTTCTTGCCTTTTCTATTTTCTCTCCTTCCCCACATAGTGTAAACTGTTTACATCCCAGTTTTGTTTTATTCATGCCACGGTGTAAACTGTAAACTTCTGGGAGAGGGAGATTGGTGTTAGGTTTCTATGAGGTCAGATTAATGTTCTTGTATTTGAAAATTACTGTACATAGAATATAATATAGTACTCGTACAGTACAGTAGTAGTAGTAGTAGTAGTAGTAGTAGTAGTAGTAATAATAATAATAATAATAATAATAATAATAATAATAATAATAATAATAATAATAATAATAATAATAATAATAATACAGTACTGTAATAGAGAATAGTGTAATTAACAAATACTGTACAGTAATAATATTAATAAGGTACAGTGATGATAATATTGATAATAATACAGTAATACGTACAGTACAGTAATACTAAAACTCTCAATTGGTGGTACTGTACTGTACTGTCCTGTAAAGGCAAACTTTTTGGAGTGAGAATTGTGAACTCTTGGAACAATCTGCCCTCGAGTGTTGTGACGTCACTGAGTGTGAACACGTTCATGGCCAGACTTGACCAACACTGGAGTAGGTTCCAATATATTCAGGAGCCAGTTCATGCCCAATACAGTGGTCCCTCAGTTAATGAGCGCCTCGGTTAACGAGATTTCGGTTAACGAGTTACCTTCCATAAGATTCTTAACTTCGGTTAACGAGACTTCGGTTAACGAGTTACCTTCCATAAGATTCTTAACTTCGGTTAACGAGCAATCCCTCGATTAACGAGTTTCTTACGAGCCGACCTCAACATGTTTTCGCTTGCATTTGGCAGTCCACCAGCTGTAGTATTAGTCTGCCAATACAGTAATCAGTTCTAGGACTTATATTCCTTACTATTTTAGTAAATATCAAGAAGTTTATACTAGTCAATAATTTTAAAAGTTTAATATTAAATTTCTTAGTCAGTTTAACAATCATTGAACATAATTGAAGGTAAGGAAACTAGTTTTATGCGCGCCATCCAGCCTGGCAACACACCAAACAGGCGCCAGTCTCTCTGTCTTTTCTGTGTTTGCAAGCAAATTATTGGTCATTTTGAAATTTATTTTACATATTGACAATATATAATGCAGTGCGGTGTTGATTTAAAGAAAATAATCTTGAATTACACCAAGAGAACTAAAATTTTATGGGTGAAATGGCGCCATGGGGTGACTTCTCTTCCACCCCAATGCCTTCTCTTCTCCCTTCTCCTCCACCCCCAGTCTAATTCCCATCATCATCATCATCATCATCATCATCCAGGAGCCATCTACATACACACCTCAAAGTTAGTGTACTTTTCTACCTTTTTTTGTTGAATTTAGGCAATTTTCGGTGAGCTGGAACCAATTACCCAAAAACCCATTGAAACAATGGTTTCGGTTAAAGAGCAACCTTCTAGAACGGATTGTGCTCGTTAACCGAGGGACCACTGTACTTGCCAACAGTGCATAACAGAGTCATGAACAACTGCCCACGCGGCTAACGAGCCAATCGGTGGCGAAGAGGATAAAAGTATAAAGTAAAGTACGTACAATACAGAATATATGTACCGTACAGTGTAAAAATTATCTTAATTCTCCGTTATTTAACTCTCCACACTGCTGATAAACCCTTTTATTATTCATATTTTGTTTATCTCTTATTTATTGTTTAAATAAGTTTGTACAGGACATCATGGTGTAATTAAGGGTGTTTTAATACCTTTTTAATGGAATACCTTTACTCTTATTAGCATTATAATTGAAGTACATTCTATTTGGTTTTGATTTTACATGTAATTACTGTAATCCTGTAATTTATTAGGTAATTAGTCTAAAAAACATGGAAATTTATCAGTTAATCTAATGAAATTCAGTTCTGTAAATTAGAATAATATATATTGTACAGGTACGATTGGGGTCAAAAGCCTTGAACACTTGGCAGTATTTGGCATGTAAGTACCCGAAGATCTTAGGTATTAAGGGGAGTTTTATCCCATTTTGTGGTTCAGGCATAATATGTGATGACAAGTAGTGTTATTAGTATATCCCAATCATATATGTATAACTCTGAAGTAGATGCCAGATATTGCTAGGGTTCAAGACTTTTGACCCCGACTGTACATAATACAGTAGATAAAAAAAAATAATAAATATTGTACTGTAGATGCTCAGTACTGTATAAGCATAAGGTTTATTGAACTCTTTATTGTATACATGTACAGTATCTAGTTCTGTTTAATCATGACTTGAAACCTTGTTAACCTCTGCATAACCCAACCAGCTTGAATAATTGATACATCTTAAGAAATATGTAACAGCCTTGAAAGTCTTCTTAAATAGCCAGAACTTAGCAACTTGTATACAGTACAGTATTTAATCACAAAGTCTGGATTATTGACCCAGGAGAGCCTTCATATTGATAGCCAAGACTAACACATGAATTTGTTAAGTTTCTTTTCATAATCAAGTTCCCAAAGGATCTGTAAGGGTGAATGTCACCAAGGAAAGAAGGGAATTCAATTGTTCCACCATCATAGTACAGTATAATAACTAGTATGGTTGACCTGAGTGATGGTGAAGGTGTGCCCATGCTGTTGTAATGTCAAAGGATTGTTGTCTTTTAATAGTGTTTCTCATATTCCAAGATCCTATTTACGACTTTGTCTTGAAGGGAAGAAATAACATGTACTTCATGGATCAGTCGCAACCTCTAGTGTTCACAGTTCTGTCGAGGCCCTAAACACATTGACATTGACTGGTATTATAATTCAGGAGTTATTCAACGAATAATATTGTAAAAATAGGAACATTATAACCAGTATCAACTTCTCTCAAAACTAATTAATTTTTCTTCACCAGTATTCACAAGTTCATCTCCATCACCCGGCCGTTCTCAAGGTCTGTGACGCCGGGGAAGATCGTGATGATGATCGTTGCAGCGTGGACTTGGACCATCTTGTTCAACCTCACTCCCACACCTCTCATTGGTTGGACTAAATCAGGTGAAGTGATGTTTTTATGGTCTAGGGTGGGTGTTTCACAAGTGATGTAAATTCTCCATGTGTACAGTATCCCCTGGGCAACATGCAGTGCCAGATATCAAGACACATAATCCAAGAAGACAAAGTTTTGCAGCATTGCAGCCTTATCACCCAGTTGAATATGGATTTACTGTAGATCCAGATTTTGTAGTTGTCTTGACTTGATCTCATTTGCTTTGAAACCCACTTGATCTTATATGAAATGCACTCTAGTACTCAGTTCATTACTCATAGCCAGACTGTCAACACCTTTGAAATAACATCCTTTGGACAGCTTTGAAAGAATGACAACAGTATTTTTTCTTTCCCTTTCCTGATATGTAATAATAGTACTTTTGTTTTATAATCTTGGTTTGTATCTCTCATCTTTTGGTTATGTTCTATCTCTGATCAAAAAATGAGAATGTTGCTTACATTTGGAGATAAATTTGTCGTTAAGTGCTGTCACCATCAGGTGGTGTGCAGCCAAGTAGATTATATGTGTTCACCGCCTATCCTAAGACTTTTGGTTCATACCCAGGCATTCCTAGTTTGCTCAGTTGCAAAGGGTCTATTAACTTTTCAGTTTAGGAAGAGAAGGTGGTCAAATACAGTACTCGCCACACTGCCTCACTGAGTACCAAAGGCTTAGTATACAGTTCACACACAATTTCAGGGTCTCAATTGTTTCTCTTACTTTGACAACACAACATATATACCTGTATATTATTTTTTAACTATTGATATTTGTTTTACATTTTTTATTTATTTACGGTTATCATTATTATTATTTTATTTTTTCATTAAATTTTTTATTCATTTTAATTATTATCATTATTATTATTATTATATTTTTGCCCCCCAGGCCCCAATGTGGGTCAGTAACCTGTGCCCGGGTGGGCTAATCCCGGTAAAAAAAAAAAACGATATTGTACAATACTGTACTTAACATACATTTGCCTTTTCTACTCTTTTCTTTCATAATTATTATAACTTCTTGATATCTAAAGAATAATATCTGAGAAGCTATAAATACTACTTTAAAAGCAGCTATAATTTGACCATGATGTAATGTTCCCGTGTAACCTTGCAGTGTACAAGAAAGGAGCTTCACAGTGTGGCCCTCCCCCACCAAAAGCGAAGATGCAGTTTGTCCACGCTGGCCTCAATACCTCCGTCAACCTGGTCATCCCCATCATCGTCATGAGCTACTGTTACTACCGAATCTTTAAGGAAGTCAGAGATCATCTTAGTAGGTCAGCAATCTCAGATTATAGTATTTACAAGAGCTACATCTCTCTTTTGTTGACAGAATAGATATTACATAGAAATATCCCCAAGTTAGGTGATGGATAAAGACTCTTCATGGCAAAAGTCGATCACCCGTAAAGACCCCTTATTATGAGTGTTTAGGCAGACCCCGGGTTACGAACGGGTTCCGTTAAAAAAGATGTTCTTAAATTGAATTGTATGTAAGTTGGAACAGAGCATATAATATATAAGTACATGCACAGAATAGTAGTAAATACTGTACAGTATAGGAACACATACAGAATATAATGTTAGTATTGTACTGTACACACACAGTAAATAACAAACAATAAATTTAGGAACACAATATATTTAATACTAATAGAGGTAGCCTATATAAGAAGCATTAAAAATAGGAACACAATATTTAATTTCCAACACTTACTTTTAATCCTAATGGAGGCTTGCATGTAGGAAGGGGAATTTCTAGAAGAGAGACCAGCTTATTCAGATGATAGTGGAGAAAGTGATGATGGTCCCTGTAGTGATAAAGCATAAGAACCTTCAATAACCGAGGTTCTATTCAACTCATAACACAGCACATATCTGCAACAAAGCAAAACACGACCGATTTAATGGGTTGTAAATTACAAGTATGATTTCACACAAACAATTAAACCAATATTATGACAGTCCCACTGTTGGTTCTGGGGTTGCTTCTGTGGTGGATGGGACTGGTTCTGGCTGCCTTTCAAACTTCTTAAAAAATTGCTAACAAAGTGAGGGCAAGTGTCTTCCACACACCTTTCATATTGGTTTGCTTTACTTCATCCCATGCATCTGTACTATTCTTTACTGCATCGTACATGTTGTACGACCTCCAAAATTCCTCACCGATTAATTATCGCACCTAATGCATCGGGAAATTCACTTGCTGCAGCATGATCAGCACTACTGCTTCCCCCAGTATTTTAATGTTATCAAGATTTTCTCTCCCTTTAAATCTATAGAATCACTTTCTACTAGCAAGAAATGTTCAGTCCTTAGTCTGCATACAAACTATTCACTTTCTCCTGAGTCATCATTAGGTTCTTGGGCATATAAGGCTGATTCTAATCAAGCCAAATTATTGAGTCTTTCCATTTCATTAATCAGCCTATGTATTTTGTTTCATAATCACTGTAGCCACTGATATGTTCTTATTACCACCATGCTATGTGTACGATTGTACACAATACTAAATGTCACATATTACTGTACTTCCTTGAGATAAATGTACAGTATAAATCAGGTGCCTATAAGAGAGCTCGGGATTTCAATTGGCTCAGCCATGTTAATACAGTACTGTATTATAATTTTTATCGACTCTGTATCTATGTTCTTCCGGCAAAATATACTGTTTCAATATCACCGGTACTGAGCACTTAACATGTTCAAGAATACACTCTTTGTCTTACAATTTTTCCGATGGTTGACTGACTAAACCCCAGGGCTTTATTAATGTTCGTTGGCATCTCTTCCTTCTCAGATCATTTTATTACATCCACTTTCACTTCCCTTGTAATTGTTTTCCCTTTCTTTGATTCACTACCAGCACTTGTACCCAAAGTGCATTGGTAAGGCATGAAATGGCATTAAGGCACCTAATCATCAGGTGAAATAGGGTAGGGGAGGGGCTAATTCTTAAAACGTTCCACATTTGACTTTTTATATCCATATTTTCATTTTATAGTATGAATCAAAAAACTTTTTATGATGTAGGAGTTTCAGAATCTTATATTTTCAACTATTACAGGATGAGAGACTTTGCTGATGCAAGTATGCGTTGCTCTCTGATACAACAGAAGCGCATCACAGAGACACTCTGTATTGTGATGTCGATGTTTGTGTTGTTCTGGATGCCCTACATCGTGTATTCTCTCTCTCTTGTGTTCCTCGGCCAAGAGAACGTTTTAGAAGTGTTCAACCCAATAGTGAGTAAATCCTTCTTGTTCTTGTATTGTTTTATTTGTACTATACTGAACTCTCAAGACTTTTATCAGTAATGCAAGGTAGCCACAGACAAGAAGGAATACCCATACATTTTCCTTAATTTAATTTATACAGCACATGTAAAGACTATGTAGACTTAACTACTGTACTGCATGCACAGGGTGATTGAAAAGTCTCTGTGCATTTGAGATATTTAACAATATCCTGGAGTTATATACCCTGTACCTTTCTGTGTTTACAGTAAATGTTGGAAATGGTCACAGTAAATGTTAGAAGTGGATACCATTTCCAATTTTTACTGAAAACACAGCAAGGTATCAACGGAGGTATAACAAGAAACAACTGTGCAGTACTGTATTGTAAATTGTTGTAGGTGCATTGGGAATTTTTTACCATGTAGTATTGAAGCTGCTTCCTGATATATGAACTTAAATTAGGTAAATCTTTCCTCTTGACTATTGTGTATTCCAAATCCTCTGAGGAGTGGCCATTTGATCTACTACTTTGTCCACTTTATTCTAATGTCATAAACTGTACCTTAATTTGGTACACATTCATACTTCAAAAAGTGGTGTTATGTTGAAAATATTAAATGATAACAATCTTTGACAGCATTTCCATAATTTTAACTCAATAAACTTGGGAGATTTTCACTTGAGTACTGTATTTGTTTACTGCACTGGGAGACTGAATAGCAAACTTTTTACAGTACACAGTGTATCAATATATACTGTACAGGTACAGTGTATGCATCATAACAAATGCTTTACAAATTCTGTTAATCATCAAAATTTGAAGAAAGGTTTTCAGTAGTAAATGATGTGTATGACCATTAAATTTTCAAAAGTCTTTCAGTCTTTACATGTATACTGTATAATTATGTCATTGATAGACTTGCCTCTCACTATAATGACCCAGAGTTCATTTCTGGGTCAAATGTGAGAAGAGTGTTCTCATTGCTGACCTTTCCAAACAATTGGTCTTATGAAAAACAAACTCATCAAGAAAAATGGAGGGATTAAGCAAGCTACTGGCAACCATCCCCTTGACAAAAAGTTTAATTTCTTTTTTTTCACATTTCCTTATCATAAATATTAGAGCAAGTTAATAAAGGCATAATACAGATACAATAGTGACATACATACACACTACATTCACCATAATCTAAATACCTCCTGTAATATGGACACTACTTAAGGAGTCCCTGTTGCCTAAACCAGTAATACCTGTATAACTTAATAATGTGGAGAATATGTTTTAAGTACAAGCCACTCAGCAGTATAGTGATAGAGGCAGGCAACAGTGAGGGAAAATTCTTCAAGTCTGATAAGCACAAACAGTATTGTACTATATTCAGTATTGTAATGAAATAATCCTGAAAGCACAATAATTTTCCAGGGGTACTTATTTGGTTACATGAACTCAGCATGTAACCCTATTATCTATGCACTTCGCTCACCCTCATTTCGTCGTGGCTTCAGTGAGATCATCTGCAGAAACCAGGGGGGTACACCAGGTGTGTTCATTAACCTTGTTGTCTCTTACTTTAAGCTAATTATTGTATCTTATTGTACATAGTAGATGGTGTAAAGACTGCCAATAATGTATCAATTTTTAGTATATATAGTATTACTAGGATTGTGTCTACAGTATATGAAACGCTGTGTTATGACAAAAGAAAATGCTCGGAATTTGCATGGCAATAATTGTAACTTTGATAATTGAAACAAGTAACATTTTGAGAAGACTTGAGGTTTTCACTTACTCAGGTGTTACACTAACCACTTGCATATGTGGAGCAGCTTGTGTAAGGAATATTAAGTGATACCTGTACTGTACTTGCTTACCGGTATACTTTTTTTTTATTTTGTGTGCTGAAAACGACTAGAAATTCAGTTGTATGGTTCGAGAGGATGTTTCACGATAGGATGACAAGGGTGTATAGAGATTAAAGGGATGAAGAGAAAAAGAAAAGTTACTAACATTCTGGACAAATGAAATGGTGATGTAGGAGGGGGGGGGGGAGATGTACAGCAGAGTACCAGTAGGTGTAACTAGGATGGAATGAGCTTGTGAGGTGTGACGAGACAAAATCTGAGGGATCACAGCTATAGATAGGTGATAGTGTTGGATTACAATGGATTGGCAAGTGAGTGCAGGATACTTTTCTTCAGTCTTATAGTTTTTCTGCTTGCTTATCATTTCCTTCCTCACTACAAAGTGCAATAATTGATATCCTTTGATTTATGCTGCTAATGCCATATCATCATACATGTATGTACAAAACATCCAATATTCTATATTAATACTAGTTTCTTTATATTCTCTTTATTTAGCAAACAGAGGGAAGAATACTGGTAATGAAATCTTTTTTAATTCCACATATACTTTTCCATTTGATCTTTTAAATAAATCCTGTGTTCCTCATCTTTAAGCCATACCATACATGTGGTATAAGTTTTGTCAATCATCATAACTATTACTGTACTTCTTTGTTTGTTTTGATATACTATACTTTAATCAAAAAAGTCATACCTGCAGTGGTTCATTAACTTTATATTAAGAGGCCAAGTATTTACAGCATATTCCTTAAGTGGTGGTTCCCTCATCCAAGGACGGTCAACCATTAGAAGAACGGTCACTGGTAAGGTTACGCATAGAGGCAGTTTTGGGAAATTGTCTGCTTTTGCTTCTGCTTTATTAAGGAGTCTCAGTATTAAGTGTTGTCAACAGTATATGTGGGAATTTTGGGGTGTCTTGAAACTGCTAAATTATCTGATTTGTGGATTTTTATCTCAGTATTTTTTTTTTTATGTACCGTACTGTACCAATGTCTGTGTGATATATTATGTGAGGTGGTAATCAAGAGAATGGCAGACCTGAAAACCCTTCCACATTTTCATTTATAATTTGCACCTTTAGTTGTCATTATATTTAAAAAATGTATGTTTCAGTATCTAGGACTGTCATTGGAGGAGATAATTTGGTATCCTATTTTTAGTCATGTTCCATGTTGGTTGTGTTTGGTATGAAGTGTAGTTTCTTAGTGAGGGAAAACTTTGAGGGCAGTTGAGTGTTAAGTGAGTATTTACTATATATAATACCTGTATAGGGAATACTGTACTGTACTATACTGTACGCTAAGAGGCAGAATGTGTACTGTATGTATTAATCCTCACGCAGCAGCACCATTAAGCATTATCACATGAACATACCAATTACAGCACTTAACTTCACAGTAAATTAATTTTCTTGCACAATAATCTTTGGAATGAGTTTCCTTACACACAATTGAGCTTTGAAATTAAAACCAAAAAGGCATCATGGGAGAGCTTTATTATTTATTATGGACTCATCACTGTATAATTGTATCTTTTTAAGTACAGTACAGTATGTAATTATGTTAAAAAGTAACCATCACTAACTATTATTTACTAATATAGGAAGCTGATCTGTTTCGACTCAACTCTTACAATGAATAATACCTAAAGAAAAATATACAATACGTACATCTGAAAATACAATACAATACTGTATTTATGAACTCAAATTACTTTTCAATTTGAAGGGATTCAGGTAACTAAAGTGGCAGAGCTTCTATAAAATAGAAGCACCACAAGTCCTGGTTTATTTTAAGTTCTTCATTAATAGATTGTTTGGTGTTTGGATGACTTCTTACTGTTGGAGAATGCAACCAGTAATTGTAAAGAGGATTTTCCCTCTTATTCTGCACATTCCCTTTATCTGCTTTTGAATACTGTACAGTATTATACCTCTGTGGCCCCGGTCAAGTATAAAGAAGAGATGGGAAAGGAGTGTTCTTGAGTTAGCAACAGGATTAACACTGCAAAACCTATCATCTATCAGTTATATTAAGTTGTCAAATGTAGGCCTAAGCCAAGTTCCTTGAGAACAAATTACAGTTTCTATGGAAATTATATACGGTACTATATGGTCTTACAGTGGCAGGGTTATAAAAGGTAAACTGCCTGTCTTTGTTGACACCTGCCATCAGGAGTTGTAGAGGAGTCATAATGGAACTTCCTGCCCATGTTTAAAGTACAGCAGCATGACTCCTTCACTGTACTGTACTGGTTCAATATTTTCCTTTATGCTTAAGAGAATGTAATCATAAAACTTGAATTATAGGCCATCAATAGATACCCAGACAAGGATGTGTTGTGCTGTCATCCATAATCCTTGTTTTATTTCCGACATAATTGATCACAATTACGTGAGATTTATAATCAGTAAAGGAGTATTTTCAGTTGATTCTGGTAATTTGTGATTTATTAACACCCGTACAATATTTATTCAAGAGGTTTTGAATTCTATATAATGATGCTTTTTTGGTTTTCATTTACTGTATATATTTTAGATTTTGAATTGTTGTAATTTTGAATTTGTGTACAGGAAATTATACAGCTGGTGGGTAATGTGTAGCTTAGACACGGCTTATGACCATCAACTGTTGCTTATTGTGTTGTTGTGTCCCTAGGCAGCCAAGAAACGTTTGTGATGAATTATGTTATGGGGGATCTAAAGTCATGTTTATATGAAGGTGCTCACTGTTGCTGATTTAACCCACAGATCACTCTGTTGTATTTTCCGGGGATGACAGAAACTTTATAGAGTACATGAACCTTCACAATTTGGGGGACGAGAGATACCCTGTGTTTGAGTGCAGCATCCGTCCCTCACGGACACTCACACCCCAGTGTGCTGTAACACTAACAAAGGCAGTGCACTTTCCTCAAGAATGATCTTGATTTAAAGATCACTTTTAACTTTAGAATTGAAATTTTAATAGATGGTCAGTATTTTTGGCAGTATTTTTGCATGGGTGATGGGGAAAAAACTGGTGATGGCATTCATTTTGATTGATTGGTGGTGGTGGGCCTGCATTACTTACTGGTTCTGAGGCATTTTTTTTTAAACATAATAAGTAATTTATAACACTCTTAATTCTCCAAACGACATGTAATGAATAACTTTCAATCACGTACAACTGAAAGATGATTTAGAAATAATACAAGCCCGAGTTTTTAATTTAATTTGTTGATGTCGACTTAAAGGCACATAAGGTACTGTACAGTTCAGTATTGGCATATCTTTGTTACATTCTCATGGAGGCCTTAATTGGACTTTGATTTTATTGTGTGGTCAGGGATATACCTGTAAAGGCTTCACTGTTGTATGCTAAGTAAGGTAACTCACGAAACAAAAATTACTGTAAGTTGGAAAACTTAAGACTTTGGTTACATCAGTACTCACTATATTGTTATACATAAAGTTAGGATAATTATATATATATCAAATGTACATTCTACAAACACTTAAATATTGCATTAATAAATTGTCTTTTGCAGTATGAAGGTCCCATTATGATAGAATTTTTGCTCTTTTAGTAATTTTATATTTTAAATTAATATTGTTTCTTAAAAGTGCTAATTTGTGGGAGGAGAAACTGTTAAGATTTTGGATCACCTAAAGAGTCACTCCCAAGTTTAACTCACCTGGGGAGCAAATCTTTAGGTGCAATAAGCTGGGGGGACAAATCTTTGGGTTAAATAAGCTGGGGAGCAAATGTTCAGGTGAAATAAGCTGGGGAGCAAATGTTCAGGTGAAATAAGCTGGGGGAGCAAATGTTCAGGTGAAATAAGCTGGGGGAGCAAATGTTCAGGTGAAATAAGTTGGGGGGGGGGGATAGGGGGCTTTATCTTGAGGTGATCTAAAATGTTTACATACTCTGGTCATTAATACTGCTTTTCCAGAAACTGTGAAGCTGCAGGAGTGTTCACAGCAGGATGGAGACACACCAAAGGCCACTATAAATTGCATAGAAACTAAGGAATGTTAACTGCCACTAATGCTACCGTACTTGCGGGGTAAATTATACATACACGATATACTTCTCAATGGTGTCTGCACTTACAGTTTTCTTGTATGCTTTATTAAATTGTTTTGATGTTCGTGTTTGGTCTATTTTGGATGTTTTCAGGGGAAGTTATATCCATCAGTTGCTGTTTTATGAAACTTCAAAAGTGTTCACCTGTGACGATGTTTCCTCTGCTTTTCTTTTTGCCTTCGTACAACTCGATACTTTTATTGCACATAATTAACACATGAAATTTAAGAATACAGAATATCCTATAATTTTCATTTATTAAATTTTCCACATACAGTACAGTACTGTGTTGTATTATTGTACATGAGGAGAAATTAAACAATGAAGCAACTGGCCGAGTGACTGTGTGTATGGTGATGCGTGATGAGTCTCTTGTCTTCAAATGATTTTGGGACCAAGTAAATCAAAGCTTTGGAATTTTTTTTTTCATCAATCAAATCTTCGTAAATTGAGTTCTGGCCGTATAATACTTTATTCTCACATCTTTCAGAGTTGATTTATGTCTGTGTAACAGAAGCAGTGTAATATGATGTATGAAAGCTAATGAACCAATAGAACTCTTTGCCTTGGGAAGAAAGATGTATTTTAGAAATGTTTACACAAAATCTTGGGTAGACTTTATACAGTATCTGTGAAGGTCACCAATTCACCATAATTAAAGTTTGATCATGAAAACCACTTTATAAGTTCTGTATTGCATTTTTTATTTTATAAACTCAAAGGAGTAAAAGAATTTAATATCAATTGTCCTATGTGTTGCAAACTTTACCTAAAATATGTTGAGGTGGTGGGCATTGGTTTATGTTGTTGTTAATTCAATTTGGTTAAATTTTGACACAGTCTTGCATGTTATATTAACTATTTTTTCCCTTGTACGTATAATGCTTTGTGTGCCTTTTACAGTACGTACTGCAATTTTTTTAATAAAATTGTTTTTAACTACTGTATTTGATAAGTACTTCACTGTAAAGTTATTTGATAAACTGTAGACTTTCACTAAATCTAGACAAAATAAAAAATGTATTGTATATTCTTTAAGGGTATTGAGTGCATGAATTTTTAGTTTAAAACTGTAGAACTAATCATGAGGTATATGTACAGTACTGTACAGCCAATATGCTTTGTGCTTTAGGAAACTATACAGTACAGTATTTCAATGATATCTCCGTGAGCTGGAACAATTGGTACGAAGCACTTCCGGGAATGAGAGATTTCCGGGTAACGAGACGACTCTCTCAAAGCCGGAAAAAAAAATCCCCCATCCCCAGACTTTTCCGGGTACCAGAAATTTTTTCTCGGAATTTCCGGAAAATGCGCCCGATTTTCATGTCTCAAACCCGGAAAAAATACCCCATCCCCAGAATTTTCCAGGTATCAGGAAAATTTCATGGAATTTTCCAGAAAATTTGCCCCTTCGGAAAATCTTTCCCAAAGCCGGAATTTTCTGCAAAATTACAGCTATTGGAGAGTTCCGGGTTTGAGGGATTCCAGCTAATGGAGATATTACTACCTGTATTACCTTGTACTATCAGTTTATTTATGGCCATGAATTATACTGTACAGTACTCTGAAGTTTGGCTCTTTTTTGTTATTTTATACTGTACAGTATTCTGAAATTTGGCTCTTTTTTTGTTATTTAAGTTATGAAACTTACACGGTTATATTTACAGCCATTACAGATAGATCACAATATGATCGTGTCCCAGTGTCAAACCAGTATGGAAGGATGATAGTGTCATTCCGGCAGTCACTGGGGAGAACTGGAAACAAGAGCAGTAAGTTGAGGCATTCTGTATACTTTCCCATGTGTCCAGGCATTATCCACAAGTTCTTTAACAGTTGTAGCCACAAAGATGAATAAAATTTGACAGGATTAGCAACAAATAATGTACTGGCATATAGCAGGATAACAAATGAGGAACTTTTCTAAGCATAACAATTTCTTTAGGGTTTTGCACACTACCATATATTGACACATGTTAGGAGTTTTGAAAAGCATATATGTACCTGTCCTGGTAACTGTGTGACGAGATTTTTATTGAATGTCACAAGTATTCTCCTGGCAGAGTCATTCCACTTTACCTTCAATATTACCATAATCCCCAGCACCTTGTTCATATGTGCTCCAATGCATCCCTTTCACACCAAGGCCAGAACCTGACTATGCAACACTGCTCACGGGGTGGGGAGATTTTCTCAGCCTTCATCTCTTGCCTACACCGTAATGAGTTAGACCAGGCTGGCCAGGCACTGCTCTAAACCAAACAGGATGTAGAATGGTTTTCATTAATTTTATCTAGACAAGTGAACTATATACAGCACAGGTATTGTCAAATATATAAGTAAAATTTTATTATTTGCAGAAAGACGTGTATGCAGTGCTAAGAACAAGGAATGTAGGCAACTTTCAAGCACTAATCAACAAAAGACAGCTGTTGGTGATCTGGCAGCAGTAGAAACTGAAGGACAAGCTAATTATACAGCAGATCTGCCCATGAGTCCTCAGAAAAACATTTACAGATGTTATGATAAAAATGAAGGAAAACAACCTGTCACAAACTGTAGTTCTGGAAATGTGATTCTGACAGAGTACAAGGAATCATCCACTGCCTCAGAAGAGATGCATCATGACCCGTTTGCTTTCTCAAACAACGATGTGAGTATCAAATATGACTCGGGTAATATTTACCCTAATCATGATAACTCAGACATAAAAGACTGTGAAATGTCGTCTGTAAATGAACAGAATGTACCCGAGGTCTCAGTGCCACTTACAAGTAATGACTCTTTTGATAATCTTGTCAGTGATATATCTGATGTGAGCTGCAGCAAACAGAGCCATGTGAGTGTCATTATTCCAGACCATCAAAGAGTTGTGGAGGCTCATGTGCCAAGTTCTTCACAGTCTGATATTACAGGGCTGCAGTGGCCATCTCTCAGGGCTCAGTTCCCAGACAAATGTGTAACGAGGAGTCACCGAGAAATAATTTTTACTACTACGAACATTATTACTAAACATATTATAAAGTCGGCTTCTATGGGGGACGTAAGAACTACCCAACCCTTCTCCCAGCTAGAAAAAAGCCCGTGTTCACCACAAATAAAACCTCCCCAACACCCAAAAGGAAAGCAGCGCCCATGGCTTCTTGAGTGGCAGCCAAGTGTGGATAATCTTTATGGATCACCGATTTTATCTAGAAGAAAAATTTTCCATATGAGGAAGGCTGAGGAAAATAGTAAATCAGGTGAACCCAGTGAACAGGATAAAGAAAGTGAAGGTCATAGAAAAAAACACAGCACAAGTAGTACAGGAAGTAGTAAACATTTAGGTGTGACTGCCCTCATTAATAATTTCAAGAGGTCTTTGTCTGATCTGTTTAATTTAGAGGAAAATGCTAATGTTCAAAATGATCCCACTAGTGATACTTCGGACACAGCTGAAGATAATGAGGGCAGTAAATTTTATGTATAACTGAGGAAGACACAAATAATATAGCCCGGTAAATGGGGGGGAGGGGGGGGGGAGATCAGCAAGAATATCGTCTTGAAATTGGGTCAGCAAAGAAAATGAGTATACCGAGTAAGTTACACATACTGTACTGTATTGTGTTTAATTGCCTGTGTACAGTATTGTAATAGGAAAAACAGACTTTTGTCAAAGATAAATTTAAAAAGGGAACTTATGACTTTTCAAAACTTTTAAAATTTAATAAGGAAAATGCTGTAGCATCACTTTACTTAAGTGATATAAGGTGTTTTGGGATTTATAACCACAAAGTGAGTTAATCTAAAAGCTGTTCAACTGTGTGTACTAAATGTAACACCAGGGATCATTTGTATTATCACAGGTATAATTATTATTCCCCACTGGAATTGTACTCAGAAAACTAAATGTGTAATTGTAGAATAACTAGTATTAGTATATAATATATTGTACATAAGTTTTAATGTGCCAAGATAGTCTCATAAGTTGGGAAGGTGAGAACAGTACAACTCATGGGCCACTCACTCTCAACGACTTATAGAGATGATGCGAGATGTTCAAAAGACTACACACAGTTTTAATTTCTGAGCAGTGATATTTGACACACTAACTTAGAGCTCTTGCATACCAAAGTTTGACCTAGATGTGAATGTATGTGGGGAAACAATCCTGGAATCTCCTTCATCCATAATCATTCAAAACTACGATACAGTACCGTGAAGTGTATGATGAACTATCACTGCATTATATGTATTATGATAGAATAGGTAAGTGTGTACATTGCTTGTATTTAGATGTTGGTTTATTGATGTAAATATATTACTTGTATGTAAGTTGTATGTTTGATGTTATGTATTGTTGTGTATTTCTCCAGATATTTTCAAAATAATTTCATTAATTCCAGAAGAAATGTGTCAGATTCATGTTTTTGTGGAAAAATTTGGTTTCATGTTAAGCAAATATTGATGAGAAATAATGAGCAAGAATTTATTCATTGTTGATATAAAGCTCTTGTATATATTGTGCATATATAATATTAAAAAAACCATTATTTAAAATATTTTTTTTCTTCAGAAGCACATTTTAAGAATAAACTACTGTAATAATAGTTATGTACAGTATTTTATCTTTCTTGTTTTACTTTTACTTTTATCCTCTTCGCCACTGATCGGCTTGTTAGCCGCTTGGGCGATCGGTCACGTCTCTTTTCATTTATATTCTTCACCAAAAGATCGGCTCGCTAGCCGCCCGGGCGATCGGTCACGTCTCTGTCACGCACTGTTGGCAAATACTGGGCATGCACCAGCTCCTGAATGTACCTGAACCCGCTCCAGTGTTGGTCAAGTCTTCTCTTGAAAGAGCTCACACTCGGTGCCGTCACAACACTCTCTGGTAGATTGTTCCAAGAGTTTACAACCCTCACTCCGAAAAAGTTTGCCCTCACGGTTTTCTGGACTTGCGGCTTCTTCAATCTTGTGGGGCGAGCGTCCGCCAGCTCCAAGTAAGGACACTCAACTGAGTAGTGCCCCCTGAGATGCTTATAAACCTCAACTAGGTCCCCCCTTGCCCGTCTGTAGTATAAGCTAGGCAAGTTCAGGCGCTCCAATCTCTCAGGGTAGCTGAGGTGCCGAAGTGCCGAAGTACTGTACTTACACTCTGAATCAATCTTGTTTTAATGCTTTGGCAAAGAGAATGTCTTACAAAGTTGTACGGTAATTAATGGTTTATTGACATTACAATATTGTAGAGTACCTGTACTGAACTGACAAGTGGCAATGAGAAGTAAGAATTCATAAAACTATACTACAAATAAATGGAAAAAGCATGAAGCTTTACTGTCACGTGTTAAACAAGAAAAATGACCGAGAAGTGTCATTGGATTTCTAACTTTACACGCACACATACTGTACTATACTGTATTGTACTTAAATTTTTTACTTTATCCTTTTCTCCACTGGTTAGCACACTAGCCAGTTGGGTGGTCGGTCATTTATCTATTATGCACTGTTGGCATGTACTGAATCGTCTAAACTAACAACTTAAATACCTTCTAAATTCTAGATGCTGTTTTAGCTACTACTAACTAAAAAAGCATCATCTGCCTACACCATGAATAAAAGATATTGAGTAAGCGTACAGACATAAGAAGTAGAAGGAGAATACAAACCTTTGATAAAAACTGTTACATTTTAAATATAATATATTTAGGGTAAAGACTTATTGAAATACCTGTACAGTAGGACTAATTTCTAAACCTACACATGAAAGATTGACATTTGTTAACCACAATAACTATGATGCCAGGGATATGGTACGAGCATCATTGTAAACATTGCAGGAAAGTTATAAATAAGGGAGAGAACAGGAGAAATGCATCTACAGGGAGAATAGTGTAAAATTATGGAAGCACAATCAGTGAATCATGTGGTGATGTGTGGACAGCTGTAAACTATTAATGAGTAAATCGTTGCCTGAAGGTGTCATAGGGACATATCTTGTTGGGATCAGACCAACAGAGGCTATTATACATATACTGTACATCCAGAATAACACAAAAACACCAAAAAAATTAACCCCCATTGGCACCAATCACCACCTAATGCTGTCCTTCATATTTAACTGTTACTTAGTTCATGGCAGAAGCAAAGCAAGTTTCAAATATCATAATCAGTAAAAATAACCATTTGATTGATATTTATTTACCCAAGATCAAACCCAATGCCTCCAAGAATACAAAGAGGCCTTTACGCATGAGCCATGTGGTGGTTGACAAAGTTAAGAAAACTCAGAAATTTGAGACGTGGGATCGGACAAATGATGAGCAGGACAGAAGGATGTAAGCCAGATACAGGAATCAAGCAAAATCAGAGTGTAGAAGGGCTAAAAAAAAATGCGAGTATGCGTATTGGATCTGAGGCTTGAAATGCATTTGAGGATAAGACGGTTTGACACAGCGCTGACCCACATTGTGTTTTCAGGAGAGGGTATAAAAAATAAATTGTCAGAGCTAAAGGTTCATAAGTGTCCCAGCCCTGACATGATGCATCCCAGATTGTTAAGAGAGTTGTGCGACAAGTTTGCCGAGCCCCTAAGATCTTGTTCTGTAAATGTCTGAATGAGCAAAAGGTCCCCAGTGACTGGAAAATAACTTAAATGAGACCTATACTGTATTTAAGGAGGGCGATTGTCACTCCATAAATAATTATAGACCAGTGAGCCTGAGCAGCAAAGTGTGTAAAGTACTAGAGAGCATGATAAGAGATGCCATGATGAACATCTAAAAAGACTGCCAACATGGTTTTATTCTGGGACACTCTTCCTTAATGCAATTATTCAAGGTATTGGATGCCTGACCTTAAATTCTGGAAGAGGGCATTAATATTGACCATATATTCTGTACCTAGATTTTGCCAAGGCTTTCGACAGCATACCCCATGAAAGGCTGAGAATTAAACTGGAGGGGTACGGGATTCAGGGTTAGTGTCATAGCATGGATTGGTACTTCTGCAGCTCTTCACATTCCGCTTGGTTCTTGATTTCCCGAAATAACTTGGCGTCATCGGCAAACACTTGTATGGAGGAGTGTACAAAGTCAGGCATGTCATTTATGAAACAAACAAACAACAGCGGGCCCAATACACTGCCCTGTGGTACCCCGCTTGTGACAGGTACAGATGATGATTTCGTGCCATAAATCACCACACACTGCTTGCAGTCATGTAGAAAGTCTTCTATCCACGCTAGGACATTTCCCTGAATTCCGTACTCTTCCAGTTTGATTTTCAGCCTTTTGTGGGGTTCACTGTCGAAAGCCTTGACAAATTCTAGGTAAATATTGTCGATATTACCACCCCGTTCCAGAATATGGGTCCCCACTTAACTTCAGTTTGCACAACACAAAATTCACAGTAACCCAAGGCACCAACTAGGGAAACACTTTACTTAGCATGAAAACGTTCCTAGTTTAACACGAGGCACATGTAAAAGGCATCGTCACGCCAGCCCATCATGGTTTGCTGCCTCAGTTCAAGTCTGCCGCCGACTCTCCTCTGGGTCACACATTGTAGTGACTGGCTAGTCTCTGTTGTGTCTTATTTGACCTTAATAACCTTCACCAATATGAATGCTAAGTAACCAAAGGCAACAAGAGTGATACTGACTGCAAGAGACAAAGACTATCTATTTTGAAAGAGATGAAAATGAAAGTAATTGAATGTTTCGGAAAGGGAGAATGCACCGGTCCGACTAATTACCCAAATGTACCCAAATGTAGCCAAATATAGCCGCAATGAAGTCAAATAATGGTCGTACAAGCGTAATTCGGGCTGTGAATCACTTCTCGATTATTATTTGGTGTCATAAAGTAAAAAAAAATTGGTAAACTTAATTTAATCTGAGTTGTGTTGTGTTGTGTTAGATTAGGTTAGGTTAGATTAGATTAGGTTAGGTACATGCACTTGATCTATTAACTCAGATTAAATTAAGTTTACCAATTTTTTGTGACTTCGTGACACCAAATACTAGTCGAGGTTAGGTTAAGTACATGCACGCGATCTATTAACTCAGATTAAAGTAAGTTTTCCAATTTTTTGTGACTTTCTGACACCAAATACTAGTCGAGAAGTGATTGGCAGTCCGATTTATTCATGTAGGACCATTATTTGACTTCATTCCGGCTATACTTGGGTACATTTGGGTAATTAGTCGGACCCGAATGCACTGCTGACATTACAGTTACAATGGACCTTCATTGGGCAACCATGTCTACCATTTGTGCTAATGCAGGTTATTACAACAGTTCAAAACTCTTACTGTCCCAAAATTCCTTAGCAGGCATGGGCCTAGCACGGGGGTGGTAGAAGAGGGAGACAGTGACTCCCCCTTCTACCACGTCGGGTGCCAAGGAGAGGGGGAAACTAAAAATTTAATTTGAAATTGGTGTGATGTACAGTACTCCTCCACAATGATCGTGTCAACTGTGGCCTGCAAGCTAAAAACATAACCATTGATGGTGCCACAAAATTACTGAAGGGTTTTGTATCAAATTTTACTGAAATGCGTGTAAAGGTGTTAAAGTAACATTAGAAAGTGCTAATGAAATTTCAGAAAGTCTCAGAACCACTCCAAATTGTCCAGCGAAAAGACCGGGGTATGAAATTATACCAAATGACCTTAACACTCCTGCAACTTTTTGTAGAAACTCAGACAATTTCCTATTCCAACTTGTTAAAGATCTGACTCTCTATAAAGGTGAACAAACACCAACACTGCTGAATCTCACCATAACTACGAGGAGGGTATGTTGGCAAAGTCGGCAACACCCCCAATAGCACTAACCATCAGGTGATGTTCATCAAATTTTAAATGTTACTTGGTACACGATGAGGGTAGGCCAAGGTCCAGTATAGAATCGGCAAACTATTGTGTCCCCTTCCCTGGACCCCATAGTTACAACACAATTTTTTTTATCAACATACCTGCTCTCAACTGCTAATCATCACAACAGAGAGTCCCGAAGCCCTTACGGCGCCATAAACGCGATGTAATCCACCAACAGCGAACGTAAAACCCAGAAATAGTCATCAAATACTGCATCACTACACACACACATGTTAACGCCACCATGACTGTACTAGTACTAATGATCACTGATCAGTTAACTTGATCACTGGCGAGTGTCGAACTCGAACCTTTGGGGTTTAACTCCTTAGGGTGCTTTGATTCCTTAATTCATTAGATCGCTTTACTGATTGCCAGGGCCGGTGCAAGATGATTTGGCGCCCTAGGCAAGCCTTTAGATGTGCGCCCCCTTGAAGGTTTTGATAAGCTAATGTAGGTACAGTAACCCATTACTACATTGTTTTCATCTTGTGGCTTTATTACTTCACCCATGCAAATAACCAATTATTGTTATTACATTAAGTCAATAAATTCTTGACGTAAACTTCAGAGGTTAGGTAACCTTGCCTCATCCCGACAAAGACAGGGAAGGGGCAGTAAGGGAGGGGAGGGGATGGTGGGGTTGGGAGAAGGGTTCCTCAGATGTCAGCCTTCAGGTCACTGCTCGACAGTTCTCCAGGCCGCCAAAGATAAGGACCCGGGTTAGTCCCTCCGGGGGGTTAACGAATAATATTAAAAAAGAAAACACAGTCGGCTACCGTCTACCTACCCTCGCCTCCCTCCGACCCCCCCCCCCCTTCTAACATCCTGCTCCGACCCTCCACGGCTCCACCACAGTGTCCACCACAGTTTTCCCTTCATTTTTAATTTGAAGAAAAAAATACGATTATATTGCAGTGGATTCCTCCCCTACAAAAGCCGTTTGTCGCTGACTAGCCGACCCTCGATTTCACCAGCCTCCTCTCGTGGTCTAGTCAGCAACCAGCGCCGCCTTATACGACTGAGGTCAACTCTTAAGCCACGTCTACCCCTGTTATATAAGACCTCACCTCGTGGTGACCTACCTCTCTTTCTACCTACAGACACCAGCAAGCAACACCTCCTCAGCTCCTACCTGGCGGCTCCCGCTGGAGCCGGCGACCATGGCGACCCACAAGCTGGTCCTCCTCTGAGCACCCTCACCAACCAGTTCTTACTCAACGCTTGTAACCATGCTGCCTACCCAGCACCAAGCTGCATTGTACATCCAATACAATATGTATACAGAGAGCACATTGTGAGTTTCCTTTCTCCATTCCATCCTGAGTGTGAACAATATCGCGTACCCCCACAATATCATCAAAATCATCGTTGCTGTTACCAGAACTTGAAGATATGCATACACGTAATTAAACAAGCTCACCATCTCACGGTAACTTTGAAATCCTAGTAAAAGTTGTTATTGAAGTGCAGTCTTGTTTTTATTCATATCAATCTATTAATCAGAGTACCACAGCCCTTCATTCTAACGTTCTTGGGCTGTTTTAACCAATTCTCTAAGAATTTGTATCTCTCTGGGGACCCAGTTTTTATTTCATTCATCCATCCCAGTCTCTGCCTTCCCCTGGCCCTCTTACCTATTAATATTTCTGTTATTACAGTTTTCCCTCATCCCTGGAATATACGCCCAAAGTATCTCAATCTTCTTTGACTGTAATTTCAAGTATTTCTCTTGAAGTTTTTGCAAATACTAATGCTTCTTCACTTGTTTTCCTGTCTATGTAACGTGTTTTTAACAATCTCTTATAACACTACATTTCAAGGGTCTCCAACCTCTTCCTGGTGCATGCTGAAAATGTCCACATTTTTTACCTATACAGCAGCAGCCCTTTTCTGAAATTGAAGTTTAATGTCTCCTTTTATTGGGTCTTTAAATTATCAAATGCTGTTTTAGCTTAACCTATTGTTAAGATTTCTTTCGTATATTTACCATCACAGTTATTGTTATTTTCAAATAATGTACAAAAAATTTCCGCTTATTTAAGTTCCCTGATGCCTACTATAGTGCGTAAAACGAAATATTATTTTGGCCATATACTGAAAATTACCAACTTTAATTCCGTAAACTGATACATTCCAAAACATCTTAGAATAAGACAAGATACCATTTTTTTCATGTTCCTCCAATGAATTAATTTAAAATTGCAAAGTTGCATATGAATATGCACCTCAGCTGGTGGCGATGACATCGATTCTTTAGCCTCGCCACCATTTGCCCGCGCGCGCACCCAATTGCCAAATTTCGCAAGAAAATGAATGTTTTAATTATCAGATGTCAGTCCTCTATTAGTACAAAAGTTGTTAGAGGAGGATTAAATCTGAGCGGGAGGGTGGACGGTCACTGTTACACAGAGTTTTATTTCATAATTTTTAATCGTTGTTGAACTAGTGTATTTCTAACATTGCTATGCGCTTAAAGACCTTCGTTGTTGAAGAGCAGTAATAACATAATAACAACAAACGCTGCCGTCTTACGGCATTTCATCTGCTAGTAAGGAAAACAAGTAAACGTTGGTGGCGCATTCGGTATTTTACGTCACTGGTCTACATATCAGGAATAATTCCAAATTTTCTAATTATTTTTTTTACATAAAAAATAATAACAAATTATTTATAAGACGTTTTTATTAATTTAATTATCTAAACTATTCTTTATTGTGAATTTGTGTGAAAATGACTTGTAAATAAAGACAACTGTTAAACTCTTTAATGATTCTGCTTGCTGCGAGACATTCAGTAAAATTATTAATATACTTCTCGAAATACAGAAAAATATACTTTATAATTTGCAACTTATATGCATCTTATGAGCAGAACAAGTAAAATAAAATTAATTATACATATTCTTTTTACATTATACGACCATTACAGAAAACGGACGGAATTGTGACGTCATACACGCCCACGGAATTGTGGCAGAACTGTGGTGCCATAAGGCAGTGCTCCGAACGAAGGGTTGATAACGACGGTCTCGTCAGTTTGAGTGTGAAACAAGTGAGAGTCGTTATGTCGCTACGCCTCTCCGCATGTTGCAGGCAAAGCTCATGAAGGTAGTAGCGCGTTAAGGGTGAACCAATTCATCATGAGGCTCCTGTGTATGGTAATGGTAGCCCTGGCGGACTGGAGCGCCTGGGCTGATACCGTCAGGACCTGCCAGCCGGTGAGTCCACCTCTCCAGAACATTCCTCCGTCCCTTCTGTCATATCCTGGGCAAGTTGTCACATTTTTTTTTACAGTATATTACAGGTACTGCATGAACCCTTCAACCATATTAGGATACTACGAGGGAGTACATGACAAATTCTCTTGAAATAACAAAAAGCTTTGGCGTGTTTTTTCCCCTTCGGTAAATCGAAAGATTGTATTGAAGTAAGTTATGGGAAGGCTCTTCAGGTATCATTTGACAGACCATCATGACATTTGAGATACTGTACAGCATTTACGTTTGGAATAAATCTTAGTAGGTGGGCAGGTAGAGTAGGGATTAGTTAATAAGTGGGTGAATGTTAGAGCAGTGAGTGACACGTATTAATTAGTGGTGACATGTTACTTTAATCTTTGGTCACCTGTTGTCGAGTCTGCTGCCTTTACTCTCGGATGTGACTGAACAAACTAATTTTTCTAGGGGGTGTGACTGTTTACTCCGGGATGTGACTGTTTACTCCGGGATGTGACTGTTTACCCCGGGATGTGACTGTTTACTCCAGGATGTGACTGTTTACTCCAGGATGTGACTGTTTACTCCGGGATGTGACTGTTTACTCCGGGATGTGACTGTTTACTCCGGGATGTGACTGTTTACTCCAGGATGTGACTGTTTACTCCGGGATGTGACTGTTTACTCCGGGATGTGACTGTTTACTCCCTGTGACTGGGATGTGACTGTTTACTCCGTGATGTGACTGTTTACTCCGGGATGTGACTGTTTGTTTACTGTTTACTCGGGATGTGACTGATGTGACTGTTTACTGTGACTGGATGACTGTTTAGGATGTGACTGTTTACTCGGATGTGACTGTTTACCCGATGACTGACTGATGTGACTGTTTACCTGTGACTGATGTGACTGTTTACTCATGTGACTCCGCCTCCAGGATGTGACTGTTTACTCGGGATGTGACTTCACTCCGAGATGTGACTGTTTACCAGGATGTGACTGTTTACTCCAGGATGGGATGACTGGGACTGTGACTGTTTACTCCGGGATGTGACTGCTTACTCCGGGATGTGACTGTTTACTCCGATGTGACTGGATGACTGCTTACCCGGATGTGACTGCTTACTCCGGATGTGACTGTTGCTCCCGGATGTGACTGTTTACCCGGGATGTGACTGTTTACTCCGGGATGTGACTGTTTACCCGGACGTGACTGCTTACTCCGGATGTGACTGCTTACTCCGGGATGTGACTGTTTACTCCGGGACGTGACTGCTTACTCCGGGATGTGACTGCTTACTCCGGGATGTGACTGTTTACTTCGGGATGTGACTGCTGAGTGTTTAGGGTGTGACGTTACTCCAGGTATTAGACTTTCCTTTCAAATAGTTTCTCATGTTCTTTTTCTTCCCCACTTATAAAACAGAGAGTTCTATCTCACGTTCCCTTTTCTCTCTTCCTTCTTTTTCGCCAATGTCACTCTCTTCTATTTTTCCGCATTCTTCCACTTTCACTTCCTTAATGAATATTTTTCTTTCACTTATACTGTACTCCATTCCTCCTCCATCTCCCCACAAACCACGACCCTCTTTCTTCTTTTTCGCTTCCATTTTTCTGTCTTCCTCCACCTCTCTTTCCATATCACCGCCACCAATCTTGTGTTAATGTCACCTGATAAGTTATCTGTAGAGCACCAGTCTTAATACCGCTACGCTACCAGGAACGCGCCACTACCAGGGAAATAAAGTACCATCTATGGTTCTATGCCACTCATATTTCAATCATGAGGAGTTAATAGGACTAAAGTGTGTGATTCTAATCTTTCTCTCTGCAAGATAACACTTAGTTGCTCCTTGTAGGGTGGGAATCCACTCCTCCTTGACTGATGGGAGGTGAGGATGCTAACGATTGTACCAATCCTCCTGTTGTATTCTATGATAGATTAACTAATTTAAGCCATGTGATAAGGAGATTGATTCACATGATGTATATGTAACCTTTCGCGGTATAGTCAATAACACCGTAGTCATTACAGCGATAACTCACGTGTCTATAAATACCGTCTCTTGGGTTCAAATCTTGGCGCGGGACATCACATGTTTCCTCCAAGTTTGTTGGATGATTAATAATGGAAAGATTAAAATAATTCTTGCGATGTTTAAAAATTTTGCTCTAAGGATATGACATTTAACTTCGTGTAAGATTATAATATCTGTTCTTTTAATGTAGTACAGTGTTCATGTCAAAATGAACTATTTCACTTTTGTAAAAATAATTATTGTATTGTTATAACATTTATAACTTTTTGTAAGCCCCAGAAGGGGATGGCAAAGGTGAGGGTGGGAGCAGTATACTACCATGTCCTTTTGATGTAATAGTTTTATTGTCAATAAAGTATTTCAATTTCAAAATGTATTAACACTGAGCAATAAAGTTCAAAACAAAGATCAACTGCCCGAATGAGTTTTAAGCTGACAAGTGGTGGTATTATATATACAGGTATAAAGTAAAAACTTAGATCTGTATGTGTGTAAAATAATTTAAAATTATTTATTTATTAAATGTAAATTTAATGAATAAGAACGTACTCATTCCTTATCTTTTATATGACTGGATGCTTCGGAAATATTCCCATTTAACGTTGATATTTCATAACAATAAAATCAATGGTAAATTCATATATAATTTCATGAGAGGATGGATGTAGTATTAATAAGTGTGACGGTGAAAATCTCACTATTGGAGGACGGAAGACGCAAGTTGATGGATAACAATGGGGAACAGCCCCAGAAGTTCGCACGATGAATATTCCTCGTAATTGTATAAGATGCACCAAACCGGTCGACTTAAAGCTAAAGTACAAAAGTAATATCCAGGAATTAGCATACAATTACATTTGGACCTTAGCTAAAAACATTCTGAACTTCTGACAAGAGTAACGCACGGAATTCTTTGAAGTACTGTGTACTTAAAAATAAATGTCACATGTGAAGTCTAGTTAATGTATTTTTTGGTAGTGTCGGTGTAATTTTGCTGTCAATTTTGTGTTACAACTTTATATAAGCAGTTAGGTACAATCTTATATGTCCAGTAATTAGAAATATTCACCGTAAAAACCCTTGAGACCGAATTCTGGTGAAAGGAAAACTACTTGACTTGGAGAAATAAAGTTCACACATTAAATAAATTATCTCTTTATCTAGATAATAACGCACTAAACACAAGATTGTTGGTCACCAGTACGTCAAGGTTCGAATCCTGCTTGGCCCAGACACACGTGAGAAGGGTGTTGTTATCCAGTGTGACCCAACCAAACATCACAGGTGTCGCGAAATTTGGTTCCTCCTGCACTAAAACGGCTACTAAGTTGATAAGTGGTGAAAATTATAAGGTACTGAACCTTAAAGTTTCCTCCACAAAAAATCACATCAATGGCTCTATTTGTGTAACGTTCAATAGACGAGGAAAAAAATGGGCAATTTCTGTTACGTAACCAGTATGTACGAATAAATGTATTATATGGTTAGGAAAGAGGTCGGGAGCAATAGGGGGTGGAGAGGGCGACACCATGAGGGGAATCAATAATAACAGACAATGCCTCAGGGATTAGCGTTTGTTTCAATACAGAGTTCGACCCATCCCGCATCTCCCCACCATGCACCATATTCCAGGCTGGCGTCTAAGTGATAGGTAGGAAGCTGGATATATCTCAAAGGAAAAAATCGTACATTATATTCTGATCAATATTTGGAACCAGAGAGAAAATGGGTAACAGTGTTTTAAAAATTCCTTTAAAAGCTTAAACAAAACTATAACTAAATTAATTTCATTCCAAATTGTTTTCTCGGCCCTCTAGTAAAACTCATACCTTATGATCACAACTTTCTGTTCATTTACTGAAATTTCCGGTGTTCAATTTTTTTTTAATTTTCACAGACCGGTTACAGAGTACCGTCCTCATACAGGTATCTGGTAGGGTCACACTGGATAACACCATTCTCACATAACCCTCGACATATTGGTGAGATACACGCGTTAATGCTGTACCACAACTCGTGTTTCGTTCCTATAATCTCAACTTATCTATTAACGGAAATGACGCACCTACAATAGATAAAACTATAGGATGTGTAGCCGAGTGTCACTCCTGCAGAATATTTGTTACTAAACATGTAATGAACGGTTGACCTTCCTCCGTTTAATTTTGCCTCATTTATCTATATAGAAGTACGGTATATATATATATATATATATATATATATATATATATATATATATATATATATATATATATCATGTAGATCCACAATGGAAATGTGGATAAGATATATCTTGATAAAATCATACAGAAAAATGGGAAACAGCGGAGCACCTTAGAGCGTAAAGAACAGATTAGTGGACCTCTCTTAAATTTATTTACAAAATCATTAGACACGGGAGTTGTGCCAGACTTGTGGAAACAGGCAAATGTAGTAGCCATATTCAAAAAGGGAGACAGAGCATTCGCGTCAAATTACCGGCCGATTAGTTTGACGTCAGTAGTGGGGAAATTTCTTGAATCAATTAGAAGCAAATAGCATCCGATCGCATTTAGAGAACAGCAAATTAATCACGACTCTCAACATGGGTTTACTGTCACGTGAGGATACGAGGTGTATTAAGTTCATACCGACGCATACAAGATATTTCCTTTCACGTATAGTTTCTGGGTCACTTCCAACACCTCACATAGTTCTGATATATTTATCCTTTTTCCAGATCATTGTTCTCATGTATTTTTATATGATATCGGTGGAAGTTATGTTCGCTCCACGCTCACAGACGTAAATAGTATGACCTTCAAACCCTGATCCACATTTAGTCCTACAGTACACTAGTCCGGCTCAACCGGACTTTAACATTCATCTTATGGATACCCTGAGTTCTCCTTAATGCTATGAATACATACAATTAATATGATATGACTGTACCTGGGTACAATGCAACACATGGTCTAGGAACATTGAGTAGGTGAGTTATCCTTTATCAATGTTTCCCGTTTTCTGAGGTTCTACAAGCGCAGTGGATTTGAATGTTATATAGCGTAATATGAATTAAATGGGGTTTTTAGGAATGACAATGATGTGCGCAGTACATTACAAAGGGAAAATCTTGTCTAACAAATCTGCTGACGTTTTTTAGGAAAGTCTTCGAGGTAGTAGATAATGACGAAAATTACGATGTTATTTACTTAGACTTTAACAAAGCGTTTGACAGAGTACCGCATCAGAGGCTTCTGAGAAAAGTTAAGGCTCATGGTATCGAGGGGAAAGTTTTAAATTGGATAAAATCATGGCTCACCGATAGAACACAGAGGGTCAGCGTAGATGGTGTTAAATCTGAGTGGGGTTGTGTAACCAGTGGGGTTCCCCAGGGGTCAGTACTGGGCCCACTCTTATTCATCTTCATAAACGATCTAGATACTGGGATCAGCAGTGACATAAGCAAGTTTGCGGATGACACCAAAATAGGGCGGCAGATTAATTCAGGGCAGGATGCAAATGCACTACAGGAGGATTTAAATAAACTGCAGGAGTGGTCAGAAAAATGGCAAATGAAATTCAACACCAGCAAGTGCAGCGTACTGAATATTGGAAGAACAAATACTGTCAATGTATACAGCCTTAACAACATCAACCTAGAGAAGTCAACTTGTGAAAGAGACTTAGGGGTACTTATAGGCCCGGACCTACGGCCTAGAAAACAGTGCGTTAATGTTCGAAATAAGGCAAACAGAGTATTAGGTTTTATATCTAGAAGTGTAAGTAATAAGAGTGCAGAGGTCTTATTGCAACTATATCTTGCGCTAGTCAGGCTGCATCTCGATAATGCGGTTCAGTTCTGGTGCCCTTATTATAGAATGGATATCAATTCACTGGAGTCGGTGCAGCGAAGAATGATGAAAATGATTCCGGGACTTAGAAACCTTCCATATGAAGATAGGTTAAAGAAACTAAACTTGCATTCCCTAGAAAGACGAAGAGTGCGGGGAGATGTGATAGAAGTATTTAAGTGGGTGAAAGGAATCACTAAAGGCGATATAGATAAAGTTCTTATAATATCCGAGCTGGACAGGACTCGTAGCAACGGATTTCAGTTGGATAAGTTTAGGTTTAGGACGGAGATAGGAAGGAACTGGTTCACAAATAGGGTGGTGGACGAGTGGAACAAGCTTAGCAACTTTGTAGTAAGTGCTGGAATGCTGGAAAGTTTTAAAATGAAGCTAGATAGATTCATGGATGATAGAGTGGTAGTAACTCTCGACAGGAGCTGCCATGCACAGGCCAACCGGCCTATTGCAGACTCCTTATTTTCTTATGTTCTTATGTGGCCTGTTGTCAAGTTTCTCTATGTTCTCTTTGTTAGGGTCACATACATACATATACGGACATGTAGGAGATCTCGCACTAAAGATGGAGTTAAGAAGTGAAACTCACAATGCATTCTCTGTGTGTATATATATATATATATATATATATATATATATATATATATATATATATATATATATATATATATATATATATATATATATATTTCATGAACCCACAATGAAAACGTGGATAAGATAAATGTGATAAAATCACCGTGTGATTTTATCAAGCTTCTCTATATATATATATATATATATATATATATATATATATATATATATATATATATATATATATATATATATATATATATATATATATATATATATATACTCTGATTGTACCTGCGGTCAATAAAACCCAGAGGGTACCGTGTTAAGTGAAAACCGCGTTAAGTGAACAACAGAACATATGGGATTAATTCCAATAGAAACCGGCCCGACCCCCAAACTCCACTTTTTGACGACACATAACTATGTTGTAGTAAAAATAACATCTTAATTTTATGATGGTACATGCACACAATTAATACTTAAGAGAAATAGAGAAATACAGTCACCAAGTTAATGTCCATTCAAATAATGGACTCAACTCCCTCCCCCTCTTCTCACACTACACTGCTGGCTCTTCCCTCTCTGAGAAATTTTTGGGGGAAAACCACTAAATTTTAATAAATAATACCTCAAACTAAAGTTAGGATAATATAATTGATATTGCTGGATTCCTTGTAAGACCAGGAATATTTTGAATACAAATGTCATATATTTTGCACAAAAAATAACATATTTACTCAGAGTGAACATTAGCCTATATCTAAAATTTGTATGTCTAATGCAAAATCTATGATGTTTATATTCAAAATGATCATCATATTGTAAGAATTCCAGCAATGTAAATTATATTCTGGCCGGGTAATTTGTATGAATTTTATGAGCTAAAACAGGCAGTCAGGCAGGGTGGCGGGTGGCAGGTGGGGCAAATCTAAAAATAGCTCTCGAGCCGGACACTCACCGCGTATACGTGGAAAAAACCCGCGTTAAGTGAAAGTTCAGCTCTGGCGAGGCACCGCGTATCTGAGTAAGCTTAGCTAAAGTGAAATAGCGTTAAATGAAGTATACTGCTTTAGTATGTATGTATGTATATATATATATATATATATATATATATATATATATATATATATATATATATATATATATATATATATATATATATATATATATATATATATGTATATGTGTATGTATGTGTATATGTATGTGTATGTGTATGTGTATGTGTATGTATATATATATATATGTATATATGTATATATATATATATATATATATATATATATATATATATATATATATATATATATATATATATATATATATATATATATATATATATATATATATATATATATATATATATATATAGTAATACCTCAGAATTAGCGACTTTCGGATTCGTCAATCCCGGACTCCCAAAAAAATTAATTCCTGAGGATTAGACTACCCGGGCACAGGTCACTGACTCACATCGGGGCCTGGGGGGGGCGATAATGTAATAATATTAATAATGATTGAATTTAACCTGATTCAACACAACATGATGTAATCAGATTGCCTATTTGCAGGAGGACTTTCACTATGAGTTTACTGAGTGTGATGACGACGGTGGACGATGGCGAGTGAGTGTGCCCAGCCCAGATACATGTGAGGGCGGTGCCCCCAACCCCCCTAAGCGCACACACGACTGTAGTGAGTATTATCATATATTCAGCAAGAATCTAATTTGTACTACAGTATTTTTAATTAATACATACATATTTTTCGTGGCACGGCGGACACATTAGCCTCCTTGTTTCAGGGATCGGTAGTTCGATTCCCTGGCGCTCCCAGTTCACCCAGTTATGAATGGGGACCTAAGGTTACAACTTGGGGAAGTGAAGGCGGTCGAGTGCAGTACCAGCCATGCTGCCTCCTTGTGTACCGAAGGCTTTGTATATAGTGTCACAGTGTGTTCTATCCACACTGTCCCTCACGGGCAGTCATGCATATGGGACCTACTTTTACATATAATTATTCACCATACAGTATTTGGGATACAATTCCCCTTAGGGTTTTATTATGCTAGATCTGAATTTGCTCTCATAGAAGAGAACTTTGTTAATATATATATATATATATATATATATATATATATATATATATATATATATATATATATATATATATATATATATATATATATATATATATATACATATACATATATATATACATATACATATACAGCTCCTCCCCGACTTACGACCTACTCGACTTACATCCACCCGCACTTATAACCTGCCTCAGTCGTACCAAAATTTGGTCAAATTACGTATTTTTGAGTCCCAAAGTCAGTACACAGACAAAATTTTCATCTGTAATTCACTTTAAAACGGCTGGCAAACTTAAAAGTGAGTGTTTTGTGGTGCTGAGAAGAAAAAGATACCCCCATTTTAGATTTTCTATGTATTATTTAAGCATTTCCGACTTACGACCATTTCGACTTGGATGTCGGTCCCTAACCCCGTCATAAGTCAGGGAGCAGCTGTGTATATATATATATATATATATATATATATATATATATATATATATATATATATATATATATATATATATATATATATATATATATATATATATATATATATATATATATATATATATATATATATATATATATATATATATATATATATATAGTATATATATATATATATACAGTAACCACAGGAAAGAAGAAAACACAGGGAAGTTCCCCAAAGCAGCTTTCGTGTAATTCACATCTTCAGGGTGAGTAGTCTGTACTCTGCCCCTGAGCACCTACAGTGATTTACTTGCATATCTATATATGTGTGAGTGTTTGTGTGTATGTGTGTGTGTTTTCTGTACTATATTAAAATGCATTAAATTTCAATAAATAATAATAAAAAATATCTTTATTTTCAGAATACAGTGAGGTACTGTATAATGGCCTTAAATAATCTAAATTTATGTTGGCTAAGCAATAGATTCTTCATAACTGCATAATAATCTGTTTGGTTGAAATATATTACAGTAATGAAATTATTATAATAGTAATATAAATGTAATATAGAATTGGTACCTGCTTTCAGGTGTATCGTGTGACCCAGGCTGGTTCTTCAACTTGTCAGAGTTGGAGTGTGCAATGTGCCCAAGCGGCACCTACTCCCTGGGTGGTGGTGTGCGCTTTGACTCATGGGAGGATCTACCAAAGGGTTTCATTTCCCACACTGAGGTCTTCAGATCAATCTTTACTGTGGGGAGATGGCGTGGAGATGTGGATTGTAGTGAGTAAGTTGGGGGAGAGAGGATTATTAAAATCATGAACATAGAAAATACCTTTTCCAGTTGATTTTTTTATCAGTAGTAACTCGAGAGTAACTATATAATCATGCAAAAGATTTATAATCATAAACATCATAAATTAAATTTGTCTCTTAACATTAATGGGCAACTCAACTCTAGCACTACACCCTGGGTTCACTCAAGGGATGACGGCCAGCCCTGGAACCTGGAACTCGACTTTTAATTTCAAATAACATGTAATTTGTTCAAGGTAAAGGTATTATATGAAATCTAAATACAAAGTTCTACTGAAATCCAAATTCATCTATCTTAACCTCAGTGAAAGTAAAAATAGGTCCCTTAAGCCTGACAGCCTGTTATGAGCAGTGTGGATACAGCACCATACAGTACAGTATATGAAGCCTTTGATGCTAAAGTAAGTAGTGTGGCTGACACTGCACTTCAGCATCTTCACTTCCCAACTGTAGAATTAATAGACCCTTACTGGGGGATGAATTCGAAGGTCTCTAGGCACAAACCAATGGCCTCTTAGGTTATGAGGCAAACTCTGTTAGGCTGACTAACCATGTTGAAAATGTAAAACAAACAAAAACATAGAATCAAATGAGGCATATACTAGAGAAATATACAACAGAAGTTTTAAAACTTCCAGGACATCGATGCTATGCGTTCATTGAAATCTTTATGTTTCTGGGATCTGGATGATGTTCAATGTTGATAAAGAAAAATGTTCCCCCCAAATCAGCTGATCTGTTGAATGTGCTGCAAATTGGGCAAGTCAAGGGAGCTATGGTACCTCCACCCACCCCTCACTCATGGGAAGAAGACATGGCCACACACTATATTTCTCTCTTCTAAATTCTTTATCACAGTTTTTACAGTACAGTACTTGCAATAAATAAAATTCAAGTGTATCACTGTCTTCAGGAGGATTCTTATTGCATAAACCAGATCAAAAGCTACTGTATAGAGAAACATAACTCACAAAAGCTGTATAAATTTCTTTGCTTCATATACTATACAGTGACCCTCGCTTAACTAACGCCTGGTTAACGAAATTTCGGTTAACGAACTGCCTTCCATAAGGATCTTCAATTCGGTTAACGAACAAAAATTCGGTTAACGAATTTCTTACGAACCGACCTCAACATGTTTTCGCTTGCACTGGCCGGGCAACCAGCTTTAGTATCAGTCCGCCAATACATTAATCGGTTCTAGGGCTTAAATTCCTAACTATTTTAGTAAATATCAAGAAGTTTATACTATTCAATAATTTTAAAAGTTTAATATTCAATTTTTTAGTCATTTTAACAATTATTGAACATAATTGAAGGTAAAGTGACTAGTTTAAAGCGCAGCATCCAGCCTCTTAACACAGCAAACAGGCGTTAGTCTCTCTGTTTTCACTGGAGGTAACATCTTGCTTGAGACTCTCTTCAACTAAACGCTTTTTTCTGTGTTTCCAAGCAAATTATTGGTCATTTTGAAATATATTTTACATATTGACAATATATAATGCAGTGCAATGTTGATTTAAAGAAAATAATCTTGAAATACACCAAGAGAACTAAAATTTTATGGGTGCAATGGTGCCATGGGGTGACTTCTCTTCCACCCCAATGCCTTCTCTTCTTCCTTCTCCTCCACCCCCCATTGTAATTCCCATCATCATCATCATCATCATCCAGGAGCCTTCTACATACACACCTCAAAGTAAGTGAACTTTTCTACCATTTTTGTTGAATTTAGGAAATTTTCGGTGAGCTGGAACCAATTACCCAAAAACCCATTGAAACAATGGTTTCGGTTAACGAACGGTTAACCGACCTTCTGAACGGATTGAGTTCGTTAACCGAGGGTCACTGTACAGTACTTCCTTTACACTCATCAGTATTCCTTCAGTTTTTATCAAGCTATTGCATTTATGAAAATGCCTAAATATTTTACAAACCTTTTATGTCTGATGGTATATACCTAATGCATAGAGGTAAAAACAATTTGTAGGCTCAAAATAGTGCGAAAAAAAAAATTGTTCCCGCCTGCTGTGAATGGCTGTGGAAGAGGTGAGACCGAAATGAGGGAAAAAAATTGCTGGGGGAGAACTACTCAAGTGTTAATTTGAGTCTGCTCTTTATTAAGGCTTCTAGTGTACTGTATTTTGAAATTTAGCCAGTCAGTAACCAGAATGCCTTGTACAAAAACTTACACAATATGTTATGAACTGTTCATGAGATTTAAGCAAATATAGATAATAAGTTTCATTGAAATTCATTGTTTAATAAAATTTCTAGAATGTCTAAATTGCAGCACTAGCCAATAATTAGCCAGGTTCCCAAAATGTATTTTTGAATTTCACTTAAATTAGAATAAGGTCTTCTAAGTATTTTCTCAAAAATAAATGCAATGATTAATTATTTCTTGAGAAAATTTTCTCAGTTACAGGGTATTATATGTAAACCAAACTTTCACCAATTAGTAACTTTGTGACTTAAAAAATCCAAGATAGCTATCATAGTGTTATTCAAGATAATGCTGTTTTTGGACACAGGCACATACAAAAGATTCAGACTACAAATCAACTTAATCCTAGACCCGTGGAACTATAAAATGACTAGACTCAATTTGATGTACAGTACAGCACTGTACGTAATATGATTGGTGAGTTTTTCTGTGTTTATGATGCAGGTACGGTTGGCAGGCAAAAGGTGACGTACTGGCCAGTAAAGGTGGACAGTGTGCAGCTGTCCTTGTCTACACTGTTAAGCTTGTCAAACCTGGAGCAGTTTCGTACACTTACCAGTACACTGATGAAGACATTATGTTTGAGTTTCAGGTTAGTTGTTTAAGAAAAGAAAAAGATGTTTTAGGGTACATAATGTATAGAAATGCAATTACAGTATTCTCTGCATAATACAATAGTTGTGCTTCTTCAATAAGCTTACATTCTTACAGAGCTCTATGGATTAAAAATATTGTTGATTATAAATCAATAATTGTACCTTGGCTGGAAATGTGAGTTCTGTACAGTACTGTACTGTACTACTGTATATTTCCGCTTCATAATATACAATGTCTAATTGAAGTTTGAACACATTTCTACCTATTGATTTTCAAATTTCCTCTTACTGTACCTGTACAAAATACATTATCTTATTTGACAAAATACAGTACTTTGAGTGCATTCTTATGTACTTTGTGGTTTTGTACCTTGGAAGGGGCAGGAATACATGTAATATCACATAAATTTGTACCACAATATAATGCATTGCAGATCAGTGAATTAATAAATGACTGAGATTTACTGTAGATCAAAGGAGAAATCTTAAAGAAGTTTATAAGTTGATTATGAATCATGTAATATTTTTTCTAAACTGTAGATGTCTATAAGAAAATATGATTAAGATGAATTTGCAAAATTAATATTCTAAATCTTTAACATTCAGGCTCAAGATGAAGAATGTCAGAACATTGTTGAAGGAAATGGCTACAGGTGGTTACCAGTCACCCGCGATGGTCAGTGGCAGACTCGCACTGTAAAGCTGAACCCTGGACTTAATGTATTACATTGGAAGACCATTGGTATTGAGGCCCGTGGCTCATCAAGACCTGTATTGATCAAGAGCATCCAGATCAGTGGTATGTTGATATGCTGGTATGTGGTGAAGTAAGCTTCTAATCATTTGGGAAATTATATGCATATTACCCCATGTAAAGTATCTAATGTTAATGAAGTTTCTTTGTGCTTCTTCAAAAGCAGGATTTAATTTTATAGATGCTGTTAATATCTTAAATTTATGTTCTATTGTATTTTTATTACTGTCAACAAATAAAAATAAAAAGTTAGGACCAAGACTTATCCTTGAGAAAGATCTATGTCATGATGACATTAGGGCAACAGGAAGGAGTGTGAGGCTATAGAATGACATTAAAAACCTGACTTTTCCATCTTCATGAAAATTAATTACAGCTGACTCGGGTTTTTCACAAGATAAAGACCGAGAATATTCATGGAACAAAATATGTTAATTTAAGAATACAGTACAGTACAGTTCATGTAATTTACCTATCAAAGCTTAAAAAAATTATTTGCTTAAACCAAACCAAGAAATTAACAGAGAACTGTACAAAACTGATGACAAAAATTGCAAAAAAAAAGATGAAAATAGTACAGTATATCACAGCCTGCTGCCCCCAAGAGACTCAGCGACCGACAGAATCAGTGGTAATACCAGATGACAGTTATGCCAGTTAACTAACAACCTGTGGGAATTCTTCTAAAGAAAATACCACACATGTACTGTACAATATATGCATTCTTACTACATGACTAGCTCCAAATACGTAATGGGAAGGAATAAGTTTTTCTTAACCTTGTATTTTTAAGCAAATTTCAGTGGAGGAAACAAAATCTCCCCCAGATGTAAACATTGGAGCCTTTGCATTGTAGTGTGCAGCCATGCATTTGTTCAGGATGGCACACAGTCATAACCCACTACATAGGGTATAGATAAAAAAATAAATAAATAAATAAATAAATAATAATAATACAGGTTGACAACCCTTTATCCGAATTCCGAAACCCGAAAAGCTTTGAAAACCGAAAGTTTTTTTTTTTTTTTTAACAGGGATTAGCCCATCGGGGCCTGGGGGCAAAAATGTAATAGTAATAATAATTATAATAATAATTATTCATAATAAATAAAAAATTTAATACAAAATACACCGAAATAAAATAATAATGATAACAATAATAAAAATAATAAAATATAATAATAAAATTAATAATAATAACAATAATACTGTAATAATAAAATAATAATAATTAAGAAATACAAGAATGAAAAAAAAGATAAAAAGTGAGAAACACGACCTAGACCTAAGAATTATTATTATTTTTATTATTATTATTATTATTATTATTATTATTATTATTATTATTATTATTATTATTATTATTATTATTATTATTATTATAATTACTATTATATTTTCGCCCCCCAGGCCCAAATGTGGGTCAGTGACTTGTGCCCAGGTGGGCTAATACACACATAAAAAAACACTAACCATTCTGTAAACCGAAAAATTCCGAATTCCGAAATGCCTCTGGCCCCAAAGATTTCGCATAAGGGATTGTCAACCTGTAATATTTATCAAGAAATCATAGCATTATCAAACTTTGTTCAATAATATATTGATGTAATACTTATGATAGGCTAAACATTATATCAGTGTCTGTCAATAGACTTCAGTATAGGAAAATGATAGTGATATACTGTAAGTAGCTGCAAAATAACCCAATGCTTCTGTTTAAGTGAAATACCCATATTCAGAGTACAGTACATGGTACTTTACAGTCCTATTTTCTGCAAGTTCCTAAAATTTATAAATTAAATGGTATTTTGTAGTTGTTCTGCAATTTTGTTTTATATGCTGTGCAACTGTTTTTTTCTTAATCATGCCCTAGTGGATACATGATGACATGTCAGTTGCAGAGCTGACATTTCCTATGACTATTAAGTCAGTGGTATATCCCGACCCTACTGTATACCCAACATGAAGATTTAAACTACCTAACCACTAGTTGGTGTGAACTACCATGTTGGCTACTGTTTCAAAGGTGGTTTACATCAAGTTCCAAGGACCAAATAACCTGGCTCATTAAGACATCGTACCCTGGCTAAATAAGTGCAATTTCCTGGCTAAATTAAGTACTATAAAATATCTGAATTAAGCACAGTAACCTGGCCAAACCGGCATGAAAGTTTGGTTTTACTAGGTTCAATGTAACTTTTTTTTAAATTAAGCATATTAACCTGGTTAAGCTCACAAATTTGTAAACTTTGCTCCATGTTGGTATCCTTATCATTTGCTTTTTGGATCATTAGGTCAAGAATTTATCTTTCCTCTTCTCTTGTAACAGGTGTGGCTCACTCATCAGAATGCACTCCATGTCCTGATGGCACATTCAGTGGGCCTGGAGCTCATGAGTGTACCGAGTGTAAAGAGGATTTCTACGCTCCTCGGGGTTCTTCGGTGTGCTTACCATGTGACCGAGTCACTCACTATGCACCAAAAGGCTCTCCAGTGTGTCTTCAGCGACCTCCATGCACATCACTAGATTATTATGAGATAGACTCAGCATGTGATGAGAAGAATCAGGTAGGCAGTTATGTAAAGTTCTGCCACTTTATAGTATTGGTGCTGTGCTGACTACCTCACATTGTTCAAAGTACAGGTACTGTACAGTATAATGATATGTAAATCACACTCTGAGTAACTGCATTCAAGGTTTCAAATGTCATTAACAGTATGCTGGACGAGTATTTGAAGGTGCAATATTCTCAGTGGTTAGTTTTCTTTTAAAAAATTAAGCATTTCATAATGTTAAAGAGCATTTACAAGTCTTGAAATCATTTGAACAGCTCCTTCAGGTCTTTCTGTATTGTTGTTACATTGTCTTGAGTTGTGCCACCTGCAGACTTGACAATTTATCTCGATATGTTTTTACCTGTCATTTATGGAGATCACAAACAGGGTAGGTTCAAGGATAGAACCTTGTGGTACTTCACTGAGAACCTTTTTCCATTCAGATTGTACTTCATTTATTACCACTCTTTGTTGTCTGTCTTCGAGGCAGACATTTTTAGTGGTGTCCAGTTGTGCATCCCACACCAAATTATTTACTTTACAAATGCTTCTTGGTACCAAGCATTTTGGATTTTTGATATTCAAGTGTACTTAACCTTACTCATGGCCTTTAACCATAAGAGGAGTTAGACAGGTGCCTCTGCACCAATGCTTCAGAGTACTGTATGGTCAAGCCCATGTTGCTGTACTGTGCCTCGAGGCTTGAACCCACGTGTGCTTAAGGGTAGGAAGAACAAACTACCGCTTGCCTGGGTTTTGGTGGGTAAACAAGAAGGCCTGGTTCACAACAGCAGTCTTCATGGACTAGGAATTATGACAGCCATACATGCTAACAATGATGGGAAAATTTATATAGTCTTTCACTATACTCATACTCATGATTAGTCCAGGTATGTTAGCGCACACATACGTATATTTATATTTTTACTGACCAATTTAATATACTCATTTTAATGACAAAATGTCACGTTATTTTCATTCTAACTGGGTTTTTCCTCAGACCCGTGCTGTTTACACATGGGTTGACCCTCAAGTATGCAGGGAACAAGTGAAGGGCTCAGTGTCACTGCCTCCATCTGGAGAAGTCAAGACTTGCCCACCATGTAATCCAGGAATGCACTACACCACCGGGCTCGGTAAAAAATATGTTATTGTTACTAACTTATAACATAATACTGTATATGCTATTTTTGTTTTTGTATAACAGCATTATTGTAAGGCGACATGTTTTTCTAAAATAAAAATTTGGGGGAACCAAAGAATATGGTTGACTGTGAATTAATTGTTATATACATACACACTATAACATAAGTACTGTAATTATGTAACATTAAAGCTACAAATTGTGTGGCTATCCTATTTGTGCCTTGCAGAATTTATGTGCTGATATTAGGTCAAATTGTTGTTTGAGTAAAAAATAATGAATCATTATTTTGAACATTATTTTTCTTAACATACAAATGGTACAGTACACGCTCAGCATTGCTTCACTGATGGTATGTATGTATACAACCAGATTTGTAGGCTCATGACATCATGGAAAAGTACACATTGTGCTGTGTAAGCCCTAATTAAATTTTTTTTTTCATATAACATACAACTGTAGTAGTGATTTAAAGTTATGGTAACAATAACATTTATATACAGTTCTATATATTCAAGTATGTTCCTACCTTGTTGCTAGGCTGGTTGCATTATGAAAATATACTGTTCGGTAATGTGCTGTGCCAACACTACTTTGGAATGCAAGCCCCATAAAATCATGTTCTGCAGATGTATGGACAAGCAAAAGATCCCCCAGCAACTGGAAAATGGCATATGTGAGTCCTATACTGTATTCCAACAGGGAGAATGCCACTCCACAAATCGGGGTGCTGGTGGTACAGCGATAACGTGTGTATCTCTCACCAATATCACATGGGTTCAATCCTGCTTGGCCCAGACACACGTGAGAAAGGTGTTATCCAGTGTGACCCAACCAAATATCACGGGTTCTCCGGAGTTTGGTTCCTACTGTACTAACAATGGATAGACCAATTACCCGAACAGCTAATAAGCTGGTAAGTGGTGAAAATTATAAAACAAAAAAATTATTATGGACCAGTGAGCTTCACCAGCACAGTGTGTAATATACTAGAGAGTAGTATACGAGATGCCATGATGGAACATCTACTACGTATAAACCTAGTAAAGGAAGGCCAGCATAATTTTATACCAGGATGATCCTACTTGATGCAATTACCTAAGGTGCTGGATGTTTGAACCCAGATCCTGGAGTGTGGTGATAATATCGACAATATATATCTGGACTTTGCTAAGGCTTTTGACAGTGTCCAATCATGGATCAGAGACTTTCTTTATGACCGCAAGCAGTGTGAGGTGATTAATAGTGTGAAATCGTCATGCATACCTATGACAAGCGATGTACCACAGGGTAGTGTACTGCAGGTCCATTGTTGTTTGTTTGTTTCATAAAACTCGTGCCAGAAGCTATAGACTCCTCCATACAAATGTTTGCGGATGATGCCAAGTTATTCAGGGAAATTAAGAACCAAATTGACTGTAAAGAGCTACAGAAAGATCTCTACCAGCTTTAGGGGTACTCAAAGGAATGATTGTTGAGATTCAATGTCATGAAACACAAGAGGATCCACCTAAGCAGCATATCACATGTCCCAACAGTACAAATTAATGGAGACAAAATGTGAAAAGGACCTGGATGTCTATGTTGACAATGAACTGAAGTTTTTAGGACTATTGTGAGAAGAAGGTGAATCAAGCAACTAAGATAGTTGGTCTTATAAGAATGGCATTCAGATATACCTTGTAGTGCTCTTCAAAAGTGAGGTGCTTCCTCGTTTGAAGTACTATACTGACATCCACTCTGGTCCCTGAGATATGGTAGAGACTGTCAATTGATTGAAAATGTCCAAAGGAGGGCCACCAGACTGGTGCCTTCACTATGGCACCTCAGTTACCCAGAGAGATTAGAAAGCCTGCAGTTGCCTAACTTATACTATTGGCAGACAAGGGGTGACTTAATAGAAGTTTATAAAAACCTCAGAGGACATTATTCATTTGAGTGTTCATACCTGAAGCTAGTGGATGCCCACCCCACTAGGGGTCACAACTTAAGGTTGAGGAAGCTTCAAGTTCAGAAAACTGTCAGGGCAAATTTTTCAGAGTGTGGGTTGTGAACTCTTGGAACAATCTGCCAGAGCGTTTTGATGGCACCGAGTGTGAGTTCATTCAAGACCAGACATTGACGAACATCGGTCAAAGGTACACATACATAGTTGTACCAGTGTATTCCCAGTGCTTTTCAATAGTGAGTAACAGACATGACTGACTGCCCAAGTGGCTAATGAGCCAATTAGTGGCAAAGAGGATAAAGGTAAAGGTTTTGACTTTTGTAAAATAATTTGACGTTGCATTCTGGATTGAACAAAAATTGCCCTTTTGAGATGATGCCTATGATGGAGTAGGTCATTTTAAGTTTTTGTTCTTATGCAGTAGCAGATTACCCTGGTAACTAACTGTTAAAGACAAATTTATAATCCTCTGTTACTAGAGAAGTGGTATTGTAACATGTACTTTAATAAAATAGAATAATGTTTACAGGTGACTTCAAAAATTTCTAATTAGCTTATCTATGAAATCATAAATAGTTTAAATATTATTCAGTAGAAGTTGATATATAATCTGTAATGCCCTATCATGTTCCTTGCAGGCTGTTTATTCTGCCCAAGGGATGAACATAGTGATGGAGTGTCACCATGCAAGCCATGTCCTCCTAGCACAGCACCCAATTATGGCTACCAGTATCAATGGTGGACTGCCATTCCACCACAGATGGCTGCCACCTGCATGCCTGCTGATGGTATGACTGTAGACATATTTACCATATATTTCTTTGATTATTACATCTTTTATTCATGATTTACAGTTTATCAATGAGTGATCTGCAAGATCCGTATATACAGTATCTAAATCATCTTCTGGCAGTGTCTGCCTTGGCTCAAGGGACTGACATATTTAACAGGAGAATACAATATCCAAACAGAAAATATAATTTAAAAATTTTGCTACAAATAACCCAGTTAAATTAGGGTTCATTCAAGGTCAAGTGTGCAATTTGAATCCTTTTGACCATAAAAGGATATTTATGCTCTTGCTTGTTCTGTTTCTGCCGTGACACTACACGTTAACATACTCTTGGTCATTGTTTGGGAGTACTACTGCCAATGCTTTTGCAGAGATCAACCAATGTGGAAGAATTTTATTCTTACACTTTTAATTCGAGTGACTTCACCCATATGGCCATATTGCCATGTTTACCGTGTGACCACCACAGATAATAGTGGCCATGTAGGGGAAGAGATCTGCATAAGATTCCCTGTTTGTTCTTGGTACCTTGTCCAGGACTTTTTCATAGCTCCTCACTGTTCCATAGGTCTACAACTCCTAGTGTTAAGGAGTACTGTACAGTACAGTACTTCTTTTTTTCAATCCTTAATTATGATTTAGCTCTGAAATTTTGACCTCTTTTGTTTGTAGCATTTTATATCTTAAAAGATGTGGTCTGGGTCTGTTTTACATCTTCTCAATTCCCTTGGATACAGACTGTCTCAATGAAGTCCACACTGTACTATCATGTTTGAAGAGTAGTCAGTCCCAAGGCCATCAACTTCCTTGGACAACTGAGTTGTCACCTATGAGACTATGTCATCTAAGACTCTTCTATAGAGGGGTACCAGTGGTAGTAAAAATACCCTTGGATCAGGGTTTAAACCCAGGAATAGCAGGATGCCAGTTGCATTATTATATGTAGACAATGGTTATGTATTGGAGTATCCCCTTAATAATGCCTCTACTTTTTCAGAGGTGGGATGCAGCAAATCCGATGGTTGGCAAGTTGGTGGAGAATATATACACTCTGGGCGAGGCCATGCAGATGATGCCTACCTTGTTCTTAGCCTTAAGGTTGGAAATAATTTTTGGCTGATAGGCAAACTTGATCAATGAAGCTTTTATTAAATAGCTGGTTTTTATTTAATAGGAAAACTTCTGTGCTTCATGTTACAACAAATATAAATATATTTTATTGAGATTAATATACAGTACAGTATCCCCTGCCAGTGATTGTGATAACTGTAAATACTGTACTGTATTTTTTTATTTTGTGACCCACCTAAACTTTTCACTGATACTGGTTTATATGAGAGATCTTTAACCACTTCCAACCAATCATTCTTGATAAATACAGTAATCATTTCATGTAATGGAATAAAGCATGCAGGCCGATTCCACAAAAGTAAGATTCCGCTAACTCAAAAACAATTACAATAATATCTCCGTTAGCCGGAAACCCCAAACCCGGAACTTTCCAATAGCTGGAATTGAAATTTTCTCTGAAAATCGTTCCAAAGCATGAACTTTCCTGAAAATTCAGGCTTTCGGAATGATTTTCTGAGGGGCACATTTTCCGGAAGATTATGAGAAAATTTTCCCGATGCTCAGAAAATTCTGGGGATGGGGGAGTTTTTTCCAGGTTTGAGAGTTGAAAATCAGGCGCATTGTCCGGAAGTTCCGAGAAAATTTTTCCAGTATACTGTACCTGGAAAATTCTGGGATAGGGGATATTTTTCCGGCTTTGAGAGATGATGTAATGCGCAATTTCTGGAACTTCCGAGCACATTTTCCCGTTACCTGGAAAATTCAGAGGAAGAGGGTTTTTTCCGGCTTTCAGAGAGTTGTCTTGCTACCCGGAAATCTCTCATTCCCAGAAGTGCTCTGCACTAATTGTTCCGGCTAACGGAGATATCACTATACAGTCAACTTTCATATTTGTGCTAATTGGTAGCCCACTGTGCCTGAATTTCTGAAAGGCATAGATTTACGGATAAGCATTAAAAACTTAGGAAAATTTACCGGAAATTCCGCCTAGCTAGATGGAAAAGTAAATGCCGGCACAGAATTGTTCCGCTAATTCAAACTTCTGCTAAAAGGAATTTCATTACTGTTGTATAAGGAATGATTACTGTGCTTCCTCATTACCACTAAGTAGCTCCTGAGTTAAAAGACTTTGAGAGCTGTATTCAGTTGATATTACAGTATTTTAGTATCAGATATCCTCCTTTACCTAACAGGTTGGGGGATTTCGTGGACGTGAAGGTTTTGTCAGCGGTATGCCAATGGAAGTGGGCCGCATCTCTTTCACTTTTGAACTGAAATGTGCCTCAGACTGCAAGTTTGTTTTTATGGAAGTAAGTCTGTCCCAAATACAGTGCATGTTATAGATAAAACATAAGAATGCAATTAGAATATAGGGGCTTGGTTGTTCCTTGCCAATTAAATTAGTGCTCTTCCCTACTGTTTTCTTGAAAATAATAGTTTTGTGAAATAGATAGCAAAACAGTACAGGTACAGTAATATTTATTCTCTATACTGTATACAGTACTTTTTATTGTTATTATTTTTTTTTTTTGCTATCTATTCTATAAAACTTTTGTTACCACATACTGTACACTATTATTTTCAATAGAGCAGCAGAGAGGAGTATACTTATGTAAGTGACAAAGTGACATGTAACTGTGCATCACAAATGTTTGCCAATATTCATTTAAATCTGAAAATCAAGTGCACTTTCCTGGTAAGCAGAAATTGTTCAAACTGTTTGTATAGAAACCAGGTAAAGTTATTATCACATTAGCCGCCTTTAGAAGATTACAAGTGGCTGATAGACTTCACCTTAGTACTGTACTTTATTTGACTTCACCCGACATTGTTAAATACTTATCACTTATTAAAAATAAGCCAAAAATATTAATGCACCAGAAAGGGTGAATTAGTTCTTTCACTTATTCAGAGAGTGAAATATACATCACAGTCAGAAAAATGTCCAATTGACATCAAGAGACAAGTGGTGAGTTAAGAGATATCTTTCTGTAATTGACATACTGTATTGCTTCAGAACCTGTGCTAAAGAATCAGTGCATACAGTTTAATAAAATCCTTGATTGATATGGATTTCTAGGTAAACTGGGTAAGTTAAAGAGATGATGAGATTTGTTGAGCTGAATTTAATTTAATTAAGAATTACCCTTCAGATCTGGAGAATTGTCTGCATGATTAGGCTGTTATAGACGAACCCCCCCTCCCCCCCCTCACAAATTTATGTACACTTTGATATACAGTCAACCCTCGCTTTACGCAGTCCCACATTCCGCGTTTCCACGTTTACGCGGTACCCTGCCGAAACAGGAATGCTCACATTCCGCGGTGCGTGTACCCCTTTACGCGGAGAGCGGCTGGCGAGCCGCGCCATTTTTGGATTCAAACCTCCCGCCATCCGCCATGTTGTGTAAGCTGCGCGAGCATGATGTGCACAAGGTCGCCCAGTCATCAAAACATTACCGAGTTCTTCACCGCCACCCACCACAGCCGGCCCAAGTCAGTGATAGTGATAATTATAGTGAAGATATGGACTTATATGGACTTTGAGGGGTTTGACAAAGAGGCCCTGCAAGCCTCTATGGTGGATAGTGATACAATTGATACAAGTGATACAGGTGGGGGCCAATAATCTGCCCTCTGCCTCGGAACCAACCGCCCATTCCCGTGTGCCCAGCCATCTTTTCTACTAATGTAAGTGTTAGAAAACCTAATATTATTGATATTTCTCTTAATTATTAATTGTTTGTGCATACCATCATAAAGTTAAGATAATATTTTTACTACAACATAGTTGTGTGTCATCAAAAAGTGGAGTTTGGGGGTCGGCCCGGACTCTTATTTCAATTAATCCCATATGTTATGTTATTCACTTTACGCGTTCCTCACTTTCCGCGGCACCCTGTGGGTTACATTAACTGCGTAAAGTGAGGGTTGACTGTATGATAAAACTTTTAAAGCAACATTTCTGTTTGTTTGATGATCAGTACAGTAACTGTAGTGGTGAAAGGTATTTTTTCTAAACTCATAATAAGTCATCAGGAAATAAATACTACAAATTTAAATAATAAAAGATATATACATGTATATGGAGCAATATAATGATGAAGATTTAAGTTGGAAGCAGAGACAAACGTGTAAAAGTTATTTTCTAGAGTTAGCTAAGAAGGTAAATGGTATTAACACTGTACAGTATATTGGTAGAAGTCACAAAATATTTTATTATTATTATTATCTCACTTTAGTACCAAATTTATAGTACAGGTGTATTTTGATTACAAAATTTTCCTAGGCTTCTACCAAGAAGAGTGCAACAGTTCTTCAACATTGGTCGGGAAATTTACATCGCCAGTACTACAGTTACTTGATAACAAGAAATGATACCTACACTTTCTCATGGGCATTTCAGAAGGTGAGATAAAGATTTTGGTTTATATGAACTGAATTGTATTTTATTGTTTTAATAGTGAAAATTGTTTATGTGTATCAGTACTGTATCACTATACATAAACTAAACACAAACTGATGCTCTGTTGTTTAAAGAGGTAATTAAAGTAATTCTATAATTTTTCAAAACCTAAATTACCATTCATATCTAAATATGCATTAATACTATCTTATTATCTGTGGAACTACAGGTAGCATGGGAGAAAAGTTACTTGAAAAAAGAGTCATCACGTATGTTTGAGGGGGACATGGCAAAGGTGTTCAATATCAACGTGACAAATACCATTGATGGTGGTGCTTCATCATGTCTTCCCTGTCCTCAAGTAATTTGCCTGGCATTTGTTTCTGTGTGAATTTACATGCAATAAACTTTTCCATTGTATACATGTTCTGTACAAGTGAAATACCAGGTAGTTATCATGGTTTGTAGGATAATGAATTATAAATAAGTTGCATTTAGTAGTACAGTATTAAATTTTAATATATAACTTCATTGTTTCAAGTGTAAAATCAACCTGAGGTAATCTCACCCACTGTGTTTTAATTTTTTATATTAATGGAGGATGATTGTAGTGTATTTCAAAATCCAATCTTTATTACACACCTAAATACAGTATAATTAAATGACTATACTGTACTGTATGTATAATATCCATTCCTGGAAATAATTAGGCAGTAAGTAGTCACTATTTATATTAACTTAATAAATTTTCTTGTTATGTAGGCCCCAGCTGCTTCAGGGTGTATCCCTTGCCCAGCTGGCCACTATATAGAGAATAACACGACTGAGTGCACCCGCTGCCCCCCAAACACTGTAGTGACAGACCCACTGCCATATGGCCATCAGTCCTGCCTCCCCTGTGGCCCAGGTCTCACTGCTCCAGACCATCTCTCCTGTATTGTTGAGTGTCGCTTAACTGTAGACAACAGAACCTACGACTTAACCAACATTAGCAAGTAAGAGTTCTCTCAGCTTATTCATTTCTTCATTAGATATCAGCAAAGCCATTGCACAGTATGTATATATATATATATATATATATATATATATATATATATATATATATATATATATATATATATATATATATATATATATATATATATATATATATATATATATATATATATATATATACAGTATATACACACACATATATACTGTACAATCAAAAACAAAATTCGTGTTGTGGTTTTGTCCGAAGATTAAATATAACTTGTGAAACATTATGAGAGCCCTACTTACAAGGCAGAGCACACCAAGAGTTTAACCCTTCGGCACACATATGTTTTCACCAAATTTCACAACACGACTTTTATCTTTCAATTTACATATAGTACTTTCACACTTATTGAATGTACAGTACTGTATACATAACTAATAACTTTAATGGTATTCTTGGCTGATTATATACTGGTACAGTAGCATGCAGTATCTCTTGGAATCTCTTGGAAATTCATTTGAATGTCCAGAATAAAGAGGTTTTCGCAGAATTTTCTGGAAATGCACAGATGCAATCTCTCAGAAATTCGTTCAGTGAAATGGAGAGATTTTTCTAAAAAAAAAAAAATGGCTACTGTTGGAGAGTTCCAGGGATCAAAAATTCCTGTTAATGGAGATATTACTGCATACATTATATATACAGTGTATGAAATGAGATTTCACACTTAGTTCACCATTTTTACATTTGGCTCTTCTTTTTCAGTGCACGAGCCACAATGGGTAGCACACTGTTTACATCATCAGGAACCAAGTTCTTTCACATGTTTAACATCTCACTGTGTGGGAACACCAGTGTCACCTGTGCTAACAATGTCTCCTACAGCATAGAGGGTGAAAGTACTTCTGTGAGTATGAATTTTGTAGTGTGGCGATAATTTATTGTTTGATCAGTACTGTATTGTAGTAAAGTTAAGATTATTCATAACATTCTCCCACAAGGCTTGATACAGGAGAAATATTTTGGCCTCATAAAGATTAGGCACAACAACATGTTTAATTTTTTTTTTTTTACCGGGATTAGCCCACCCGGGTACAGGTCACTGACCCACATCGGGGCCTGGGGGGCGAAAGTGTAATAAAAATAACAATAATAATAATAATTAGTTCACAGTAAATAAAATGTATATTAAATAATACAGAATTAGAAATAAAATAATAATATGAATAATAATAATAACAACAACAACACTGATAATAATAATAATAATAATAATAATAATAATAATAATAATAATAATAATAAAGAACCACAAAGAAATACAAAAATGCGAGGAAGTATTGTTTTTTATCCTCTTCACCACTGATCGGCTCGTTAGCCGCTTGGGCGATCGGTCACGTCTCTGTTACGCACTGTTGGCAAGTACTGGGCATGATATTGTACGTGTATTTGAAGAATTATAAAAGTTCTTTACATCTTTTTTACAGGTTACATCACGGGTGTGCCGGTCTACTGTTGTACCAAAGATGGAAGGCTTATACGGCCCAGGAAGGATTGAAGCCGTAGCTACACAGTCCGTCACACTTGGTGATCACTTAGTGGGTGTCTCTATCAATACCACTCTCATGGACATAACTGTCATAGAGGAATTTCAACTACCTAATAATTCATTAAAAAAAGATTTACATTTCTTCTACAAAACACCATTGTAAGTACAGTTGTAGACATTTAAGCACTTTTGTGTTCACAAATTTGAACTGAATTCATGCATTTTTGTGTTATTTTACATTTTCACTCATAACATTCTAACATTAATGATAAGTTAAAAAGTGCAGTAAAGCTGAGTCACTTTCTTTAATCCTTTGAATGCATCATAAGAATTCCTTGGCATTCTCTAAAGCTGTAATTTTACAATGAAAAAATTTAATTAATATTTTTAACCTTTAAACAGTACTGTACAGGTACTGACATTACTTGACTTACATTTTAAAAAGCATGAGATTTCCATTTCTGGCATTCAGATTTCTTGGAAATCATATTTTCTGTGAAACTTTTTTTTCGTTAAACTTACTTTAAAAAAATGCTGTACTATATTTGTCCCACTTCTACTGTTTTGAATGTGCTAAAACTAATTTACATAGATACATTATTATAAAATACATGCAGTAAACCCTGATATAATAAACACTCTCTATAACAGTCCTCATATTTAACAGACACTTTTTCCAGTTTAGACTAGATTCATATACAGTGGTCCCTCGGTTAACGAGCACAATCCGTTCTAGAAGGTTGCTCGTTAACCGAAAAACTCGTTAACCGAAACCATTGTTTCAATGGGTTTTTTGGGTAATTGGTTCCAGCTCACCAAAAATTGCCTAAATTCAACAAAAAGGGTAGAAAAGTACACTTACTTTGAGGTGTGTATGTAGAAGGCTCCTGGATGATGATGATGGGAATTAGAATGGGGGTGGAGGAGAAGGGAGAAGAAAAGGCATTGGGGTGGAAGAGAGGTCACCCCATGGCGCCATTTCACTCATAAAATTTTAGTTCTCTTGGTGTAATTCAAGATTATTTTCTTTAAATCAACACTGCACTGCATTTATATTGTCAATATGTAAAATAAATTTCAAAATGACCAATAATTTGCTTGCAAACACAGAAAAAAGCTTTTAGTTGAAGAGAGTCTCAAGCAAGATGTTACCTCCACTGAAAAGACAGAGAGAGACTGGCACCTGTTTGATGTTGACAGGCTGGATGGCGCACATAAAAATAGTTTCCTTATCTTCAATTATGTTCAATAATTGTTAAAATGACTAAAAAATTTTATATTAAACTTTTAAAATTATTAAATAGTATAAACGTCTTGATATTTACTAAAATGGTAAGGAATATAAGCCCTAGAACCGATTACTGTATTGGCGGACTAATACTACAGCTGTTGGACCGCCAAATGCAAGCGAAAACATGTTGAGGTCGGCTTGTAAGAAACTTGTTAATCGAGGGATTGCTCGTTAACCGAAGTTAAGAATCTTATGGAAGGTAACTCGTTAACCGAAATCTCGTTAACCGAGGGACCACTGTATTACAAACTCAAGCCTGTTAAAGTAAAAAATAACAGACTCAGGTCCATTATGGTAAAAAAAACAAAAATGGACTTGGGTCCATTTGTATGCAAATTATCACAAATAATTTCAGTAGTAATACCCTGTTTAGCCCTACCCGTCATAACACTGATTTGTTATAGAGCTCTTTGGTCCTTCCAGGAGTTAATTTTTACTAGAAAGCAAAAAACAATGATGAAAATCCATAATACAGTACAAGACAGAAGTTACAAGACAGAACACTCAGGATTTGCTGACAGCGGCCATGCTTGCTTACATTCTCTCCTCCTGTAAGAGCGACGTATCCATGTACGCTCCCAGCCAATCAGCACTCTCCTTCTTGTGTAAAATTCTTTCCTTGTAGCATTCAACTTATTTGACATGCTTGCTCTTTATATGATTGATTTCTGCACATTATAGTGAATATTTGTGCACCACTAAAGGTCACAGTCTCAGGTTAAAGAAGCCACAAGTTTGGGGGTGTTGGTGGTACAGCGGTAATGCATGTACAGTATCTCTCCACTATATTATGGGTCTTAGTTCTGCTTGGCCCAGACACACATGAGAAGGGTGTTAAACAGTGTGACCCTACCAAACATCATAGGTTTTTTCCAAGTACTGCACTGTACTCCAGTTCCCTCCGTTACAAACACAGGACAAATAGAGTTCATGACAAAGAAACAAAGAATGGATCAACCACCCAAATGGCTAGTAAGTGATGAAATGATAAATAAAATAAAAAGATTAATACGTTAAAAAACTGCCATGGTAATCTGTTTGGGAGTGAGAGTTGTAAACTCTTGGAATAATCTGCCAGGGAACATTGTGGTAACGCTGAGTGTGAACTCATTGTTCCCCCCCCCCACATCCTTGTGTAAGGTGAAGCGCAGAAGCGTTTACAGCGCCCAACAGGGAAGCATGCTAAGTTCACGCTTGCCTTATGTCTCATGAGTTAAGGGCGTAGTAGCCTGAAGAGTCAAGGGCGTAGAAGCCTGAACAGTCAATGGCTTATGTCTAAGCAAGTTATTGGAAGCTCCAACAACTTGTCCCTGAATACGAATTCGCAACTTTCGATTTACAGCAGGTACCTACCTTGCTGCTAGGTGAACAGGGACCAAGGGGACTAGGAAGTGTGTCCAAACAACTTCCGCCGGCCCGGGAATCGAACCCGTGACATCTTGCTTGCGAGGCAAGAACGGTACCGCTCTACCACCAGCGCCCCTTGTGAACTCATTCAAAACTAGATATGACCAACACTGGCACAAGTACAGATACATTCTGGAGCCAGTGCATAACAGACATGACCGACCATTTGAGTAGCTAACAAGCCAATCAGTGGTGAAAATTATAAAGTAAATAAAGAAAATTATGGGGTTTTGTGGTTCCTGAGCCCCAAGCTTTAGCAGGCATATTTATACAGTATGCTGTACTGTATTTGCAAGTCATTCTAGACAAGCTTATGTTGTAAAGAAAGATAAACTGAGGACAAGATTCTTTGAATCCTTGAAATGCATAAACCGTAAATTATTATTAATCACGTTAACTGTATACTTTACAGTACAGGTATTCTTTTTATACCAGTAAGTACTGTTTTGATCTTTTACTTGTGGTGTGAACTACCGGTGTACTATTTGCACTCCTTCTCTGGTACGGAAAACCGGCTATTTTTTCTTGCCCAACGATATTGTTCTATTGTATTTGTTCAAATCAGTATTCTATGTTTCTATGTATTTATTAAAAAAAATATTCTGCAGAGTATTCTTATATAATTAAAAACTGGAGTCTGCTAGTCTTTTTTAAATTGTTATGAAACCAATCTTCTGTAATGTAGTATGTAAATGTGATTTTCTTATAATATTTACTTATTATATTCTAGATCAACTCATGCGTGTCCTAAGGGCAGAAGTACAACAGTAACCTTGCGCTGCAGTCCTGATGACCCGGGTGAGGGGAAAGTGACCCTGCCTCACCAGTGCCCTGATGGTACCTGTGATGGATGCAACTTCCACTTTCTCTGGAGCACTGCGCTTGGCTGCCCTGAATGTTCCAAAGATGATCTGATGTTAGTTTTCTTATTGCTCTTTTTTCAATTGCAAAAACCTGATTATACAATTTAAATGTGTTTACTATGCCATTTAAAGTGTTTACTCTATGTAAATATTTTCATAAGAAAGAAAAATGGTAATGGATGAGAAAGAAGAAGAAAGTTGCTCAGGATCATATGCATAAAGTAAGAAATATACAGTAATACCTCGCCATTCGCAACCCCGCTTATCCGCAATTGATATTTTAACATCCCTATTCAATATTTGCAAAGCATGCCCCGGTTATTCGCAATTGAAAAATTACAAAACCAATACAGTAATATTTCAAACCAGGCGGACTAACAGCAGCTCTCGTATTTCGACGTAAGGGCCACTTCACTCGAGAGTTTTTTCCCTATGCATACGGACCTGCACGGTTTAGAAATGAATGAAGTTCAATGGGACGGAAAACACGTGTAATTATTCACATGCAGGAGACGTTCATCCCAGGCCTGTACCTGTACTTCCAAACCATGGCATGAAAAATATGCTGAGCATTCTAGAATTTTTCATATGACAAACACATTTTTCCCTCATGTCAGTTGTGGTGCATCAAGTCGTTCTAGAGTAAAGGTCTGGCGAGTCCAGTACAATAGAGCAATTTTAGCACATGTTAAAGGGCATTGCATGAGCGGATTTCTGATGTGTGGATGCGTACCAGTATTAAATACCCACACAAAATAAGACCCTACTGTAATGGGTTTCTCTTTCACATGTGACAGCCACAGTGAAGAACCATGTGGCATGTCCATATTGAATGGGTTAGGATCTTATCTTATAATTCTGTCCACTGGAATTTAATAGTTTTTCTTACATACAAATAAGAGCTCATATACGATTTGCTAAACCACATAACTATCTCATTGTTGTTTTTCCCTTTGTGTGACTCAGTGTGGTACATGGAGAGTGTGGGGCTGGGAAGCAGAAAGTGCACTACATTGCTCCCAAGAACTGTCGTGCTCCTGATGATATTACTGGAGGCCAATTTGTACCCTGTACTACCAGGTTACCATTCCTTGTGGAGGTAAGAATTATTTTTGTTGACTTATTTTGCATTAAATTAAGTAATATGTTCAAAGGTTGATAAAACAGAATTAGAATTAAAGCTATGAATGCAATTTACTAAATACTGATGAATGTGTGAAACTGAAATTAAGATACATTGCTGAGAAGACGAAGTGGATCACTTAGAGATTAGCACCCCAGCTTATTTCACCTGATGATTAAACACCTTAACACTACCTTGGGGGTGTGGGTTACTTAAGCAAGGTTGGCATTTGGGTTAATCATACTAATAAACTTTCCCAAAGGTCAAATTCAAAGGTGTGTGAACTGGACATATTCTACCGTGATAATGTAAAGTGCATACAACTTTAGGTATGGGACCATTTATCCAGTGTCCCATTATCCGGAACGCTCCAAAAACCAGCTTTGGTCTGGACCAGATTATTTGAAATAAGCAGCCAAAAGTAATTCTCGGGCTGAATGGGGATAATTCCAACCATCCCCACCTGTGAGCTACCTGAATATGTTGTTATGTTATGTTTATTTTTCAACTCATAATTTTGGATAGATATATAAAATTTTCTTTACTCAGTTACATACACACTCAAACTTATACAATATACAGAAAGTGAAAAATTAATTATCATAAGGTATTGTATAAAGTATTTTTCAACTCGTTATTTTTGGCAGCTACACCTAATTTTTGTTTTACTTGGTTACATGCATACACAGTCCTACATTGAGAAAGTGGAAAAAGAAATAATTATCCTCAGGTACTGTATAACATTTTACATATTTACTGGTGGCGAGTGTGTGGAGGTTGGAGGGTCCGTGGCAGAGCACTGTTGCTAAGAACGCTGCTGCATTACTAAGGCGGGTATCAGGAGCAACTGGGACGCAGTGTGTACACTAACTTGTATAATTTTTTCTTTTCTTTTTGTGCTTTCATTATTACTGTACTATTTATAAACTGTACTTTTATTGTTTATATGCTTATAATTTTTCGTTTTAATGTAACAGTGTACAGTACAGTTAAAGCTACTTTTAGGGGTGACTCCAGTGATCAGAACAGAGTCTTCACAGCCAGTACAGAGGGTTTACCGTAAATTTTAGGCCTGGCATTCCAAATTAAAAAAAAAACCTATCCAGCACGCCGTATCCGTACAGTAAATAAGGAACTCCAGACCATACTCTGCTAAGTACCAAAATAGAAAATGGAGGAAAATGCTCAGACAGGAATGTGTGGCATACAATAGTCTTTTCAGAGGACTCTCACCCACATGTACATGTTTCCAATTGGCACTCTCACTTACCCAGGGGACAGAGGAGTGGTTGGGGAATACAGTGCAATACATATTATGTTTCAGCGACATATGGCTCTTAGCCGGTTATGGTCCGGAGCTCCTCATCTAGGAATTAACATACCTAGGTAGCATTTGCTGACGTCGCATTCGAGCTATATCACAAAAACTGGTTTTTAGAAAAAAACGACTTGGGGGGCACAAATTCCTACTTCAGAAGTACTGATTGGTGATTTACTCAATAACACAAATACTGTACGTATCTGGTATTTTTGTGTTGTTTAAAAATGTATAACTGGGTTTTCTTTTCAGGTAATCGTCTTGAGCACAGTTAGTATGGCCTTGATGTTGTGTTTGCTTCTCTTCTGTCTGTGGAAGAAGAATCAGCGTCTGGAGTACAAGTACATGAAGTTGGTAGCCAGTGCTTCATCAAAGGTAAGGTTTTGTAAACTGGAACATACTGTACAGGGCTGTAATGGTAATTATTTTTTTTGGGTGGTGGTGGTGGGGGAGGGGTTATATGCTGCTCTCACAAGTCAGCAAGAGAATGGGGAAGGGACTTAGTACAAGTACAATTAATGCCTTTCAACAAAAAAAAATCAAACTAAAGAAGAGGTATAATCTATAAGTTTATACCTCTTCTTTCCTGCACGCACAAGTCTATAACAATGTCTTTTCATCCACAACTTCCAAATCTAATACCTGTACAGTATGTCGGTTTTTACCATTACCTGTACTGCACTACAAAACTGTATAAATGTGTGACATTTTCTCATACAAGTTTAAAGAAATACCCTTTTATAATAAATCACTTAAATGAATGTTATTCTAGCAAAGTTGAAGAAATTACCAAGCTTTCCTCCCACACACATGTAAGACAATGTCTTTTAATCATAAAATAAGAAAATAATTTCTAATACTACTACCAAAATTTACAAAATATTAATGTATTTTTACACACAGCTCTAAAGCAGCGCCAAACTGCTCATTATGTGAGTCTTAGGCATTTCAGTAGATTTTTTACTGTGTCCGTTGCAGTCCTGACCTCTCTTTGATATATGACTCAGGCTTCCAGAGATGCAACAGTGGTCCATTTACACTGATGAACATCAAGCTGGCTATATTGGAGACAACGAGAGATGGACGATAATACAGTATATAGAAATCTCATTCATGAGGCTGAAGGCATTTTTACACTCTGCAGTGTTGCTGGTTAGTTTTGATGCACACTTGTAGATCTTTCAAACCTTCTGGTAACAGTAGTGTGATCTTGGACAAATTCTCAAATAGAAATTACAGTTGGTTGAACATGAATCTCTTACTCACCACAGTGTAGGGAAGGTTGAGCTGACCAGTAGGTGGTAGACAAGATATTAAACTGAGAGCTGCTCTGCCTCAGGATCAGGAAGTGGTGGTTTGTGTGGGGTTATTCTATTTTCACACAGTCTGTTGCACAATGAAGTGCAGAAGTGAGTGCACCAGTGAAATAATTACCTGTACCACAGATCCATTGTACTTTTCTGTCATCTTCTAGTGTCATACCTCTCAAGATATTGAGTTCTTTGGTGTCATACCTCTCAAGATGTTGAGTTCTTTAGTGTCACACCTCTCAAGATGTTGAGTTCTTTGGTGTCACACCTCTCAAGATGTTGAGTTTTGGTGTCACACCTGTGAAGATATTGAGTTCTTTGGTGTCACACCTCTGAAGATGTTGAGTCTTTAGTGTCACACCTGTGAAGATGTTGAGTCTTTAGTGTCACACCTGTGAAGATGTTGAGTTCTTTGGTGTCACACCTCTGAAGATGTTGAGTCTTTAGTGTCACACCTCTGAAGATGTTGAGTCTTTAGTGTCACACCTGTGAAGATGTTGAGTCTTTAGTGTCACACCTGTGAAGATGTTGAGTTCTTTGGTGTCACACCTCTGAAGATGTTGAGTCTTTAGTGTCACACCTGTGAAGATGTTGAGTCTTTAGTGTCACACCTGTGAAGATGTTGAGTTCTTTGGTGTCACACCTCTGAAGATGTTGAGTCTTTAGTGTCACACCTCTGAAAATTTGAGGTCTATAGTGTCACATCTCTGAAGATGTTGAGTTCTCTAGCTTTTAGAGCTTAAGCATAATACAGCTCCTCCCTGACTTACGACGGGGGTTAGGGACCCAAATTCAGGTCGTAAGTGAAAATGGTCGTGAATTGAAAATGCTTAAATAATACATAGAAAATCTAAAATGGGTGCCTCTTTTTCTTCTCAGCACCACAAAACTCTCACTTTTAAGCTTGCCAGCCATTTTAAAGTGATTTACAAATGAAAATTTTGTCAGTACACAGCGCAATCACTGACGTTGGGACTCGAAAATACGTAATTTGACAAAATTTTGGTACAACTGAGGCGGTCGTATGTCCGGGTGGTTGTAAGTCAAGTAGGTCGTAATTCGGGGAAGAGCTTATTGTCCCAGATCCTCTTATAAGCTGTTGCATATGGGCCTGTGGTAGAACTGACCTGCACATTCCAGATTCATGTCCTGTGACCTGAGTTAAGTAGAGAGATGACAATTTTTTTAAGACATCGAACATCATGCTTAGATTATAATGAATTGCAAAGTGGATAATTTTTTGGGTAGATCTCACATTGTGCTTTGAGTGGTTGCATCAGTGAAGTGAGAATCAAAAGCTGCTTACAATATCCAAACTGTTTTTACCTGTACTATTCTGCAGCTGCTACCCACACATCAGACCTGAAGAATGCAGGCAGTTTTCAAAATTTGTACCCCCAGGTCTTCAGAAATATTTTGAAATAGTTGAGGGCCTTAGTTTTATCTACTGTTTCTCTAATGCCTAGCTCCAACCTATCGTTCAGACAGTGCCATAAAAAAAAGGGTGGGGGTACATTTGTTTCAATTCTGTTACAACTCCCATGATCATTCCTAGTATGAAACTCATTCCTTTACTTACAAAGGACAGCCAGTGATGCTGTAGAGTGTAGATAGTCTTCCATTAAGCCACATGACCTTAGACATTTAACCTTAGTGAGTACCGTATATCCTGCAACAGTTACTGTCACACTGTTCTAGACGTATCCTGCAGCAGCTGTTGTAATATGTTTCTTGTGAGCCCAGTTTAAATTTCCTATACAGTACTTTGTATATGCTGAGCATCTTTGTGAAGGCTTCTGGCAACTGCCCCCCCCCAAGGTAGTTTAGGCTTCTCACTCATTATTAATGGATGAATTATGGCTGGTCAATATGTACCGTTTCTGCTCGTTGCCCCACGGAGGAGGAAATTCACACTATTTTATTTTATTCTGGAGACAAGGATGACCCTTCCATGTATATAACAGTGATATAAGTGAAGTTAGAGACTTTCCTCAAGATATGACTAGTGAATCTTTGGTGAATTTGTATGATGAAGATGAAGAATATGCTATTTGTGGTGGGATAGCTTCTACAGGCCATGTGTCCATCCATAAGGCTCCCACAGTGATTGGAGTGATTCTGTTTTATTCCTCCTGATCTTTGATGTTGTAAATCAGGAGTGTATGGTAAGATTCAAATGGTTTTATGTTTTTTTCTTTTTGATCTTCCCTATCCAGTGGGTAATGACCATGAGTTGCCATCACCACCTTCAAAGGGTTACGGAGTGCATCACATTGTCATCTTTTCCTCCAGGGTTGAGTGATTAAACTGTCACTGGCTTTTTTGTTTAGTCCAGTAAATGTTACATTGTTACCTTTTACTACAGGATGGGATAATTGAACTGCCACCAGCTGAGTCATGTGCTTTGGATGATGGTGAAGAGGAGGAGGTGCAATATGCACAGAATCCACCACGAGGCATCCTCAGTAAACTTAAACACAACAAAATAGCTGTAAGTAAATCACTCTTATTCATTTATTATTTTAGAGGTACTATTTAGATCAGATATACACTCTATGTGGAAAAATGATTTGATTTTTAGTTAAGAGTATTAAGCATATTGTACTGTATAAGATAAACAGTTAATAATAATGTAAAAAATATTTGTCAAAGGTGAGTTCATTCTATTTCATAATTTTGTTTTTTTAATCTTATAGGAGAGAACAAAGTAGGGAGCAAACAGAGGTAAGACTATAAATGAGGCACTGTACTGTATTGGCAATGAGAGTTAAAAAGGTTGGAATAGTTGTAAAGATGTAAAAGAACACGGTTGTCCACGGTTTGTATTTTCAAGTAGATAAACTGAAGAAGGAGGAGCATATCTGGTACAGGTATCCCTCGTTTAATGATGGGTTTGTGTTTCTCCAAAAATTAATGTTAAGCAAAACTATCGCTAAATGAGGGATAACAGCAAAGCACAGAGGGCGAACCATTGAAGTTTCAAACGGCAGGGCAGTAAACACTGAGTACAGTAGTACTCCCTCCTTTAAATGACTAATGTTATAAATGATTTTAAAGTTAAATAATTGATTTACTAACACCAAAAATTCTATAAAAGTGCCGGGTGAGCCTAATTCGAACAAATTTGAAATTGCATACTTCAAACATTAAAAAAAATTGCTGTGATAAACAATAAAATTGATACATATGATAAAATATAATAGCACATATTTTATGTTAAAAAAAATAGCTTCTTCCACACTCAAACCATCCTCTGGGCGATGTGACACAGTTTGGTCAGGTAGTCACCCAGCTGACTCAGAAACATGTGGCTGCTGCCACGCTCTGTATGCCTTGATGTGCCATTGGGGGAGGGAGTGCGGCTGTGTTGGCAATGCAGTTACACCCCACTGCCTCCACGCACATATATTCACTTCCCACACACATACACACACACATTTATTTATTTTTGCTTTATAGATTTATATTATGTATTCTTTATTTGTAAGCCACATTAGAATACTGTACTGTACTGTACTGTATTATAATGATTTTTTCCACCACTTTTATAGTTTCATTACATGTAACAATGGCAACATTCACAAGTCACCTCACCCCCAAATTTGACCCTTTCCCAGTGAGACAAGCTATTGATAAACCAAATTTTAACCTAATCTTAAGCAAGAAAGGGTGTAAAAATTGTTTTATCTTTAAAGCGAATTAAGACTAAACTAAGGATACTTGTACCAGAAACTTGATATGTGAGAGTGGGAGGCACAGTATAACCAAATATTGAAACAAAATAGAGAAAGAGTACTTTAATTGGAATAAAATACTTCTATGCAGTATTTTTAGTTATCTGACTAATCAATTACACTGTATCATGTTTGAAACATTAATTATCTACTCTAAAGGTACACAAATATCATACCAGACCATGTTACCATATTTCTATTGAGTCCTGAGGCTGCATTAAATATGCCAGTACAGTACTGTACAGTACAGTGCAGTACAGTACAGCAGAGTATGTGACTATGAAACCAAGTAAAAATCTTGGGACCATGTCATTTCTGAATTTAGAAGTCAGGTGAAAATCTGCCAATTATATGTCAATTCAGGCAGCAAAATTGTTGGTTGCCAGATGAAAATGAAAACCCTAATTTTCCATAAAAACAGAAAGAGTAATGATATTTTGAGAACTGAGGCAAGGTCTCAAAGAGAGGAGGTTTAGGCAGAAGTTAATGGAAGTGTCAATAGTCGTATAGAGATATGGAAAAGTGCAAGATTTTTCCACTGGACAAAACCAAATGAATAGGGGGATTAGATGTCCATGGTATAAATGACAATGTGTAGTATTGTATGATTGTACAGTATTGTACTTGATGAAGTAAAAAAATAAATACCCGTACAAAATTTAAAACCCTTTAGAGGTAAAAAAGAAACATAAGTACACTGTACTGCATTACATCATATGCCTACTGTCTTACTTGAAAGCCTACGGTAACTGCATATTTACATTCAACTAATCTAAGTTTTCTTGTGAACCAGTGTTGGAGCCATACCGTAATTCAAGGAAATCAGAAATCATCTTTAACAGTTACAAGTATTATTCACATGAATAATAGGCTATAAATGCAGTATGATCTAAAGAAGTACAGTACAGAGTAGTGAGAAAAAATCTTGAAATTTTAGGTAGAAATTTCAAGGTTAAGTAGCCATCATATGGTGCTATATGAATGATTCACGCAACTTCAGGTATCCCTCACTATACAAAAGTTTGCTTATCCGATAATTCTATTCTTACACCTTTCTTAGTATCCAAAAGCAATATTTGCCAATACGAAAAATGGTCCATTTGAAAATTAAAATTGCATGCACCCAGGAGTCAGCTGAAGCAGTATAACATCACTGCCACTCCCTCCCACATCCCCCCTCACACCATATGTCTTGCAGCCCATTCACTTAGTGTTTGGTTAAAGTGAAGTGCTCTCTCTTTATCTGCGTGTGTTCGTGTCATTTTTTCGTGAATCTGTACAAAATGACACCCAAGTGTTGTGCTGATTCCTCGGGTATTCTCACCATCACCAAGAAACCGTATAAGCCTGTGATAATTGAAAACAAGCTGCCTCACATAAGGTAAAGTATCACCTGTATACTGTACTATACTGTATAATTATGTACTGTACAGTATTTTGTTTAAATCAGTAATTTGTTAGGTACTATAATACTGTCTTTGTTGTTATTAGTAAGCATAATTAATTTTCTTTGGTATAACAGTTAGTATTTTGTTCTTTGTGAACTAATTTATTTATTTTAGGTATAATACAGGTCTTGGAGTTTTCTTGGTGTTTGGGAATCTAACCCTATTTTCCCCATTTAAAATCTTATTCACTATTCGAAAGGTTTTTAAGGAACCTAACCATTTCTTATTGTGAGGGAGAACTGTAATTTTAAAACCAGAAAGCTCCAAAATCCAGCAACTGCTCTTGTTTTCAAACATACAGGGTAACAGACTATGGAGTTTCAGTTTTCTCTATGTTGATTCCTCTTTTGAAGTAGATGGTCTCATATAACCAAGTCTGTCATAATTTTCCACATACGGTATTTTACTAAATAATACAAATGTTTTGAAAACACATAAATTGTACAATGGCCTTTATTTCTTTTATTTACTGAACAGGCAAAAAATTATACACCATACTGATGTAAACCAGTTTTCTACCTTTACAAGTAAGCAGACCATATACAGTAGTAATTGGCATTTTATGTTTTCTGGAACACATCATAGCATGCCTTGTGTGATCTTTTCTCACAAATAGTGCACTTCAGTCTGGTATTTTTCACACACACACAGAGCATTGTCCTGTGAGCAAGGTTCCTGGAAGTTATTTATTTTGTCATGCCTTGAAAGGTGATGCAGACCTCCCTGTTGCTGCCTCTCTTGTTGAACCTTCACCATGGCTTGAGCTACTTCTCTCTTAAACTACAAATGTGTAATATTTTTACTATTTTAAGTAGGGTTATCATGCTGGTAAAATATAAAGGCAGTAACGGTAGTTAATTTCAAGATATTTTAAAATAAATTTCATCACCACTTTTTTCAGCACAATCTTGGCTTGTATGATGACAGCATTTGGTGATATATATATACACCTCCCATTCCTTTGTTGTACACATGTATGAGATATACTTCCCCAGAATTTACTTTCCATTTCAGTGAGTTTTAACCTGCAAATAACTATTGTTAACGTGGAATTTACCTGATGTAAATCACGAGATGATGTTAAAACCTAACTAACGTGAATACGGATTACTGTAATCGGATAATTGTACATCGGGGGATACCTGTACAGTACCGGGTATTTAGAATCTGCATCGATATCCTCAGCCAATCTTGAAGTTTCAGGGGATACATAGCACTACAGTTTCACTGTCATTGTTCAGCAATGGAAAGCACTTATATGATAAACTTCTTATGAAGCACTGGAAAGTACTTATGATAAATTCTTAATCTTTAAACACTATTTTGAGTATGTAGTACTGTACTGTATTTTGTTGCATATCCACAATTGAAGTTTTTAACAGTTACTGTAATTGTCTGTCATCACAAGAGTGAAAACTTTATCAAATTTATTGTTTCGACAGTAAACACTGATACTGTACTGTATTTGATTTAGATATACTGTACATAATATTATGTAATATTGGATTTAAGTGATATTGGGATTACAGTGTACAGGATTATTATATGTTGCCCTAAGAATGATTATTAGGCTTGGTTAATCTCACTATTGTTTTGTTTAATGCACATGCATGATTAGTTTCATATAAGACTGCTTCCCACCAAAAAAGACAGATGGATACCTCCCCCACAACTAAGAATACGTAGTACAGCTGTATCGTTATATTCCCCTATCAAGGGATTTCCAACACAGTTTACCTAGATTAGGGTTACCATACAGCTATCTGCTTTGTATGTAGACCTGGTACTTACATCTTTGTGGCAAATAAAGGTGCAAATGATTTACCAACTCATGTGGACTCAGACAAGCACAAGAAAACAGTTCAAGAATTGAGCTCAACAGCACTAACAGAATGCGAATTAATAGATGCTGATACAAATACGGTACCCCCCTACCCCCCTCTCAGTGGAAAAAACGGGTTTTTTGAAAGTTCAAATATGGTAACCTTAGCCTAGATGACGATCCAAATACTCCAGACACCAAGGAGAAAAGATAGGCGTCTATTGTATTAACAGTGCCGAGTAAACTACTAGAGCAGACCACAAAAAGACAAAATCACACAGGAGTCAGACAAGGTAAAGTGTCTTATTGCACCTTTATAAATAATGATAACAATGTTAGTGAGTTACTTTATTATCTTTAATATTTTTTTCTTTGCAGCCAACTGAAGGTCGTGGGTTAATGATGGAGTCAATGATACTCTCCTCCAAAGATCCCTTAACATGATTTATGTATTCTCTGCTGTACTCAAGATCAAGAATTTTCATTTTGTGTGGAAAATTGTAAGTGATATGGGCTGAAAATCAGAAATGGATTGACCTCCTCAGCCCAATACAATGAAGGCCAAAAGCTTCTTGTTATGTGAATTTCATTAACTAAAGCTGTTATGCACTACTATACTATACTGTATGTACATACAGTGCTTATATGAACTCAGTAAGGTCCTGACAAACAAGAATATACACAAAACTTTAATTAATTAATAATCTCTGAGTGTCTAACTTAATAAAACAAATATGAAGTACAGTACTGTATAGTTCTATAGTGCGCTGCAGTGTTATACAGTATGGGAATAAAAATGTAAACAAAAAATTACATAAACCTGCATTCATATTTGATTTACAACGAGTTTTATTTGTTTACAAATTAAGGTATACTGCTGTACTGTATTAAGAGTTTGCATTACTGCATCATTAGATGAAATGTTCATTAACAAAAGATTATCTTACTTTAAAGCTTTTCAGTGTATATAATTGGAATTTTGCACCAAAAGTACTACAGGTATTTTATATATATATATATATATATATATATATATATATATATATATATATATATATATATATATATATATATATATATATATATATATATATATATATATATATATATATATATATATATATATATATATATATATATATATATATATATATATATATATATATATATATATATATATATATATAAAATTAGGTGGCTTTCTCCTTGTAGAATGAGTCATCATAAACAAGTGCAGTGTTGTGTATTTATCACCTGTTGTAACTACTTGCATCAGATAAGTTGGAGTAACAGATTATATATCCATGGAACTGGTAAAACTACTCCCACTAACTGCCACACAAATAAAACATCATAATTTTTTTACACACACATACAACTCAAAATGATGTAAAAGAGGTAAAATATTAACTAAAAGAGGAGTCAGAGAGACACATCTCTCCTCAGGGAAGTTGGTGAGTAGAGTTACTGTGAACCTGATGTAAGATATTGTCAAATATTGCTGTAGCAATATAATTCTTCTCACTCCTCTTTCTTTGAGCAAACTCTGGCCTTTTGTCTCTCATTCTGAATAATGACTGTTAAGGAGTAATGAATGGTCTTTGGATTACCACTCATCATTGTGGCCTCAGGATTTACTGTACTGTAGTGGGGAAATGCTCCAGGTTTAGGCACACACACATTCCTGGGTTACTTCAAACTGGTGTGCAATTATGAAATGAAAGATGCAACTTAAGCAAATAGCAATTGGTACAATACTGTACCATAAACCTTTCGCACAACTGGAAGGGGGTGAGTGATAAAAATCGGTAACCACATTAGAGCAACACTTTGTGGGGTAAAATTCACTGTGATGTGTATGTATTTGTTTTACTTATGAAAACAGATAATTACAATAAAATATGATTTTGAGCTCTAATACAGCAGTCCTTACCATCTCCTAAATGTTGATCTATATTATACAGTACTCAATACATTATTGATTTCTTTAAATTTAATAGAGCTGTAAGTAATATAGGGATAAATGTTTAGTACAGTTCAGTATCTGTACTTGGTTGAAAGCACAAGAATTTAAATTTAAAAGCTAGTTTTTTTCAAACATTGTACAGGTTATAGGACTGTAGTGCAATATTATTTTTCAGTATTTTGTGTGATGACACGTACCATAATTTCAGTACTGTACCATATTACCACTTGGATGCCCTATGGTTATTGTAAAATGTACATTTTCTCTTTTTATTCTCATTTTGCTGAGGTATTTAATTAACACTCTCTTTACTGCACACCAAAACTGTGGCACAATGCATACATCCCCCCAAAAAAAATAAAAAAATCATATTGCTGTGAAGAAGAGATAACACTCAATTTATTTAAATATTACTTTGCAATGAGATCATGTTATATCCCAAAGGCTTTCAATCAAAGGGCCATAATACTTACTCTGTCATCCGAGGGTAACAGGTAAACGAACTCATGTGGAGAAAGTTAATTTAATTATTGAGAATCAGGTATTTAATCATTAATGTCTTATGTTAAAAATTATCTAGGAATAAACTACAGTATAGTCATGGCATAAAAATTTGATTGATGACAGTATAGAATATCTGTCATTTCCCTTTTTTTCTATGTATTGTACTGTACAGTGTGGTACTGTAAATTTAAAGATTTTCATTAATGAAGCTTGAGTAATGCCCCTTTCAACAAACTCAGTTGCTGTATCCCAAACCCTCTTAAAATCATGAACTATAAACTGTATTAAAGATGTCTGTACAGTATAAAATGCTTACTGTTCAAAATGACAGTGAGGCTTATTTTCTTCATGTCATTTTCAGTTGTCAGATTGTTTTCCTCACTAACTTAGACATGGCATGTGTAAGAGGTCTCATGGCATTTCAAGTCTTCTACACTGTAGATATCTACAGTATTGTGTCAAAGCTCACTACATGTGTTTTTGCAACAGTTTAGTGATAAAGCAAATCATACCTTGCTCAATGTAATAATTTCAATCATTCACTATCCAAGATATTCTGTTTCTAGAACAGAGATGTGTTTATTTCCAAACCAAATCTTTATTGGTAAAATTTCCAAGTAAGATAGTTATTTGAGCTTTTGTAAATTATCAAACATTTTACTTCAGTAAATACATGAAACACAGTGCAGAGAGTAGTAATATATATATATATATTTATATACTGTATATATATATATATATATATATATATATATATATATATATATATTAGTTAGTGCCAGTATACTTTTGACGATATGAGTTGCATTTGTAAGTGTAAATAACTGCATTATTTTAAAACTTTCCCATAGAAAGATTTGTAATATGGGATGATTACACAAAGTGAAGTAAGGGTATTGCATGTATCACTAAGTTGTGAGATGATGTGAGTGTTTAAGTAGAAAGTCATAGATAAAAAGTCTGCTTATTTTTATTACTATATGGTATTTATTTTAAGAGACTATATTGTATATTATACTGTAGGTACACCACCGATTATCCGGGAACTGATGGTCCGGCACCTCCTTTAATCCGGACAAAATTAGGAGGGGGCACTTAACTTCCCTCCCAGCCTGGGTGAAGCTAGTTTTAGGCTTAAAGTTTTTATCTTATAAAAATATAGCTGACTAGACTTAGCAGAATATAAATTGCATTGCTGGAATCCTTGTAACATTGTGATTAATTTGAGTATAAACATCACATAGTTTAATTTAAGTTTCTAGCAGTCCATGGTGCTTTAGAGACACAGGAGGTGTATAATTAGTGGGTCCGAGGTGCATTGTTGAATTATTATTACCTGACCTCGGTTAGTCCGGAAAACGGATAATCCGGCAAGGCTTTGGAATCAAGGGTGCTGGAAAATCGGTGGTGTACCTGTAGTACAGTCAACCCTCAATTATTCGTGACTTAAAGCTTTGCCTTTTGAGTATTCATGGTACCCTGAAATACATTCCATTAAAAAAAAAATATTTTAATCATGTGTACTGTATTTACAGTTCCCTCTGTAGTTAGAAATATATTGGTTTGTGTGGTGGTGAAAAATGAAAACAGCGGTAGTGAGGTGCCATGAAGAAGAGCAGCAGCATTAACTGTGTGCACATTCATCCTTGCATTATTACTGTTATGCATTGTGTAGTTTAGAGTGTGAGGGGTACTTAAGGCATCTCATTTATGCTATTTTGTGATAACTACCTGTACACATTTCCATCATGCCAAGTTTTTTTTTTACCAAAAGTACAGGATCTTAATCACTTTAAATTTTTACAAACAGTCGCATGTCCCAATCTTAAAATAAATTTCACCAGTTTATGATTTTATTGATCATACAGCTAATGTGTATACAAAAATTATGATTTTGGACTATTAATTGATCATAAAAGAAAAATCACAGTTCTTTTAAAGGCTCACTGACAGTCTTGTCTCTGAGTCTCACCTAACTTCCTCCATCAACACTTCACCCATCCTAGGTAATTCAATCTTGTCACTTCTCCCATCTACCTCTTCCCCTTCATTCTACTGCACACTGTCTCTACCTTTACATTTATTACTTATTAATTATGCTCCATCTTTTACAGGTAATCATGCCCTTGTTTTTTGGCTTCTGAAGTAATGTTTCGGAGGGTTAATGTGACACTTGAATCTTACGGTCCCAAACCAAATTTTCCCAACAAGTCCTCAGAACTTTAGGAATTCACTGAGTTTCATATTCATGGCATCGTTTAGAACCTAACCCCACGAATTTTCGAGGGTCAACTGTAATATGTGTGTGAATTATAATACGTACCTGTATGTATTATATAATAATAATAATAATAATAATAATTAACGGTTTATTGAAAGAGCTTGGCAGCCAGAAGGCTGAAAATATACAGTTACATATTTGGGGAATGGGTTACGAATTACAAATAATATACAAGTAACATAAGTGACACAAATAAGACATATAATAACTTAGATGGGGAAAGCTCAAACTACAGTTCATTTCAACATAGTGACAGTGTAAGGAGCAGTGTTTACTGGGAGTGAATACACTGATTTATTACATGTTATTGATAATTTTTACAATGGTTGGGACTGGGCTGTTCTTATAGCGATCAGTTCGTGCACGTATGGGCTGGATGCGGTTGTGGTGTCGAACAGCAATTCTCGGACAAGGGATCTCAGGTGGTAGTAGGCGCCGGTGTCGGGGATGGTGTAGAAGCTTCTTACCAAATTTGCAGATGAGGTCGTGGTGATGGTCAGTGAGAGTCGAAAGGGTCAGTGTGTTGAGCGCTTCTTGATATGTGGAGTAGGAAGGGGAGAGAATAATCTTGCATGCCCTCTTTTGCACTTTTTCTAGGTGTTAACGTTGTGTGGCATTTAGGGAGGAAGACCAGGTGGGGGAGGCATAGGTGAGCTTGGGAAGTATGAATGTTGTGTAAACACTGAGGAGCTCGGGTGCAGGAACTCCGAGGGACTTGAGTCGGCGGAGCAGGTGGAGACGGAAACTGGAGGATTTGACAACTTCACTGGACGTGTGGTTTCCAATTTAGTTTGTTGTCTATGGTGACTTGAGGAGCCGTGGAATCTACAACCTGGAGTGTGTTCGGACCTAGGGTAATGGAAGGAGGTGGGACAATGTCGGAGGAGAGGTTGATGTGCATAACCATGGTCTTGGTATGGTTGATGGTGACATGGTTGTTGGTGGCCCAGTTTTGGAGACTGTTCAATAAATCCTGAAGGGCGGTGTAGTTGGGAGCAGAATTGTTGACGCTGATCCCAATGGTGGAGTCGTCGACATATTTCCAGCGAGCAGGGGTTTCTCTTAGGGCATCATGTAAATGTAGATGAATGCACGCGTACTATGCCCTACACATTTTTCATGATATTGGAAAATCCATCCAAAATGCACGAGACATGAATTATTGTACATCAACTGGCAATTACCATACAACCAATATCCCAGATTAGGGCTTTAACCCAGGACTACAAGAAGCAGCTGACTTTTGACTGGTTGGTTGCAGAATGTATCTCCTAAGGCTTGCATTTCACAGGGATGAGCTCAAATCCCAATAGGGGATAGTAGATCCAACAATATAAGTGAACAGTACATATTCTTTGCCAATTGCCATATAAATTTTTCATGCACAAAAGAAAATATTTGAGTGTATTAATATTAATACACTAGTCATATTCCTTCTTAAAAATGTATTTTACTAAAATGTTAACAAGTAACTCTTTAAGAATAAAGAATTTTTTTTAGAAATCAGGTCTTCTGTCATTCATGATGTAATTATTTAATGAATTTTTTGCCAATCATCAGTAATCTGTTAGTCACCAGATAATACATTAAGTAACAGAAGTCTTTTAATCACTGGATGATACTGAGTGTCACCAAATATTGAACAGAATTGTAAGTTTTGAGAGAACCTTAGGCATTAGTTAAATCATCGTGTACCACAACCAAACTGGAAATTGGATGAATAAAACTGTGATGTAATGGTAAATCAGTGTATAAATAAGGTCTACATTTTGTGTTTTATTGTAAATTTTACCAATCAAATTTTAACTTGGAAGATCTATGAACTGGAATAAAGAATTAATTCCTTATGCTTTCTTGACTTACACTAGTTTTCAGAGGAACAACTGATACAGGAAAAAAAAGAACTACATGCTATATAGTACATACATACAAATGTCGCAACAGCAGAATTGACATCACATGATTGGTTAGTTGGAGGCAAGTACAGGTCAGAAACAGACCAATCAACCAATAACCCAATCATCTGATCCAGTGTATTTGTATGATAACCTGCATTTTCTTTCTTGTTTATGTTATTCCTCTGAAGAAGACTAACCTAAGCCAGAACACGTAAAGAATAAATTCTCTATTTCAGCTCATTGTTTCCTTTGCCACCACCACCACCAATATTTGTTATGTGTCAAAGGGGTAAGGCTCGTAACAAACAAAAAGTGAAAGTAATTAAAGAGAATTACAATATATCGTTTACAATATGTATTGAGAAGAACTCCAACTACGGTGTAATGTACGGATTGAATGTAGCCCCTTTTATTAACTGAATACTTGATGATTGGAGTAAAGAAATTTAAATAAAATGTATAACTATATTTACAAATGCTTCCCACTAAGAACAATGAAATAAAGCTAATCACATGAACATACTAGGTTACTCTAAGGTTGCCAATATCACTGACAACCAAATCAATACACGATTCTAGAACATAAATACATAAAACTCCAACACAGCCAGCCAGCCTCAACAATGAATACCATGAGTACATCACCCGATCGAAGACAGAAATCAACTGACAACGCAGGATAGTGATTAAAATTTAAACAATCCTCCTAATCTGGGCATATACAGTACTGCTTTTCAAGTAGTATATTAATCAGTTTTACTTCATAATTTTGGCCTGAAATTGTATGAGTGAAGTTTGCCATTAGTCTACTGAATCGTATGGACATAATAAAACAGAGAATAAGACACGTTACAATCTCTTTCTGCTGCTTTGTATTTCTCTAATTGCCATTGCCTCCTCCTCCTGAACTCATTGGTTGCTTATCAGTGACCTGTTGCTCGAGGGGCCTTCCTTGTTGAGTGTCAGAAATTGAACAGTGAATGCATAAAAGCATCAAGATGATGTACATGTGTACTTCGATTTAGCAATTTTATTGTTATTCGAGATTGTATATCAGAATACTTGTTCTACTTGTCTGGAGATAGACTGTGTAGGTACTGGATTTCAGTTACAAGAGAGATGAGTGATAGATGAGGAACAGAAGTGAGTAATGAAGGAGATAATGATGGTGACTCCATGTGATAAGACCTCGTTATCACAGAGTCACGTATGCTCATCCTGGTGGAACTGTAGTGATATACAGTACTTGCATACACTGTGTTGAAAATGTTCAAAGGAGTGCCACCAGACTGGTGCCTGTGCTTCGGCACCTCAACTAACCTGAGAGATTGGAGCGCCTGAACTTGACTAGCTTATACTACAGACGGGAAAGGGGTGACCTAACTGAGGTGTATAAGCATCTCAAGGGGCACTAATCAGTTGAGTGTCCTTCCGATTTTGGAAGGATCCAGATAAGTGAGTCGTAAAGCTACTTCTGTTAATGTTGACTGTCCATTAGTTTCTGTTGAGCTGTTTCATTATTTAATGCAGTATTGGTGGTACAGCGGTAACGAACATAACTCTCACCAATATGTCAAGGGTTCGAGCTTCGGCCCAGACACACGTGAGAAGGGTGTTATCCAGTGTAACCAGTCTTTAACTTTCACTTTCATTCATGTACTTTCATTGTACAGTAAATGAAGAGCGTTCCATTGAATATGTATAGTACTATATGAGAATGCATGTTCTTGTAAATATGGTTATTCATGAATTTGTAACAATAAAATTTGTATAATATACATACAGTTGTGGGGAGGGAGGGTGATTATGTATGGAAGGGTAGGGGAAGGTGAAGACTTGCCACCGTCGCATAGTGGAGATTAAAAACTTGCGATCTTCTTATCACACCAATTTTTTTTTTTTAGTTTCATTATAAGGCAGACGCAGCTTATACTCTTCCTGTCGAGTTCTTTTTGTTCACAACTGTTTATCCATATATACACAACATATATTAATGTATATATGCCAACAAAACAATTTATTAGATGTAACAGTCAGATTTATTTTTTATAAATAAAGTAAAGATTCAAGAAAGTATAAAATCACATGACTTGTTTGGGTGGACCGGACAGGTTTGATTCCTGTACATTCTGTCGACATGTCTAGGCTCCAGGTTTCGCTTTTTCAAAATCAATTATCGTGGACAGTATTGATTTTACTTAAGAGTAAAGTTTGTCAGTACTGTATTAATAAATTTTATGTATACTGTACTCGTATATTCCTAATCCTAAAAGTAGTGTAATGGCTTAAATTTTTACTTTATAACAAGAAATGGCACCTACGCCAGTGCATACGTCATCAGTACATGCACACCTGCCAGCCGGGCTGGCGCTAGATGTTTCCCATTGGAGGGTCTTCGCTGAGTGCATGTAGCTGTGTTGTTTGACTACTCAACCGTATTGCACCTTTTAACCCAACATTTATAAGTAAGTAGTCATCGTCAGATGATTGATAAAAGTTACAAGAACCTCATAATTGTTAAAATATCTAATACTATATGGAGAGTAGAGACGCGTGAAAACGAGCTTAGTATGCCCTTAGCAAAGTTGTTTAACATATCCTTAAAAACGGGTGTAGTACTAGAATCCTGGAGGATAGCGAATGTAATACCGTCCAATCAGTCTAACATCAATTGTAGGCAAATTACTGGAAGCAATCATTTCAAACTCTATTCGAAATCACCTGGAGAAGCACAAGTTGAATAATGATTCCCAACATGGCTTCACAAGCGGGCGTTCATATCAAACTAATCTATTAACATTCTTTTCATCTGTTTTCGAATCAGTGGATATGAGGCACAATTATGACGTGGTATATCTCGACTTTAACAAAGCCTTTGACAGAGTCCCCCACAAAAGACTAATAAGAAAAGTGGAGGCTCATGGCATTAAAGGAGATATTCTAAAATGGATTAGGGCGTGGTTACAGGATAGGAAATAGCGAGTGAGCATTAACGGCACTAAATCCGACTGGAGCAACGTCACTAGTGGAGTTACCCAAGGCTCAGTACTTAGACCATTATTATTTATTATGTACATAAACGACAGATATCGGCATAGACAGCAACATAAGTAAATTTGCTGATGACACTAAAATAGGGCATGTATTTAAATCTGACAAGGACTCCACAAAACGACAGGAAGATCTAAACAAATTTTTTGAATGGTCTGAGAAATGGCAGATGAAATTCAATGTGGACAAATATAAAGTACTCAGTATAGGAGAATGACAAGACTAATCCCGGGCATTAGGAACCTTGAGTACAGAGACAGGTTAAAGCATCTTAATTTGCTCTCCCTCGAGAGACGTAAAGTGAGGGACGATATGAGAGAGGTGTATAAATGGAAGTCAGGGGTGAACAAAGGGGACATTACAAAGGTACTCAAACTATCCAACCAGAAGCAAACTCTTAACAATGGTTTTAAATTAGACCAATTTAGATTTAGGCGCAAAATAGGTAAACATTGGTTTGGAAATACAGTATAGTCGACGAGTGGAACAAGTTCTCAGCTAGCTAGCAGCAGGACAAGAGTCTTGAGTTACAGTTACCCTAGTTTCCTGTTGTGATACTTTGGTATAATTTTTAATGAATATTGTATCTGAAAATCCAAGCTTGTTAGTTCATCACTATTAAATTACTTGTTCAAAATCTACTCCCTTTTCTCCAGCACCACAACCACTGTCAACCATTCTACTGATAGTACTCATTTCTAACACAATCGTCCAAGTCTCCAGATTCCCCTTTATTATCATGTCCAGCAGTTCTTTTGTAACCTGTTAGTAAGTAGTAATGAAATATAGTTATTTAGTATCTTTGATTATATTTATTACATAAATACAGTAATCATACAATACAGAACTACAATAACTTGATATATTAAAACAATCAAACCAGATGCTTACTCCTTTCACTGAGTAGCTTTTGAACTTGTTGTCTGGCTTTGGTGACCACTTTTACTTGATCTTTCTCTTGGTCTCCATAAAAGTCGAGAACCTCACGAAGACGTTCCTTTAAGTGATTTATAGATGCTCTATTTTCTCGCGCTGAACATGGAATAATGTCATCAAATGTCACTAACTGTTCAGGGTGGAACTCTTCAGGGAAATTTGTGCAAACTTCTGAAAAAAAAAATTTAAAATAAATACTGTTGTAATAGTTCATAGAAGAATAAAAATAACAACCAATTATTTATGTGACAACAATGGATAAGATGAAAATTGTAACACTTGTACATCAACATGATCCTTTATTACTCAGGAATTTAGTCTCCAGCTGCATTCTGTATTAAACATGAAGTGTCGAGTAATGGAGCAAATTTGATCCAATTATTTGATTAACTGCATCATACATACATACGTTCAACATACAGCTTATAGTGAGTCAGTCTTCAAAAAGTGTTGCAAATTGGGATGACACATATTGAATTTAAGAAAGATACAGACCTCTGTAGTGAAGAATACCCATTTAAAAGTGACCATTCACTTGTGTGTAGAAATAGAATGTCACACAGTTCTCTCTTTTTTTTTAACTAGTTTTTGTGAACCAATCAAGTTTGAGCACTTCAAACATTCACTTTTGCAATGAGGGTTCATTGATTCATCAGTGAAAACACTTGCCTCTAAGTTGATTTAGATCCTTCAGCAGCTTTTCCAGTTTATTTTCGGCATTTGGACAATCCATTTTGTTTATCACCAGTAAGGCAGGTTTCTCAAGAAGATTTGAAGAGTATATCTCCAACTCCTGAAAAGAAAATACATAATGTTAATTTATCTCCATGAAATCAATATATCAGTAGAGTAATAATGTGTATCTAGCAACGAACATTTTATTGGAAAGGTCCTACAACATGAACAATGAAACCATGGGGGAATGACTTGTGTTTAGTGAACACAGAGGTTAAGGCCATAAGCCTAACAAGTTTTTCATTCCTCAATTTACTATATAAGTCATACCACAAGTGTCTCAGTCACAAAACAGGCTCACATCATCACACTCCCTCTGGTTAATGTATGGATTTTCAGGATCAAACTTTTATTTATAACCAAGTGCTTCTTCTAAATGATTTATGAATCAAATTCAAACTAAAGAATGGGAGGAGGTGGAAAGAAGCCCAAGCTGTTACAGGACACAGTGCAACAGGGGGTTTGCTCTATGCATAAAATGTTTGAATCACAGTAACTGGCCTTATAAACTCTGTAATACATTATTAAGAAAATTAATAATTAATACTGTAGTATTTGTTTTTAATTAATTTTTCCAAAGGCAGATCAGGAAGTAGGATATTTACCCCAAAACTGTATAGCCTGTGTCTGAAAATTCAGGCACAATACATATATTTTTTTGTTTGCTGATAGATGTGCACACTACTGGTGATACTTAAATGCTGGACCAGTATGAATAGGACACATGAATATATAAAAGGTCAGCCACCAAGTTTGGTCAGTGGCTATTTTGTGGTAACCGTCTCATAATGTCACCCCAAAATGTACAGTACTGTATTACCAATACGAGTGACATCTGCCAAAAGGAAATGTGTGAATTAGCACTACAATACAACGTCTCTGTCACGCATTGTTGGCAAGTACTAGTCATGTACTGGCTCTCTGTTATGTACTGTTGGCAGGTACTGGGCATGCACCAGCTCCTGAATCTGCTCCAGTGTTGGTGAAGTCTGGTCTTTAAAGAACTCACACTCTGTGCCGTCACAACACTTTCTGGCAGATTATTCCAAGAGTTCACAACTCTCACTCTGAAAAAGTTTGCCCTCACAGTTTTCTGAACTTGCGGCTTCTTCAATGTTGAGCGTGACCCCTTGTGGGGCGAGTGTCCGCTAGCTCCAAGTAAGGACACTCGACTGAGTAATGCCCCATGAGATGCTTATACACCTCAATTAGGTCGCCCCTTGCCCGTCTGTAATATAAGCTAGGCAAGTTCAGGAGCTCCAATCTGTCAGGGTAGTTGAGGTGCCAAAATGCAGGCACCAGTCTGGTGGCCCTCCTTTGAACATTTTCAACCAACTGACAGTCCCTAGCATATCTCAGGGACCAGACGGGGTGACAGTACTCCAGATGGGGAAGCACTTCACTCTTGAAGATGGTTAGGAGGGACGGACCATCTAGATATCTGAAGGACCTTCTTATAAGACCCAATAATTTATTTGGCTGATTTACCTTCTTCTCGCGATGGCCCGAGAACTTCAGCTCATTGTCAACATACACACCTAGGTCCTTCTCACATTCAGTCTCAAATAGTGCAGTTTCTCCATCCCGTTGGGACATATGATACGCCTCCTTACCGTTGGTACGCCCCAGGTGCATCCTCTTACACTTCGTGACATTGAATCTCTGCAGCCACTTCTTTGACCATTCTTGGAGCTCACAGAGATCCTTCTGCAGCTCTTCACAGTCCTCTTGGTTCTTGATTTCACGAAATAACTTGACACCATCGGCAAACATTTGTATGGAGGAGTGTACAACGTCAGGCATGTTTATGATGGTGGTGGTGTGTGGATAAGTGGATGTCATGTGTTTGACCTACCCTCATGTTTTGTAAGGTCACCCTGTGTACATAAGCCTCTCTCAGTATCAGTCCTTGGAATTCAGTTGCCTGTGAAGATGTCTTGAATAAAGACAAAAGCTAAGGGGCTCCATTGTTCCTGTGTGATTTTATCAAGATGTTATAGCACAGTACAGTATTTAATATTTTATATTTTCAATGATAAAACATACACCATCAAGTGCAGATGGCCTCAAAATGCCTATGATATTGGTCAGATAAAAAAAAAACACCGAACACCCTCAGCTGGGTGGGCTCGTTGTGTTTGCCATGTTCCCCCACCCACAACTTCTTGGACCCCCCCCCCCTTTTTTTTTTATTCCTGGATCCACCCCTGACCCAGTACAGTATATACTAGAAGAACTGCATGGTGAAGGATTAAACAGTAAATAAGTACAGTTGTTGACTTCCAGTGCATTATCTTACCTTATTCAGAAGTATAATGTTTTCTGTTGGAGTCCGATGAGGGTGTTGGGGTCCCAGTTGGAAACCATTTATGTCAACAACAAATAGAAGTAACTTTGTTCTCTCAACATGTCTGAGGAATTTGTGTCCCATGCCAACATTGGCCCATGCACCTTCTATTAGCCCAGGAAGGTCTGCAATGCTGATTTGACGCCCATCATGAAATTCTGCCATTCCAATGTTTGGTTGCAATGTTGTGACTAAAAAGAAAAAGAAGGAAATATGGAATTCCCTTTTATGAAAGAGAAGAGACAAGTGGCTTTTGAGATTACCCAAGTCTCTTTCAGCAGGAATGTTCACAGTGCATGAAGAAAGGTTAGCAGTACTGTACTTTAGAGCCCCTTGTAGCATGAGTGTTATTGGTTGATTTATCTTGTAGCAGAAACACACAGTACAGTACAGGACTGCCAACTGCAGATGTTTGCAGCAGCTTCGTCATTTCACAAGTTGTGTTTGTAATCTTTGAAGTCTTGTGGAAGGAATCTTACCTAAAGCATATGTTTTTTATTGCAATATATTATTTACAAATGTCCACATATTTGTCACATATGATAGACATATTTGTCAATATCTCCATATCATCCTTTTTACACCTCCTCTTTCAACACAGTAAAGCTAAAAGAAAAGTGGACAATAAAGTATCACTTACATGGATAACTGGCAATCTTTGGCTTGGCTCTGGAGATACTTCCTAAAAGCGTTGATTTTCCAGCATTTGGAAAACCTACAAGGCCAACGTCTGCTAACAATTTCAGCTCAAGTTGTATGTTATGTGCCTGTGGGGAAAATTGAATCCTTCATTTTAATATTATAAAATACTCACTGTACTTTATAACCACAAAGGTGAAGAAGTGGAGAAAAAAGGTGTATGAAAGTCCATGTATAGAATGCTATAAGAAAGCAGTATGAATAAGAACAAGTATTTTTTAATTTAAATACATAGCCCCCCAAAAAAAAAATCTGCTCCATCCAGAGTACATGTTTCACAGCCATAAATTAAGGTGGGAAGTACAGTATTGTAATATCTATGAGTTCAATCTCTACTTCCAAACTTGTATTTCTTCCCTTGGTGATACTTCATGGAGGTAGGAAAGGAAGGAGGAGGAGGGGGATCTTCAGGGTCATTAACACTCCTCCACAATGCTACACAACCATGGATAGTTCTTGAGTTTGCCCATATGTAATGCTATGTATAAAATCTATTTTCAATGGGCCTCAAATATCAAAATATTGCTCCAACATTTTATCATTATTGAAATTTAATCTGCCAAACATAAGCGCACAAATCTTCTGTAAGTAGTGTTCCATTTATGTGTGATGGTGTTCCAATTTTAGAAGAGCATGGAGATGCAGTAAATGGGGTACGTACAGTCCCTCAAAAAAGTATCAGTAGATTTTCCGTCACTACAATTTGAAATGCTAGACAAAATGCTTTAATTTGATACCTAGTGCATTACTGTAAGTTGGTATGCCTGCTCACCATATCAGCAACAGGGGGAGGGGTCATCCTTGTATGGCATACTAGTTACAGGCAGTTACCAACTTATGACAGGGATACATTCCTGGACCCTGTTCATAAATCAATCTGTTCGTAAGTCAGAACAGCGTTAATTCCATAATTTAGGTTATGTTAAAGCACAACCCTACCCATACAAAACAAAAATAATATCCCATATACAGTATAGCGATGGGCGTTTGAGGCAAGGAGTGAAAGCTAATCGGATTCAAAGCCTTCAAAATCAACTGCAGACACTTGTAAAGCGACTTCAGCTTCATCACCAATCTCCAAAGCAGCAGTGTCATCGTCACTGGTGATGAGAGCTTGGCGGTGGCGTTTAAACTCCTGGTAACGTTGCCTGTAGGGTTCCACCAAACTGTCTAACTGTGTTGCAGCCTGGACTCAGCACTCATTAAAGCATCCTTGAGTTCTTCAATGTTGCTGAGAACGTGCATCACCTGCCACGAAGTCATGCAACCCTCTGTCTGTTCTGGTACTGCCACACCACCGACACTGATTTAGCTTGTTGTTTTATTTTTAAGTCAAGCTATATACTGTACTCTGTATTGTATTTCGTTCTACTATTTAATACTGTATGTTATATTATTTACAATGAAAATACATCATAATAGACTTATCATATGTGAATATAATAATGAATAAATAAATACAAACTGGTGATTGAAGCAACAGCCAGTTCCACCCACCGCTCCAGCACATTAAGACATAATGCCAACAGGGACTGCCTGTACTGTACTTCAATATAACAAGAAATCCATTAAGCTATATTAATGTATGTATCATTCGAAAATGCACACACTAATTCATGCTCAAAGGTTGCAGATGTAGAGCTACCAACCATTCAGAAACAGGTCAAGCAACGTTGCTCGGAGAACCTTGAATCACATCAACCCCATGGCTAACCCTACTCTTTGGTGAGACTGTACTTAGTTGTAGACAATGTATGCAAACCAGCTATGAATCTGGATACAGGACCATCTGATGAAGATATATTCTAACACAGAAAATGGTACAAACCTGCCCCTTCTGTCCATTGTATTGGTTCATGGGAGAGCCACCTGTACCTCCTTTGGTCACAAGCACCTTGTCTCCAACACTGTTAACTTCACCTGAAATAAAAATATAGAGGACTTCATTATTTTATAGAATTGCATTGGGTGCCCATTACATCACCACTACTTAGTGCTGTGGAATAACAATCACTGATTCAACTGCTCTTAAAGCTCACACATATACTGCAAATCTTCACCATAGCAACCCAGCCCAGATGGAACTTCCTTCAGCAACACTCCCCTTCCTGCTGGCACACAAAGAAATGTTTCATCATTTTATGTTTTTTACCTAATGATGATGATTTTTTGGTTCACTCTGCATGTAGGATTGTGTGTGCATGTAACTGAATAAAAAAATATATGAAGAAAATTATAACTTTAATCTTCTCACCATTCTTCTTGGTGGTACGGAAAAAACATGACTGACAGAAGTGATGGATTGGCCTGGCTTTAGTCACTGAAGAATGTCTAATTTACTCTCTAGGGTAAATATGGTCCTAATCTTCTTTGCTGGAGTGTTCCTAAGCAGAGGGACACTTAGAGAACATTTAGGTAGAATCATGGTGACAAAAACAGGAAAAATAACTGTAGTTAAACCAAGCAAATTTTTTGGTTGTGGCCAAACCAAGCACTAGCTAAACTCTGAGCCCACGTGGTGTGTGGACTGCTGACCCGCTCCATGGACTGTAATGGACTCGCCTGCTGAACTGCTGGGGACACTACCTGTGAGCTGCGCAAAACGCTTTCTACACAACTGCATTTAGCAGAATTTTCCTGTATTAGCCCAGCTCAACCCGTTCGAGTGAATCCACGTTGAACAATCCCACATTAAGCAAGGGGTCAGTGTATGTGCATATATACAGAGTGTGGCAGTCAAGTGGATACAGTGCTCACATCCTGTTTTAGGGGTAGATGGTTCAATCCTCAGGCATTCCCAGTTCACCCTGATGTAAATGGGTACCTAAGTTAACAACTTGGGGAAGTGAATGCGGTGGAGTGCAGTACTGGCCATGCTGCCAAAGGATTATTATACATTGTGCTGTATCCACCCTGTTCCTAATGGGCAGTCAAACCTATGAGACCCACAGTCACTTTTTCACATACCCATACTGTATGTACACTCACTACAGAAAGTACCTGCAAGGTGGGGTCCGATGGATGGCAAAATGAACACTGCATCTCCTGTTGTCTTGGTAGGGTTGTCAAAATCTTTTATCCATTGTGTAATATTATCTAGCAAAAAATTTTGCTGATACTTTTTGTAGCAAGTGTACATTAAGATGTTAAAATACAGGATAGGATTAGTGTAGACTTATGTAACTTTGAACAATAATATCCATTCCCCCAGCCACAGTATTTGGATTATATTATGACCATCAGATCTCATGAGTTGGAAATCTAACTAAAATATGAATTTAAAATTCAGTTTATTATTTACGTACAGTAGACCCTTCCCATTTGTGGATTTGTGATTCGCAATTTCGACGATTCGCGGTAAGCAGATAGTGGTTATGGTGGCTAGCTTGCAAGCTTTTTCTAGCAGCACAATGAGTCACGCCACACAGCATCTCGTGTTGTACTCTCAAAACTTTAGTGTTTCTGTGTGAAATGGCCCCTAAGAGACTGCCTAGTGTCAGTGCTAGTGGAGTGAAATGTAAAAGGCAGAAGTCAGTGATGACCCTGACAAAGAAAGTTTTATTATTAGACAAGTTAAAAAAGGGGATGAGTGCTGCCGCGGCTGGTCGGTTGTTTGGTATAGGTATACAGTAGTGCACTAAGGTAGTATAAGTTGATATTCGAGGTTTTGCCTATTCGTGCCATTCCTTAGAATCTGTCCCTCATGAATAAAAAGGGTTTACTGTATATAATAAAAGCATCAAGTGTAAATAGTGTAAATTAAAATTAAAAATAGCTGGCAACAAGATTGTGCCTTGTTGAGAGTACAGGAAGGAAGATGAACAGTCTTTCACTTGATTTGCTCATTAAATTGAACATAAGTTAATGAATTAAATATTCAAGCCTTAAAACAGCTGATAAGCTGTACAGGATACAAGAAATATACTGACCTAGTATTTTGACTCCATCTAATCTGACTGTAGTACCAACTGGAACTGGTATACTGAGGCTCTCCGCTGGTTCCCCAATGATGCGAAACTTGTGACTGTTCCCTCCATCAGCTGCACTCCACCGCTTTCGTGGTTCAGCATTTAATGTCTTCTTTAAAGTAAAATCTGTCAAAGGGAGAAATCTTTTTAGTTAGGGTTCACTAAGAATTCTATAAAGTTTTATAAACACAATGTGGGTGTTGTACTTTCAGTTTCTAATTAGTAAATACAATTATGGATATCAGTTTTGTACTGTACAATGTAAGAGACTTTTCTCAAGCATCACTTAAAATTACCACTTTTTAATACTTGCAAAATAAAAAACTAAATATGGGTAACTTAGGAGGAAACTCTATTAGTAAAACAAACATTTCACAGATAGACGGGCAACAACAAAAACTGAAATCCTTCATGCAGTCCTTCCTTTCAAATTTCACTTTTATGCAAACAGGTGTTAAAGACAGACCTCAGATATTTACTCATTCACCACATCCAATTCTTAACAATTCAAACTCACATTACAGTTTGATTGCCTCACTCTTTCAAACACTAAAGTTTTGCTCAGATAAGCATTTACTCTTATATTCCTCTAGCAATTATTGTAAGGAGAACGCGCAGGTGTGCCGTGGGTGTCAACAAAGGCTGTAAGAGAGCTGGAGGATCCATCCTTCGCTCTCCCACTCCTCCCTCTCCAATATCCTCAACAGAATTTGGTACCTCCTCTGGAGCCCTGTCTATCCCCACCGACTCTTCATCTCACACCGGAGGCCGTTCTCTCCTCTTCTTACAATGGAACATCCAGGGACTTAAACCTCGCCCAGTTTGTGCTCTCCCATCAAGTAGATGTTGCTCTACTTCAGGAAACCATCACAGACGATGTTACTCCACTCCGCCTTTCTGGCTACACTGTTTACACCCTGCCTCGGTACCGTGGGCAGGCTAGTGGCCTCCTCACGCTTGTGCGTAACATCATTCCATCTGTTCGTCTCCCTTCACCTGAGTCACTTGGACCCCCGTCTGAATTACTTTCTGTCTCCCTTACTCTTGGTGACCGGACCCTTCGTGTAGTCAATATTCATTTCAAGAGTGATTCTCTGGACCCCCAGGTTCTTCACGACCTCCATGATGGGGTTCCCACTATTGTTCTTGGCGACTTTAATGCCAGCCATCCCACTCTTACTCCGGATCATCCCACGCCATGTACCCTTAACGGATCACATCTCTCACAGTTTCTTAATGGGGATGATGATGTTTGCTTTCTTTGTCCTGACGATCCTACTCGGCTCCCCCATAGTTTCCTTGATGTTGGCTTACTATTGAACGGTCATAGCTCCTTTCATCCTACCGTCTGCACCGAGCCTGCTCTGTATCGTGACCATCCTGCCGTTACTACCCAACTCAGGGTCCGACATCGGCTCCTTATCGATCTCCTCGCCTTCGTCTCACACAAGATGCTGTTCCTTCCTTTACCCAATACCTTTCTACCTGGGCGGATTCCTATGTTGTCCCCCAGTCACTTGACTCTTACAGTGCTGATTTTGTTGATGACTCTGTCAATCGCGCTGCCCCTCCACGCCCTCCCCGTCACCCCAGAAGTGCCGCCAACTACTGGTATCGTATCCCTGCCGTGAGACATCTCCGGCAGGTAACCCGTGATCTCCACTTTGCCATACGGAAGTCTCTCTCTCCAGAGGACTGGGAAAACTTCAAAAACTGGTGCTCCTTTGCAGCACTAGGATCCCGCTTTCTCTATCAAGGAATAAATATTGAAATTGAATTGAATTACCGTAACACCGAAACAACACAATACCATTTGCATGTTTCAATTTTGTACCACCATGATTTTACTAGACCCCATATTCATCTATTAACACTTAATGTTGCCCCACTCATAAATATCTAGGACTCCACGTATCAAGATATAAAAAAGAAAAGAAAATGTTCCTGTTGTCTTTTCTAAAATTTGCTTTATGTCAGTCTACAGCGATTATAATGAGAGCAATGACTTTATTGGCAATAAACTGTTTTTCAAACTGATGTCTGTAATGTTCACATAGAGTACAGGTACAGCAAACATCATTCTACGTGGTTATAAGAATGTGCAGTAGTCATAAAGCCTTCTGACTGACTGAGTAACTCAAGCTCTAGAAACATTATTTGTTGTACTACTTGTCAATAAAAACCATCTTTCTCAGAGTCCACAGCCAGGTCGCTCGCATTACAGGGAGACTTACTAGAGGGTCCTTGACATATTTGGCTACACCCATTGTGCTTCAAGGGTTGATTTGCTTACTACTTCCAAACAAATCACCATCCTTCACTCCCCTACACAGCCAGCCATACTTAATAGGGCATGTGTAGTGGATGACATAGAAGGAATAGGGGTGAGAAGACTGGAGACTGCCTAATTAATCAGTTACCAGCCAGCACAAACACACTAATAATAATTCTCTTCTCATTTCACTTTGATATACTGTACTCTACTGTAAAACCTTTTTTTATGATGGAATGGGGAGGGGCATACCTGAACAAATATACTGTACAGTCGTGAACAGAAGTCCTGTCGCCCCTTCTGCTGCTCCACGAACCCTGAGATTCAGACTCATGAATCTGAAGCATTTATGGGCAGAATAATGCACCAGTGTCTACTGCTTCGGGTTCATGAGTCTGAATCTCTTGGTTCGCGGAACAGCACAAGGGGCGACAGGACTTCTGTTCACGACTGTACATGACAAAATCCCTACAGGGATGCCACTTTTAATGTTTTATTTGGCTGACGCTAAAAAGATTATTTAGCAAAGAGGGGATCCCGTACACAAGGGGTTAGCATTTAAGATACAACCATACTGCTTATCATTATCTGCTTCCTGACTTAAATTTTCCCATCAATACATAGAACTGAAACAGTCCTAGAAACAGCCGAAAAATGTGTTGGCCCATAAGTATTACCTGGAGAACTTTATAATGCTGTATCCGATTACTTTACCTTCTTTGGCTTCCACATAAATATCTCCACCTTTGCCTCCAATACCCCCAAATCGGGGAAGTCCCATGCCCCCATGGCCACTTTTCACGTGAAGTCGAAGGGTATCTATGAATCTTCTATGGAGACGTTTCATATTCTCTTTATCCTCACATAATCTGTAAACATTAAATTTTTATCCTTCAAAGTATCCTAATCTTGCAGGTACAGTAATTAAACCAAGTTATATAAAAAATAATAATTTGCTAAAGGAAGAAAAACTAGAGAAGTTATATGTGACTCGCAAATTTCAAGTGAAAGGACTTTAGGAGGTCACTAAATATTTGTATAGTATAGTACAATACTGTACAGTACATCCATTAAGTGATTAAAAAAATTTAAAAGATAGTTATACATAATACTGCATACTACTTACAAATGTCTTTGGGAAAAAACTAGGTATCAAGGGAGATGTTAGAACTCTCAAAAAAATTTACTGGCAACAGGCTGCATGTTATCTCCAGCATTGTACAGTACAATTAGTTTTCAAAATTTTAAATGAGGTAAGAAGTAATAAATAAATACCGGTATTACTGCCACAAGATTCTCAGATCAATGGCATTTCTGGAGCAAATTATGTTTAAGCATGATGTTTAACATTTTATTATGTACGTTCATTTGTGGTGGTACACACCCAGAACATTGAACGACCGTGGAGCCCCCTGGTTAGGTTAGGTTAGGTTAGATTTAAAACTGGGTTAACGTGTAGATTAACGCTGCCAACGATTCTAGCAAGAATACACTGCTTTTCCCAATGATTTTTGTTGTTAATTGCTAGTGACAGTGTTCTCTTTTGGGAAGTGTTTCTTTTTTATTACTAATACTGTACTATAATACCTCATTTAGTCGTCGGCGAGCCATAGGAGGGGGAGTGTGTGGGTCTTCTGAATCTCATTACCATGCTATATAATACATGACCAAACTCTTGAGAAAACAACATTTCCCCAATAGAGGAATACATTACATTAGGTTAAATAAGGATGTGTTAAATACTGACAACATTATATAACCACTCAGGGAGGGTCGAGGGGGAGGGTATAAGTCAGCAAGCACAGAGTACTATTGGGAATTCAGAACACGCAATCGAGAGAACTATTAATGAGGGGAGGAATAAATCACAAACAAGTGATTTCGGACAAAAAGTGAAGGTCAGATTTGAACTAATCGCACCAAAACCCATCAGAAAACCACTTTTTTTCTTCAAATTCGATGGGTGCTGTAATATGCACAATGCACATTTACCCAAAAATACACTGAAAAATCATATTGGTCAACCCCCATGCATTGTTGTTTCCATTTTTTGGTATATTATCATATTAGTGTGTAGAAAAAAAATTCAACCAATTTGGACGGTCCGACTAATTACCCAAATATAGCCGCAATGAAGTCAAATAATGGTCCTACATGAATAAATCGGACTGCCAATCACTTCTCGATTATTATTTGGTGTCATAAAGTCACAAAAAATTGGTAAACTTAATTTAATCTGAGTTGTGTTGTGTTAGGTTAGGTTAGGTTCGTTACATGCACTCGATCTATTAACTCAGATTAAATTACATTTTCCATTTTTTTTTACTTTGTGACACCAAATACTAGTCGAGAAGTGATTAGTAACCCGATTTATTCATGTAGGACCATTATTTGACTTCATTGCGGCTATATTTGGGTAATTAGTGGGACCCCAATATGGACACTTCCTTCTGGTGGTAGCCGTTCCTTATATACTAATGTACCCAGATTTTGCCTCAGTAAGGAGTTCATGGCCCAAACAGTTCATAAACCTTTACCGGCGTGTTTAACTTTATATCCAAATATCTGGCAATAAAAATGTCGTCCCTACAATTTAGCTCTACGTATATAACACCCAAGAACACTGTCAGCCCACAACACGTGTTCACCTGTTCACATGTTCACCAAGACAGTCAAGGGTTGTTACGGTATTATCCTTCTTCACCACTGATCAGCTCACTAAGGGTTGTTATGGTATTATCCTTCTTCACCACTCATCAGCTCACTAATGGTTGTTACGGTATTATCCTTCTTCACCACTGATCAAGCTCACTAATGGTTGTTACGGTATTATCCTTCTTCACCACTCATCAGCTCACTAATGGTTGTTATGGTATTATCCTTCTTCACCACTCATCAGCTCACTAATGGTTGTTACGGTATTATCCTTCTTCACCACTCATCAGCTCACTAATGGTTGTTACGGTATTATCCTTCTTCACCACTCATCAGCTCACTAATGGTTGTTACGGTATTATCCTTCTTCACCACTCATCAGCTCACTAATGGTTGTTACGGTATTATCCTTCTTCACCACTCATCAGCTCACTAATGGTTGTTACGGTATTATCCTTCTTCACCACTCATCAGCTCACTAATGGTTGTTACGGTATTATCCTTCTTCACCACTCATCAGCTCACTAATGGTTGTTACGGTATTATCCTTCTTCACCACTCATCAGCTCACTAATGGTTGTTACGGTATTATCCTTCTTCACCACTCATCAGCTCACTAATGGTTGTTACGGTATTATCCTTCTTCACCACTGATCAGCTCACTAATGGTTGTTACGGTATTATCCTTCTTCACCACTGATCAGCTCGTTAGCCGCTTGTTGCTAATGGTAGTTACGTTTCACTAATAAAACAGTTGAATTAGTTTAAAGTAGATAAATAAATACTGTAAACCTAACTTCTTAACTTAACGAGTCTATAGCAGTTGTGTTTATATTGGTTTTCTACATTAAAATGATTATATTGTGAAGAGTAATAAGGTAAAATATTAAATTGGAACCCTACATTAGACAGTAGTGGAGAGGAGAGATCAAACTTTCCTTTATTTATTAACTCTATGACACCTTTTAAAGTTAGATTATTTTTTTGTCTTTAAATGTGTAAGTTTCGTTATATTCTTTAATGTAGAGCCTGAAGTGATAAACGAGCTATGTTGACCAAGAAGATTAAAGTAAAGAGTTAGTTGATTCATCTTCTTTTCTTCTCACAATAATCCCATAAATGATTTTAATGAGTAATTATTATTATTAGTAGTAGTTGTAGTAGTATTTTATTTTTTTATTTTTTTTATTATTATTATTCGCATCTTGTCAGCTTAATACTATGAATATGTTTTCATTATTTCCCATGTAATTATGACTCATTTTTACGTCCATCAGGCTTTAGGATAATAAACTATAAACCATGACGATGATGGCCAAGATGTACTGTTATGATGTAATGATGGCCAAGATGTACTGTTTGTTGTGATGTGGTCAACAGCTGGCAGGTGGCAGGTGGCTAATGTTAAAAATTAACACAAAAATAATTTTGTTTGTGAAAGCAGACCACTAAAATCTAATCTAATGTATCGTAATATGAATATTTTTTGATATGTGTTTTAGATGAAGGTAAATTTGGTTGGTTTGTATTACATGAAAAATAAATGGTTTCGAAGTCTTGTTAGTGGAGTGTTTTTAACATTGTGTGTGTTGCCTGGCGGGTGATGTGTTGTGAGTACTGTATATTACTTACCTTAATGTCTTTAAAAATTCTTATTATTTATTACTCTACGAAATGTATGAGTAAATATATGGAGGTTGTCGTCCACGGGAAATACTGTGGAAAATAGGTTTTAATAGTGTATTTCGTCGTGTTTCATACGAATTTGACCTTCATTACCGTCGAGAATGAGACATGACCCTCCCTCCCCCGCCCCCAGGACCAACACACTGGGCAGGGTTTTGAAATAGAGGGAAATTGTGGGGTAAACATGCAAAAAATTGACAAGACGATACTAACAACCAGAGAAACCAGGGTGAAGTTATTGTCGGACTATACGGGAATCTAGGAATTTATCTTAATCAATTGTTTAAACAATATGATGACACTTTTCTTAAGTATTGGTGGAGGAGACGGTTAGCACCAGGACTTTATGGAATTGCACCAAATTTTCAGATGTTGTTTGGATAATACTGAGTAAGAAAATCGAAATAATAATGCACAAAACCTATTAGAACATGACCTCATCTTACTTAACCTACCTAACTTTACCAAACCTACCTAACCTAACCTAACCTAACCTACCTAACCTTACCTTACCAAACCTACCTAACCTAACCTAACTTGTGCATTGTCATTTCTGTATTTACTGTAACTATCATCCAAGCAACATCTGTAGAAAATGAACGAATTCAATCCAATATAAATAGTAATAAACACGCCCAATGAGATCATCATTTATTTTTTTTTTACATGTAAACAAAGACCGCAGATGCTCCTGTATAACAGGCGATGTGAACCAAAACATAATTTGCCATGGGAGGTCTGACAGTGCCATAATGTGACAATAAATAATTTCTTTCTTCACCTACAAAGCACGTAGAGATGTGAAATTAGTAAAATTACTTATTATTATCCAAACAACATCTGAAAATTGGGTGCAATTCCATGAAGTCCTTCTGTTGCTAACCATCTCCTCCACCATTTCACTGAATGAATATTATTATTATTAATGCTGTTATTCAAACTTGGTATAATGGAGCCTGATATTTAAACTTTTTCTACTGTAGCATCCTAATCTTAAACCTCCACGTTATAATTTTCTATACTGTAATACATTGGTAGCTGTGTAGTTTTGAAGCTGTAGCACTGAACTTTAAAACAAGAAAAGGTTGGTCATCAATTAACTAGCAAGCACAATATAAGATGTAAAATAGTATACTGCCAACTCTGTTACCAACTTTTAAATACCATGATAGTCTTTATATCACGACTAAAATCGCATCCTGTTCCAAAAAACTATAAAATTAGTGGGTCAGAGGTGTATTGTTGAATTATTATTACCTGACTTTGGCCGGTCAGGCAAAACGGATAATCCGGCAAGGCCTTGGAACCAGGGTACTGGAAAATCTGTGGTGTACCTGTATTGGGAAATCTTGTGATCACTGAAAACTCCGCTTGCACAACAACATATCAAGTGTGATGTTTGTTGAACTTATGGTCCTTGAGGAAGAAAACTGTGGAAACACCAAAATACATAGACTACACTGCAGTATTAGGATGGACATGGTGTAACCCTGAGGTAAACAAGAACTTTCATTCAATACTGTACTTTTTTTTTTTTTTTTTTTACATGGGGATCAGCCCAACCGGGCACAGGTCACTGACTCACATCGGGGCCTGGGGGGCGAAAATGTAATAATAGCAATAAAAATAATAATAATAATAAAGAATATAAATAAAAATAATAAAATAATAACAATTGGACAGGTGAGCAGGTTTATTTATATCTCCAAAAGTTTGTAAGTAGAGGAGTACAGTACAGTACCTGTATATTGTACTATTTTAAAAATAGTGTAGGTGCAAACTTAATAAAACCTCAGGTGAGAAGGTCCACAGGTACAGTACAGGCAGTCCCCGGGTTACAAACGGGTTCCGTTCCTGAGGACATTCTTAAATCAGATTTGTATGTTAGTCGGAACACATGCTATGTGCATACTGTACTGACAGAAAATTTTTAAAATCCCACTATATCATAGCTTAAGTCCTTATTTACCTCTAAAATCACTTAATTTAAGACTAAAGAAGAAATAGAATGACAAAATACAGTAAATGAAAGTAAAAAATAAGTCATCGGGTAAATAAAATACTGTAAATTTAAAGTTTAACCCCGTTCGTATCGGTGGGCGTTCATAAGTCGGGGACCCCCATATGTTATATGTCATTAATAACTACATACTCTGCAACATGAACTGACCTAACCAAACAGAATGGTCTTTGCATATTCTTTGGTTAGGTTAGCTTAGATTTGTTTTGCAGTGTGAAGAACTGTATACTGTAATAGAATCTGCATAAAGGCCTTTTGGTCCAAGTGAAGTAGCTCATATTTTCACCCAAATGTCACCCATAAAATATTTCCATCCAATATATAAAACTTCTCAACCTAATTACATTAATGTTATTACAGTACTGTACTGTATTACATAACCTATTCCATCCATCTACAACTCTGTTTCATAATAAGTGCTTATTTTTTTCCTTATCTAATTTTTCTAATTTATATTCTTTTCAAGCATGAGCAGGATGCATTTGCAAATACAGTATGCTGAATAGTGGAGATGCTGGAGGTGAGGAACAGAGTACAGTACAAAATAGTAAGTCAGATAGTGGGTAGAAATAAGGACGTGCAATAGTGAGAAGTTCATGAGAAAGGCCTATACAGAAGTCAATTGGTTTTTGGTGATAAGAAAATTAAAGGTGCTTGGAGAAAATACTATTACTTTGTTTGTCTGCTGAATGAGGAATTTGAATGGGACAGGGGCAGCTTAGGAGCAGCAGTGCCAGAAAGAGATCATGACCAAGGATTTGAAGAAAATTAGTGGAGAAAGTGATGATTGACAAATTGAAGAATGGAAAGGCTTCTGGTAGCTCTAGATTGATTTCAGAAGCACTGAAAGCATCAAAAAAGGCAAATAGTATGGAATATATTGTTCCAGATGACTAGCTTAAGGAAGTGATTGTGCACACAGTTAACCCTTAATCTTGGCAGGGAGCATGTTCTTGAAAAACCTTGCAAACTTAGAAACCTTAGGTCACTGGAAAATAAGGGGTTAAGTTCCTGGTGTGACTGAACATAAGGGAAATAGTAAATGTTTCAGGACAATGACTATAATAAACACTGTACTACTAATAATAATCTCTTTCATTACAGTGATGGATCTGTAATGTGACATTTTAATGATAGGAAACCCTGTTCACAGCTAAGAGGGAGGTTGGGTATTGAGAGAGTTGGTGAGGTTTTGCATAGAAGGTGGGATGAGATGGTTTGAACATGGAGAGAATAGAGTAGACCACATGACCAACTCACATGACCCTATGTTGTGTACCTGAATGATGATGGTACTGTACACACCCCATCCCCAGCACAGGTGTTACACAAAATTTATTCCCACAGGTGTGCTTCACATTTGTGGCTTGCCACCTGGTTCTTTCACCCACAGGATGGTTAGTCGTAGTCTAGCAGAAGTGCACAGTAAATATTTTTATCAGTGCTGTGTTATAGTTCAGTCTTCTGTGCTTTAGATAATTTTATTATACACTACTGTTATCAGAGAAGTAATAAATGTTGCCAAATTAAAAATAAATCCTATATTAGGCATCAGATAGCTTAACCTAATGGGAAAATTTATGTTTTTGAAGTAACATAAGTTGTAATTGTGACGTGATAGATAAATTAAAGCAAGAATAGGTCGAGAAAAAACAATATTAATAGGTTTAATTTAAGAAAGGGGCTGCTGAAATGCAACTTATGGTTAGTATTATTTAATGGGCCAGAAATTTTGACATTTTCAGCAGACACCAGAAGGAGGCTAGAGACCTTTGAAATGTGGTGCTACAGGTAAATGTTTAGATAAATTATGTCAAAAGAAAAGCAAATAAAAAAATGCTAAAATTGGCCAGAACAAACCGACAAATATTTGAAATTTATAGAAAAAGAAAGTGTGATGCTTTGGCCATATGGGTGAACTGGGGTGGGGGTTACTGTGGACACATGAGCAACCCTTAGGGCAGGAGGCAAGCACCAATGAGCCCCATTAAATAAAGTAATGTGTTGTAAATATATTTTGTCTGCTATTGACAAGTGGTGTTAGGTAAAGATATGATACCTAGAGATATACAGTAAATTTATGATGTGACGTAATAGCCTCTGGAGCCCAGTTAAGGTATTGTATGGTGTCTAGTGATGCAATATTTAGTGAAGTTTTGATCTAGTGTACAGTCGTACAATATACATTACAGTATATATATATATTGTACTATACACTAATTATATATAAACAAAAGTAGTAGTAATAGAAATAGTTTCAGTTAATTTGGTTCATTCATCATATTTTACATAATGGGGCAGAGGGAGTGAATCATGAGAGTAATGCTGTACCTTATACATTTGTGCCTGCAGGCATGCCCCTGCCAATGTACTTGTCTTTGTTGATGTGGATGTTATAATACTTAACTGACCCTCTATGAGCTCGTTTAAAGCCGCTAGTATTATTTTTCCTGTCATTAACTTTTAAACATGTTATAAACGATGACTCCAATGATTTATACTTTCTGCATTTCATGAAAGAATTACAAATACATTTGCAATAACAGGTATGTCTGTGGGAGCCGGCGTGTTTGTCACTTCCTCAAATCCATCGCGGCCAACTTTGGCCACTCGAAGCCGATTACCAAGTATGACCAGTGTAAAAGTAAGCTCCATAGTTTTCTGTCTGTATGATCTCTAGTAGTAAATGTTATAAAGAAATTTTACTTTATAGTGTCAAAATTTTATTGTATAGTACAGTACTGTATTCTTACATTATCACTAGTACAGTACACTGTAGTATGTGAAGTAGTGGAATTAGCATTCATAGCTCTGTAGCTTGTGGAGGTCGAATAGACAAAAGTGGTCACTAGCCAAATTTTTTTATTGTTGGTTCCAATAATAACACTGACCACTTATAAGTTGCAAAAGAGCAGAAGTCTTTCAAAAGATTATTGTGCCCATAAATTGACTTGTTAGAAATTAAATCATTACAGTAACTAGATTAAACTGTGAAAATTATTACAGTTCAATAGGGTTATGTTCTATCAGATCCCATATGCAGTACAGTATACAGCTCCTCCTGGACTTATGACCTACTCGACTTACGACCTCCCGGACATACGACCGCCTCGGTCGTACCAAAATTTTGTCAAATTACATATTTTTGAGTCCCTAGCGTCAGTGATTGCGCTGTGTACGCTTGTACTGACAAAATTCTTGTTTGTAATTCACTTTAAAATGGCTGGCAAGCTTAAAAGTGAGAGTTCTGTGGTGCTGATAAGAAAAAGAGACACCCATTTTAGATTTTAAGCCCTAGAGCCGATTACTGTATTGGCGGACTAATATTCCAGCTGGTGAGCAAGCGAAAACATGTTGACATGATTTCGTAAAAATTTCGTTAACCGAATTGAAGATTCTTATGGAAGGTAATTCGTTAACCAAGGCGTTCGTTAACCGAGGGACCACTGTAGTGCTTTGTAAATTTTTGTGTTCTATTCATAAGTTAAAACAGGTTTAATCTTTCATGATACTGTATGTATTTCTTCCTTTACAGACCAGCTTCTCAGAAGATGATGAAGCACTCACATCCCAATATGGTGGATCATCATCCAAAGATCCCTTGGAAAGGAATAAAAAAATTAAGAACTTAGGGTTGCAGCATCCCCGAGCCATCTTCTTCCTTGTGCTGTGGTACATCTTTAGTGGTGTTACCCTCTTCCTCAACAAGTATATTCTCACATACCAAAATGCTGACCCTCATGTGCTTTGTACGTAGTTTTGTGTATTGTACAATACAGTCTTTTGACGTGCTTTAGTTGTTTTTATTTTTTGGTAACTTGCCCCAAAGTGCTGACCCTTATGTGATTTGTATGTACACTACTGTAGTTCTTTGTACAGTTTTTTAATCATTTTTGGGTCATCAAGTTTATTTGTTCAATAACTTACCAAAATACATTGACTCGTGTGTTGTGTAAGTAGTTCTCTGTTCATTCTCTGCATTGATGTAGAATAACTAAGTTTTTGTCCATAGTATTGTACCTCATACAGCAATTTTAACATAATTTTAGTGCAGTACAGGTACTGTAATTCACTGAACAGTTTTAGGATGATTAGGTTTGTATATTTTATAATGCACCTAAGGTCGCAGACTCTTGTGTGCATTTTATGTTTGCAGTTCTCTTCACTCATGTATGGTAGGGAGGCTCAGATTTTGGTTACAGTATTTTTCATCATCATCATCTTTTCCTGCTCAATCACTCATCTCATCACAGCAAATTCATCCTTAATTCTTCTTCTTGTGTGTATGTATACCTTATAATTTGTATGAATCTTTACAGCATCTTTCAGAACACTTGTGTCTAAGTAACTTAAAAATAATCCTGCAAGTGGTTTATGAGGTTGTACATGCTGCTAATAGGTGATGCTAGATTTTGTGAATCTACAGTGGTAAAACCATACAGATATTTATGGCCTTGTTGTGGAAGGGAAGTACCATAGCAGAACACATCTGTTACAGCAGTAAGATGAATGAATGACATCATTATGAAGGAAGAAAGGGAGACTGTGTGTGCTCATAACTCGGGCCACCCTGCATCATAGTGGTCAAACATGTTCCTGAGTTAAAGGTGGTAATTGGAACAGAAATTAAGATGTAAATGGCAAGAGCAGTAATCACAGTAATTAGAGGGTGGACTACAGTGATTCCCTCATAATCCATGAGGTTAGGACATGATTTGACAACCAAACAGGTGTGACTACAAAGTGACCAGGCATGGCAGCCTGTGGGCACCACACTCACTTCCAGCACGTGCTCCAACATTACACATTTTTGTCTAGCCATATAATACAGCATTAACTGTAATGTACTGTGTACTGTTATTTATTGATGAAAGATGAGGTCCCTCACCATGAGACCACCAAACAGTCAACCAACTTATGGGATGCACCATACACATACACCACAGGCTAATCAGTGACCAGATCACCTCTCCACCTACTTGGCTCCCATTATACTCATCATTTCTCAGTTGGCTGTACAGCAACTGGTATTCTGATGTCATGGCTGCCTTTCTACTACAGTTTTTGGCCTGGATATTGAGTTTATGTAGATAGATCCTTTAGGTAAAGGTTTATTTTTGTTTGTGGTGTTAATTAAAATCAGGTTGTGTCGTTTAATGGAGGTTTACTATTAAAATGGCTTCCAAGGGCCATATACAACCTTATAATGATGTCACACCTTGCAAGAAAAGCATAAAAGTTACACTCAGAAGCTAAGAAATTCACCCACATCACCACAGCCTACCGTTTCAGCCACTACTATTTACAAACTGAATTCACTTCTTGGTGTAAATTTGTGTATCTACTGTAAATCTAATATGAATTTAATATGAATGTTTACCAACCTTTAAAGATATACAGTATATTTTTATTGTGGGTAGGATTATACATGTTTTGTGGAGCCCCAACCTAACTTCCTTTGTTATTGTATGATTTTGCCCTTTAATTTTACAACTCTCTCATGATATTTTTCTAATGTTGTCTGTCTTATCTCTAGTGAATGTTTCATTATTTTTGTGTTTATTGATTCTAAAGTGTGAAGAAGGTTACTTACTGAAATGTTTTAGTAAGCTTGATAACTAGTCTTTATATGTGCAGTGAATTTATAAGTGTAGGTGCTAAAGATTCCTCTTATATATTTATTTACAACTTAAGGATATGAAGAATTGTGTGGGATGTTTCCATTTGCTATATCATCCCTTTGCTGCCAGATTGTACATTTTTCTTGCAATTGTTTTACTGACCGTTTCCTACCCTTTTGAGGTTTTTGTTTCCCTCGATCAGTTTCATGTAAAACACCAGACAGTACACATGGAAGTTAACTATTTTATATTGCAACAAATATTTCAGGTGGTATGCAGATGTTAATTACAATGTTGTGCGGATTTATCCAGTTGCGGTATCCCCTGGGTACCTACAGACCAATAAAGGGACAGCAGAAACCTGACAACTTTCAGAAACGCATGCTCACCCTCGGCCTGCTACAGTAAGTCATCTTTTTTCCTTGGGCAATAAACTTTTTCTGTTAGGTGTGGTCCTCAAGCAGCCACTATAAATTACCCTGCCATTATACAGTACAGTAGGTGGTTTTTATGATGCCACCGTGCCAGCTGTCTGGGATATTTTTTACTGCAACTCTCACGTTCATAAACAGATATAGTGTTCCTTTTTTTTTACATTCATGATAATTTCTTACTACAGTATATAATTCCACAAACTAGAATATATTTTTATTATCTTATTCTTTACCTCATAGAGTATCAAGTTTTTTATGTTAGCAGTTATAATGGAAGTACAATTAGAGACCCATTTGAGATACTGTAATTACTGTATTTAATTCAAACTTACGTACTGTACGGTACTCCAATTACAGTATAGTACTGTACTTGCTTAATGACATTATGAAATGCTTAGAATAGTACAGTACAGTGGTCCCTCGATTAACGAACACAATTGGTTCCACAGAGTCTTTCTTTAACCGAAAATTTCGTTAACTGAATCTATTATTTCAAAGGGATATTGGGTAATTGGTTCCAACTCACAGAAAAAGCATATACAAAGTACTGTATACCAGTAATAGAATTAACAAAACATTAAATATAAACTAAATACAGTACTGTACTGTACAGTATAATAATGAATAAAAACAATAAAATACTGTATTTTAACTTACTTTGAGGTGCATATGACGTATTCCCGACAGCTTTGTTTACATATCAAACAGCTGATTGTAGAGGTGATGACATGCCATATTCTTTACAGAGTGCATGGGTTCTAATGCCTTCTTCATGTTTCATAATAATTTCTGCACTGTATATTATGAATATGTGAACTAAATTTCAGAATGACCAATAATTTTAATGTAAAAATGAAAAAAATATTCAAGAGCACAACTTTCTTGATATATACTCCATTGGAAACGAATGTAAACATAGAACCAATAATTTTAGTGGCGGACTAGCCGATCAGCTGATGCTCACAACAAAGCGTGTTTCTCGTAAGGCTGTCGTTAATCAAGTTTTGTTCGTTAATGGAATTGAAAATTCTTATGGGAGCTAATTCGTTAACCGAAATTTCGTTAATTGGACCGTTCGTTAATCGTGGGACCAATGTATTATCATATGGTGTACAGTATATTACAAAATTGTAACTGTTGCTAAAAATAAACAGTAACATTTCTAAATAATCTCTAGATTGAAAGAAAGTTTTGCGAGAAATTATGAAGTGAAAAAGTTATATGAGTTACTTAAAAAAAATGTTTATTCCATCCCAAATTATGTGTCTCGTTTCTGCACTTTATAGTAATTTATAATTACCGGTAGTTATATGCTCCTCATCTTATTGTGCAAATATTTACGGTTAAATAGCTATAAACAGTTTGTATGTACAGGTTCTGAGGGGGGCACAGAACATTTTTTTAACCGTGGCTATGGGCCCCCTGCTACTGTATCCTGAAAGAGGAGGCAAGGTTGGATTTATATCTAGTTTCAGATATATTTTGTAATTTCCATTGTAAAGGAGAGATGAATGTGAGTCTAGAAGTGTCTTGGTTTGTTGAAAGATTCTACACAACTCCTATAAATATATCTTGTTAAATCATGAGTGACTAATAGTACAATGCTAAGTAGAATGCAGAGAGAGAGAGAGAGCACTAACAGGTAAACCGATTATTAATTATATAGGAAATGTTTTATGGTCTAATAGATGGAATAATTTGGCAGTGTAAATGTGAGGACACAATTGATTTGAAAGTATGACCAAAGGATCTTAATTTAGGGAAGTAAGTGGTACTGTAATTAGAAAAAAAGAAAACCAAATATAAGATGTTTAAAAAAGCCAATCATTGAATTAAATGCATTTAACTGAAAAGGCCAATCTCATCTTCTGCATGTTTATTGTAGTTGTAGTCCTGTCAGGTTCTTCTGTAACTGGCAAGCTTGTCTCCATTATTTTTCTATGAGGAATATCACAATTATTCTGTTTGCAGACACACGATTGTACCTAGACACGACTCGGGTTGTACCCTTAGATGGCTGTATGAAGCGTGGATGTACTTTTGAGTGTCGTAGTGCAGATTTTTTTTCCCATGGCTAGTTACTCTGTTGGAATTCTTCACTGTTAATTAAAAAAAATTTCTGAGTAGGAAGCTGACACTTTTATCAAATCATTCTTTGTAGGTTGTCCTCAATCAAAAGTCTACTTATTTCATTCCCTATGAGTTAGAAATCTTTTGTACATCATTTTGATGATTTCTGTAGCTTGATCCCTTTAAATTATGGTGTAGGAACATAATGATCTTATATCACAAAGCTTTAGACCTTATAATTATGTTTTATTCCAGACTGGGAACAATAATGTTTGGCTTGATTGCCATATATTATGTGGCTGTCAGCTTTGCTGAAACTGTGAAGAGTTCTGCACCATTGTTTACAGTTTTAATTGCATATTTTGTTTTAGGTGAGTACAGTAATATATTTTAGTCCAGTCTGCGAGTAAAGTGTAATGATTATTAAAATCTCTTAGTGATTTTAAGTGTTTACTTACCTTTTCTGAAAACTGTGAGCATCGATTTGTATTTGTTGATGCAAGTATTATTAAAATCAAGATCATTTCAGATAGGTTACTGTATAGTTCAAAAGCAATATATTACACTGAACTGAATATATTAGTGATAAGCTACTTGTTCAATACAGGGTACCCTTGTTATTCATATATGTATACTGTACTTCAATTGTACTTATAACAGGGGAGAAGGGATGCCCATTCATGCAGGTAGTCTGCTAAATTCGGATGTTTACTACGCTGTTTACACACAATATTATATAATGACTACCCGGTATATCAGATAGCACCTTACATATTGAGCACTGTTAAAGAGTACAGTAATCCCTGATTATTTGTGTATTTTGTGTTCATGTATTCAACAATTTGCAGAAAGCAATAAAGTATTAAATATCAATAAAGTGAAGTCTCAGTTATTTCCAGGTTACATACCATAAGACATCGCGAATTATTGTAGTGTAATTGATTTAAATGGAAATAATTGCCACAATTAGATTCCAGAGACCAAAATATACACATAAAATTCTATAACGTAATATAGAAATAATGAAAATAAACTATAAAATAAGAAAATTAAGATTGGGAAGTCAATTGTTTAGGGGGTGGGACGTAGAGAGGGTTGGTGTCTGGACAACTCCACCCTCAATCCCGTTAACACGACACTATGCAATTTCACCATACTTCTCATATAATTTTTGTTCATTTGGTGTCAGGTTAATAGAATAGTATCGTAAAATATAAAATTTTCCTATTGCGTGTTTACAAGGCAGACGAGCTGACCATTATCGGCGGCCTCCCTCCAAGTAGTGTTGCCATTGCTCTACTTCTCTCATGCATTTCTGCTGTCAGTGCTCAAGATGGATGGTTCTTACCTTAACATCTGGATTTAACACTTAGTAGTAAATAACATTCTACTGTAGTGTATTTATACATTGATCAGTTGTCTAAGTGTATATGTAGCCAAATCAAGCCATCATGTATCACTCTAAGGTAACAAATAATGTTATTATGAGTGTATTTCCATAAATACTATACAATACATTATGTTATATTAACCCCATTGTAAGCTGATTTGATGAGATTTCAAGGAGTATTATTGTACATGTTGGAATGCACATACAGGTACCCCTAATTACCATATTTTATGGCTTATAAGATACATGGGTATATAAGACGCACTCATATTTCAGCAGTGAATATCAAGGAAAATTTTTTTGAGTGTACAGTATTTTTTTCCTGTAGCCAAAGTTTTCTTAAAATGAGGGTAAAATCTAATTTGCATTGTTAGTACAGTACTGTACTCAATAGCTGTTACAGTATTGATATGATTGTTACTCATTGTATTGAGATGACCACACTAAACACTCCAAAAACATGAAATGGCAAATGAATACAAGTCTTTACCACATGCCATAGATGATGTTATCTGCTAGTGAGACACTACAAAAGTGCTGTGATGGCTATCGGTGTTGTTCACCATTATCATCATTATTTTAAGTTTATTTTGAAAGCTAAAAGATGTTTCTTAATAAAAATAATAAGTAAAATGTTGCAGGAATGACATTCACAGATAGCAATGCTTGTAAAAGTTCAGTAATGGTTACTGCTTAACTCTGAAGAGTTGAGTGCTGTACGGATGCAAATTGTCTCGGGATATTATCATCAGTAGTTATAAGTCTAGCTTTTATATTTACAATAATTCCTTTTAATTATTGAAAGGTACCCTGTAATAATACAGTACAGTAATGTGTTTAAGTAAAGAAGAACATGTTTTTAATTCTGAAGTTGAACAGGGTAGATTTTAGTCTACTGGAGACAGCAACAGGGGGATTCATAAGCCTATGGGAGACTGCAACTTCACATATAGGATGCAAAGTGATTTAGCTATTTTTCGAAAAAAGTGCATCTTATGTGTCACAAAATATGGCACATTAATTCTTAGGAGGAAGAATTTCTCATAAAACATTTCATTATGAGTCGCTTTTCTCTGGAGCACATCCACGACGTATATGACATACAGTACTGTATAATGAGTACCCCTAGACCAGCGGATGCCCACACACCACATGTCAGTGCATGCACAAACACTCCCAAATAAAAAATTACTCTACATATTTAATATGATTTTAATCTGTTTTATTTATTGCTGTACAGTATTTATATGAGTAATACGTACTTGTTTCTGTACTTTTTATTTCAAATTAACTAACAAATACCTGTACAACCTAACATGACTAGCTAGTAACTGAACCCCCTCTAATTATATTGATTTATGTGGGAAAATTTGCTCCATTATTCGTATAATTGTCGTACGTTTGGACTTTTTAGGAACGGAACCTATATGAATATCAAGGACCCACTGTATTTGCCATTAGATTTTGTCTTAGTGGTATGAATACCCTTTACCTGTATTTAATTTTTTATTTTTTTTTCTTCCAAGTTTTGATATTTTTTATTTTGTGGTTAAACAATATATAAAGAAATTACATTTTGCTTCTCTTCATGTACTTAATGCATAACTGTGAGCATAAGATATAGATAAATGGATAAACAGTTAAGTGAATTTTGATGTGTTTGTAATACACCTGCATTCATGAACTATTTTGATTTCTTATAAGTACACTAAATGTCTTACTGATTAAAGAATATTTTAATGATCAAAGGCTTATGTTTTCTTCAGGTGAGCGGACTGGTGCTTGCGTATTCTTCTCACTGATCCCCGTCATGCTTGGGTTAGCTCTCTGCTCAAGCAATGAGCTTTCGTTCAGCATGATTGGTTTCTTGTGTGCCTTGACAACTAACCTGTGTGAGTGTGTACAGAGTGTGGTGTCCAAGTCACTACTCTCCAACAAAGCCTATATATACAAGTAAGTTTGTCAGGCCGCCTCCATGCATGTAACCATACTGTATTGTTACAAACATTAAATATATGTATTCCGTTATTAATTCCTTCTCTGTATATTAGCCATTCAAATGTTCTCTCACTTCTTGGCCATTCACCTTTTGGATCACATTGTCAGCAGGTAATGGACCTTAACAGGCTTTACATGTGTCTGAACATGCACCAAGTTTAATGTAGCCTGGACAGAAGAGTTTTAATTTTTATCATCTTAACCCATTCATTGCATAAATTAATGTGTAAATTATTTCTCCAGCAAAAACTGAATTTACTATCATGACTGTTCTTTGTTATTTTGTTATGACCTACAATGTCCAGTGCTAGTACAAGAGGTAACTGGAGTACCCAGATGAAACCTGTGATGTTGGGTAGGGTCACACAGAATACCGTAACACTGTTCTCACATCTGTTCTGGGTCAGGGATTGAACCCAGGATACCCTGGTGAGAGATAAGAGTGTTGCTGCTGTTTTGAATATTGAAGATTACTCTTTAGTAAAACCTCACAATTTTAAACTAATTTGGGGAAAACAGTAAACACCCAATATACTCGTAACATGAACACTGTAAGCCCTCTGCATTTGTGAGAATTATGTTTCTGGAAAACCAAACCCTGTAAACCAATACGTAACACAAATTTAACTGAAAAGCCCAAAGCAAAACATTTGAAGAAATGATTTATGAATGCAGTCGACCCTCGTTAATTCGGACTAATAGGGGGGGAAGGGTGTCCGTTTTAGCCGATTGTCCGAATTAACCGATTTAGGGGTTAAAATTGCATAATATTGCATTATATTTCAAAGAAAATGCAGTGAGTTTGTCCTTAGCCTTGCATATGTCCGAAACTGTTTGCTTTTTAACACCATACTCGTCACAAACTCTAGACACCGAAGCACCAGCCTCTAACTTCCTTATAAATTCCAGTTTCTGGTTCACAGAAAGGGTCACATACTTCCTCTTCGGCGTATTAGAGGTACTCCCCCTTGAAGACATGATATAAAATACAAGGCTGAAAGATGCCTAATCACTGAAATATCAACGAAAATTGCAGGGCAACACAACACTGATACTCGAACATGGCGCTAAGTCAACAATGACTGGCGGTCTGGCGCGCGCACGCCATCTATCGGACAATCCCAGAACCAGAAATTTGATACGGACAGTCCCACGCTTAGTTCAGATTTTGTCCGAATTATCCGAAATCCGGGTTAAAGGGTTCCGAATTAACGAGGGTCGACTGTATATTCAATGTTGGCATGGAAGGCTACTGCAATTCTCTGTTCAATCACGAGGGTTATGTTCCAGGAGAATTGAACATGCATAGGAAGTAGTAAATGTTTACGAACAATAACTGTATTTATATATATATATATATATATATACGTATATATATATATATACTGTATATATATATATATATATATATGCTGATAACCACAAGGAAAGAAGAAAACACGAAGTTCCCAAGTGCTTTCGTGTAATTCACATCTTCAGCGATGAGTTACACGAAAGCGCTTGGGAACTTCGTGTCTTCTTCTTTCCTTGTGGTTATCAGCATATACCTAGATCACGTGCACCTACAGTGATTTACTTGTATATCTACAGTATATATATCAATAATTTTTCTTCAACATTTACTACATCCTACGCATGTTCAATTTTCCAGGAACATAACCCTCATAACCCTCGTGTGTGTGTGTGTGTGTGTGAAAATGCTCACTTTCATGATCGCAAGTCGAGAATATCATTGCTAACATTTATCAGTAATTATTATTTTGTGCAGAGGAAGTGTTATTTATTACTCTTTAATTATGATACACCATGTATGATGGCAAACTTTCTCTCTAATGTTTAAGAATCTTTAATTTTTTCCTAAAATTTTTTAAATAAACTTTGATTTTGCAGACCTAAAATCTACAAGCTTATTAAAGTTTACTGTCTATGAAGTACAGTATAAAGAATCACACCATCCTTTGCTGGCCCCCACCTCTCCCTCCTCATTCCAAAGGAGTTGCCAGATTGTCCACCTCACCACTTTCGTCTCTTGCCTGCATACATATAGCCATGAATATTGTAGAATACTGCATATATATATATATATATATATACATATACAGGTCACAGGGTTTCTAGGAATATAGACCTGTTTGTTAGGTGGTATTTATGTTACTTCTCCAGTGGCAGTAATTTAATGGGCATCTGATGCTTAGTATTGTTGCCTGATGCTTGAAGATTATTGTAGTTTGATTGTAGTGTATGTTTTACTGTTTGAGTCAGCTGCTGTTCACTTTGGCAGTAAACCTCAGGGAGATGTTTAGTGTGAGGGTATTACTGTATTCTATAATGTAATAATGAGCTCATGTATCTGTTGAAAGATACTTAGCTGAAGGTTCAACATGTTTTTTTTTTCTCAATTGATAGGCTTATTCAGGGCTAACATATTCACATTTATTGTTTTGGTTTTTGTACCTGGTTAATATGGGGAATGGGTGTTGTGATAGCATTACCATTGATATTAAATATTGTTAAAATGAAGATATAAACTACTGAATTGGAATGAATACAGTAAACCCTTGTTATTCGTGGGTTTACCATTCACTGTTTCAATTATTTGAGTCAAGGAGATGGTGGCTAGCTCACAAGCCTCTGCAGGAGCGCTGCAAGTCACCCCCACTCGCCCACAGAGTATCCCCTTCCTTGTTTGTGCTCAACCATTGTCCACCACAGCATATCTTGTGTTGATCTGAAAACTTCAGTGTTTTTTGTGTGAAATGGCCCCTAAAATATTTCCTAGTGCTAGCGATGCTAGTGCAGTGAAACATAAAAGGCAAAAGTCAGTGATGACTCTTACCGAGAAAGTTAAATTATTAGATAAGTTAAAGGAAGGAATGAGCGCCACCACGGTTGGGGTTGGCCGGTTGTTTGGTGTAAATAAATCCATGGTGTGGTACATTAAGGAAGAAGAGGCTGATGTGTGAATGCTGCAGTGAGTGCTCCTACAAGTGCTAAAGTGGCACAGACTGTTCGTGATAAGAACATAGTACAAACAGAAAAAGCATAGAACATTTGGATTGAGGACCAGCACTACAAAAATGTGCCAATCGATAATATAACGTCATCCATAAGAAGGATAAGAGTCTCTATGCCCATTTGTATGGATCACTAGGTGGTGAAGGGGCTAATGCAGCTACTGAACAACTTACAGTTCATTGTAGTGCCAATAAAAAGCAGCTCGAGGATTTTAATAATCACAAGGGTTTGCTGTATTTAAAGATAAAGGATAAGTAACAGATTAACAGAGAATTAAGAGATTTTTTATAACAGTAAGACACTGAATGCAAAGTATTTCAAATTCGATATTACCTCAGTTGGTTCATAAGATGAGGTTCACAATACCTGTAGTTTATTGCATAGGGCTTAATGTTTACCACTTTTTCCACAGTCCAGCAGAACTGCAGTTCTACCCAAACTTAGCAGCTGTCATCTTGCAGTTTCCCACATGGTACTTCCTAGTAGATTTTGGTAAACTCTACAGTCAAATGGATCACAGCCTACTATCTGCCATTATTCTTGATGGTATATCTTTCCATGGCCAGACAATCACAGCCTATGTGCTTATGTCCTACGTTAACCCAGTTACATACAGGTCAGTGGAAGTTAACACCTCTAGCTATCATTTTTTTGAGGCTCGACTATATTATACTATATGCATTATAGAGTAAAGTTAACAAGAGTACTGTACAGTACTGTAATTGTTTTAAAAATTAATTAATTCAATATTCAAACTTTTTGCAGTGTTGCCAATACAACCAAGAGAGCTTGCTTGATCTGGTTGTCAGTGTTACTGTTTGGTAACCCTGTCACCTTGTGGAGTGGTGTAGGAACAGCAGTGGTGATCGTTGGAGTCCTCTTGTACAGTAATGCTCGGGAAATTGACGCCCGCAGAAGAGAACAGTTCTCCATTACAGAGGAAAAGATGAATGCCATTAGATAATGGTGTAGTTTTAGTAAATACTATTTTTTAGTCTTATGCATTACTTTTGGATATCCATGGTGTATTGTACTTAATATTTATGAAACTGCAAATATTAATCGGAAATTCATCTTCATCATCTGAAGAAAAATTACTTACTGATATTTAATATAAGCATATTACACAAACTATCAGGTACAAAGTAGTTGTCGTATGCATGTTGTTATTTGCAAGACCTCCGAGTACACATTTAAAATAAATTAGTGTATGAGATAATGATTGAAGTATTCTATGTGCACATTGAAATCTTTGGAGATTGAACACCATAAGTATATAGTTCAAATATCATTAATAAAGCTTAATACTGAAAGTTTGGTTCAAGCACAATGAATTATTTCAGACATTATGGAATGGGTTTAGTTACACAGTACAGTACAGTAGTATATCCTTTCTCAGTAATGCCAGATTCTAACCCCTCCACCCTTTGCAATTTATAACTTTTTTTTCAGCAGGTATTGTAATCCTAAATTTATATTTAGTTTTTAAACACTACAGTATTGTAGATTCAGAGATAGATATTTTATATTTTATTTTTCAGTGTAAATGGTCATCACAAAGTTTTAGCTTAATTTACTGGAACATTTTAGTACTGCATGTGATTTGTTTTATTTCCAATACAGTACAGTTAGGATTTTTGCTCAAAATACTGTTTTAGTTCCCATTATGAAAGTGAAAAAGAATAATCACTTCTTCATATTTTAAGTAAAATATTCATTGGTACAGTATTTACTTTCGGTGTTTTGTAAATCTGCATCTGTATTGAAAAGGAAAGAATGAATAAAATTGTTTTTACATACAGTAAACTTCAAACTTTAATGTAGTTTTTTATTTCAATGTGGAAAATACCATTGTCTCATAAGCTCTATGGTCACCAAGCACTGTATTAATATATCTTCCTATTATCTGTACAGTACTCTCTCACTGTTGTGGTGAATCAAGAGTACAGAAAACAAATAAATAGAAAGAAAGAAGGAAAGTGATGCAAGACAGATGTAGAGAGTGAGAGTAAAGTGCTAGATTGGCAATAAAAAATATCCACACATAGTTGGTCATGCCTCCAGCTTGCATAGCACCTAGTAATAATCAGTGTATATCATGACATGATACATACCGATAGGTTATATATAAAAAGTAGAACTCGTTAATCCGTACAGTCATATTTTGGGTACTGTATTACCCTTAATCCAGGTGACTCTTAGAATACAGTGCAACTTATAAAGGGGTCCTTTTGTCCTTCAACAGAATCCCCCCACTGCCACCCAGGGTTAGTCTGTTAATCCATCTGGATATGCCAACCACTTTCCCTTTCCTTCATGTACTGCCAGCCTAAAAAGAGGGGAACTGGTACAACAGATACCCCCTTCCCTGTACCCACCTAATTCATGTTTACTCTCCAGTCAGCACTTGTGGTATATCAGATAAGCACGTTTTAGGACTTTTGAATGCTCAAGCAGATGCACTGTATAGGATAGGGATAAGGTGTAGCACGTTGAATGGATGCCAATTGACATGAACTGCACCACTCTTTGAATCTTTCTTCAAAGATTAAACTTTAGTTGGTGTGGTTGACTTTAGCAACAACACAAATACCAATCTGTATATATATTTTAAGAAGATGTACAGGGTATTTAAAAACTTGTGATGATCTGGTGGATGCACTCCTTGGCTGAAATAATGCATGCAAGCTTTTTTTTAAACAATGGCCTGCTATGTGTGGTACCCTGAAGTAGATCCAACTCCACGGACTTAAACAGTCATCTATTAATGCTCACCTTCTGTCTTAAGGGCAGCTCATTTGTACTTCAGACACTTTCAGTTGACCCAGCTGTGAATGGGTGTAGTATATCTTAAGAAGTGCTTAACTTCAGAGATGAGGGAGTATATGGCAGTTGAAATAGCCAATTTTTTTCTTATTTCTAGGTGGATAGATATTTGATTGTGTTCTATGCAGATTAATCAATCCTATGAGTAATGGCCTGCCAGACACATGGGATCTGATTTGGCCTAATATAGATTCCTTGTCAGATTGTACTGAAAGTTAGTAAAAGACAACTTTCTACCTTTCTCCTAAGTTTAATTTCATGATGGGATTTGATTGGATAACATTGTTTCTTTAGTCTTTCCAGTGTTTTAGGTTAATGTTTAGTTCAGTGATTGAGTCATTGGTGATTGGTAATTGGATTCTTCATAGGTTTCTTTCATCTTTATTTACCCATAGGAATTCCTACTTTTATATCTGCCTTATGCAGAATGCACACAATTCACTTGTCACTCACAATTTCAACACATCATCTCTGGCAGAATGTATATGTCCATATTAAAGGCTCTGGACCTTTGGAGGTTATCATTCCTGGGTGAGTCCAGGATAACACCTGATCTGTTTGGTAAGAATTTTAGTTTGCCAACCCAGAATATACAATGGTTCAACTCTTGGAGGTCCATTCCTCGAGCTTTTATAGCACTTCCTCATCCCTTTGGTTTCAGCTGGCATTGTATTATAAGAGGCACCTGGTTTTAGGGCAATAGCCAGTAATAGAGGATTGATCTTAAAATCCCTTTTTCTGGCAGAGCCTGAAGCCAAGCAGCTCAGAAACCCTCTCTCGTCCCTTGGGCCTGTAATCAGTCAGCTAAAACTGAGAGTACAGCCAGTTGACTTAATCTGGATTCATGCAGATTCATAGAGGGGAAGGCCATTACAGTACTTGAACATGTTAAAAGGTGACATGTTTCTATTTATTCATCATTTTAAAACTTTATGATTATTAAATCATTATTCAGGGTCTTCTTTGACTAGCCAGCTGCCACCACTTGTAAACAAACTTCATGATGCACCAATTGTCTTTTCTCTAGCTTTTGCAGACATCTCACTTGTTTCAGCAATTGAAAAACTTCTGGGTATAGCACAATCCTGCAAGGCCTCATCTAGATGCTTTGTTGTTTTTTTCGTTTCGTTGGGCAAACACACCAACAAAACATCCCATTGTGATGCAAAAGCCTTTTGTTTTGTTGGCTGGACCATGTTTGCCCAATATGTTGGGAGGAAAAGTGCCCAGTGTGCTGCCGGCTTTACCTGTTTTTTCAATCCTGTAGACTTATGGGGAAATTTGTGAATGGTCTGGTTCTGGCAACTAAAATTGAAATTCAGGATTAATTCCTTATTTATTCATTCTTTCTTGACTGGTTATGTGCACTTACTCACAATTTAAGTGGAAATATAGCTCAGTTAAAGTTGATATTGTTCAGGGTTCACTGCTGTTGCAGATAAATACAATTACTGTACAGTTTATTTGCAGTTTGTAGGAAAACAAATAGATTTGAATAACAAAAGATAATTCATGATTCATAATGACTTCTTTCATAAGTTCTGTTATACTTAGGAAACTTTCTCTTTGCTTAATTGTTGAAAAGAAAGTTTTGTTCAGAAAATGTGTGAATAAGCTAGTTGTAGAGTAGATTGTGTTTAATCTAATTAACAAGAGATGATTGTGTACCTCCAGTATTGACTCATATTTTACTTAGAGTTGACCTGTGCTCAAACTTTAGATAGAATACTGTTATGTCTTCCCGATGTTTTCTGATTCTAGGACCATTTATGATTATTAGGAAATACAGTATGTCCAACCTTTATATTGGTGAAGATGCCAATGACCAATTTGTACTGTAACTATATTGTAATAAGAAACATTCCAGCTTTACAGGAGCATTTTCTAATACACTTATAGTCTTTTAAATTACCATTACTGTATTAGTTCCTATCTGGCAAAACCAGAAGGGTTCTTTAGGATTACTCTCAGTCTGTCTGTCTGCTTGCCTGCCTGCCTGTCTCTGTCTGTCTGTTTTTCTTTGAATGTTAAAATGGGTCCCATAGACCTGATAGCCTGTTAGAGGCAGTCCAGATACAGTAAATTGTAGACTAAGGTAGCCCTCATTTATATGCAATAAAGTACACCCACTATAAAATTATTCGGCACCCGTGTATTATTGTATCACGCCGTATTTAAGGGTGCTGAATAATTTTTTATAGGGCATACAGTAATGTTTGGTGTACAACATTACTGTACATAATACTTCAACATTAATGTACACCCAATAAAAAATTATTCAGCACCCTTACGACATGTTACAATATGAAACTGTTGCCGAATAATTTTTTAGTGGGTGTACACTAGTGTGACAAGCACTGTACATGACCATTCATTTTCCCCAATTGTAAAGTTAGGGACCCATTCACAGTTGGATGACGTGGAGGATGCCCCAGGTGCAAGCCAGGACAGGAGGCAAATATAGTACAGTATTCACATATCCACCACACTCGTTAAAGAGAAATCAGTAACACAAGAAATTCATCAAACTTGGCTGTATTAGATCAAAATAAATAAGTAACTGGCAGATACCAGTACAGTGTATTTATTGTTGTGCAGTGGTTTGTTATTTTACATATCATCTAATTTTTAGCTCATGAATAATAATGAGATAATATACTGTACTGTATACAGTACAGTATAAAACTGTAGTCAACCCTCACTTTATGCGGTCCCACATTCCGCGTTTCCACATTTACACGGTGCCCTGCCAGAACCCAGGATGCTCACATTCCGCGGTGGGTGTACCCCTTTACGCGGGTGAAGTATAATTTTTTTATTTAGCTCATAAAATTCATACAAATTATCCGGCCAGAATATAATTTACATTGTTGGAATTCTTACAATTTGATGATCATTTTGAATATAAACATCATAGATTTTGCATTAGACATACAAATTTTAGATATAATGTTTACTCTGAGTAAATATGTTATCTTTTGTACAAAATATATGACATTTATATTCAAAATATTCCTGGTCTTACAAGGAATCCAGCAATGTCAATTATATTATCCTAACTTTAGTTTGAGGTATTATTTATTACTATACCTGGTTTTCCCCCCAAAATTTCTGAGAGGGAAGAGCCAGCGAGTGTAGTGTGAGAAGAGGGGGAGGGAGTTGAGTCCATTATTTGAATGGACATTAACTTGGCGACTATATTTCTCTATTTCTCTTAAGTATTAATTGTGTGCATGTACCATCATAAAATTAAGATGTTATTTTTACTAGAACATAGGTATTGTGTTGGAAAAAGTGGAGTTTGGGGGTCAGCTGGTCTCTATTTCATTTAATGCCATATGTTATGTTATTCACTTTACGCGTTTCTCACTTTCCGCGGTACCCTGTGGGTTACATTAACCGCGTAAAGTGAGGGTTGACTGTACTTTTTCTGAACTTGTAATGACTTTGTGAAGGCTAGTTGTATATTTTACTGGTGAATTTCCTTTTACAGGTAGAATAAGAATATTTTATGAACTGCCACAAATGGTATTGATGAAAGATATACAATACAGTCCTCAAATGTTACTAATGGCCCTCAAGGCAGTCACTGAGAAACATTTTAGAACTGAGATATTTATTAACAGTTGATAAATGAGGAATAAAGAATAACAACAATGTACAGTATGTCTGAATATCTCAATTCAGCTCAAATTTCAGGCTGCACTGCATGTTTTCTGCCCTTGTTTTGTGATGGAGATTGCACAATGCGGGAGCCGTATCCACATTACCGGACATCATTATCTGGTAGAGGAATGTCAGGGGCTATTGATTGACATAGAAAATGGAAAATTGAGAAACCTGGTGATACGCCCTTGCTATTGTAAATGCCTCAGATATTTGTTTTGTATTCTGTACCGATATAATTTTACTGCTTGTTTAATAATTGAGAGTTCCTATTTTCATAACACCAGGAACTGAGGTTTTACTGTATACTGTAGATGATTAACATTATTTATTATATAAATATTATTTAAAATGTAAATATTTCATCTTCTTTTACCTGCCTCATTAAATATCTAATTATATTACTAGATATAGCACAAGGGCAACATTGAGAGTTAAGCATTATTAATGCTTGACATCGATTGAAACTAACATGGGAAATTACTTATAGAAATACTGTAGTGTAGTGCAATTGACCCTTAGGAGTCTGTGAGGTAACGGACTGAACAAAACCACAAATGTGCAAAATTACTATTATAGGTAAGAATAAACAAATTAGTTAGTGCTTGTGAAGGAACCCCCCAAAACAGATGTGGTTCAGTGATTGGGTGTAATTATTAAGGCAGGAGGGGAGAGATGATACAGGTGAAGGATATGATGAGATCATATCAGCCAGTGGCAGTTGTGGTGGTGGTAGAGGAACACTGCCACCACCATTACTTTACCCACAACAGCTGTTACACTAATCTCTCTTTCCTGCCACAATAGAGTAATCTCTTCATATTTGTTGTTTGATGTAATTTTATTTATTATTTGTTAAGTATGGGGATGCTTAATCATTCAATCATTTCCTTGTGTTTTGGGGTTCCACCAATAGTTGATTTGCAGCCTTCTGCCTTAATAATGTGTTTATACATATTATCAATACCCATTTATTTGTTCTTTATCAAGAAGTCACCAGATGAATATCTTAAATTTTCTAATAACATTAGATCCACAATGGATAAAGTCACAAGTGTTGAGCTTTGTTCTAAGATTCTTTGAGCATCGCTCATAATTCAGACAGCAAGAAAACTAATTGCAGTGACCAAAGCATTACAGCACATACAGTGTACTGTTGCTCCTCCTCCCCGCACAGTCACCAATTTCTTTAGTCATCTCTTGAGATAGTTCTTTCTTTAACCTTGCAAATTTTTTAAATTATCATGGATTGACTGTTACAATTTAAGTACTGTATATATTTTGACTATCCTTAATCTTGATAACATAAAGAGATAAAGCAAATTGAAGGAAGTTGAAGTTGATCAATGGGATTCTTTTTTATGTTCCTTGGATGCATTCATTATGACACTTAATAGTTTTGTCTTTATATTTATTTTCAGAATTTAGTTATACTGTAATGATAAATATAAACCATATTTTGAATAACAGAGAAACAATTTTGTTTATCATTAGTTTTTGCAAAACTCTGCCAACATTTTTTTTTTTTTTTTTTTTTAATAATTGGTTTCAGTAGAAACGGTAGCAGTTATCCAGCCGCTTGGGTGATTGACCACGTCTCTGTTACGCACTGTTGGCAAGTACTGGGCATGTACTGGCTCCTCAATGTACCTGAACCTGCTCCAGTGTTGGTCAAGCCTGGTCTCAAAAGAGCTCACACTTGGTACCGTCACAACACTCTTTGGCAGATTGTTCCAAGAGTTCACAACTCTCACTCCGAAAAAGTTACCCCTCACAGTCTTCTGGGCCTGCTGCTTGTTCAACCTTGAGCTGTGACCCCTTGTGGGGCGAGCGTCCGCCAGCTCCAGGTAAGGACAAGATTGAGTAGTGCCCCTTGAGATGCTTATACACCTCAACTAGGTCACCTCTTGCCCGTCTGTAGTATAAGCTAGGCAAGTTTAGGCGCTCCAATCTCTCCGGGTAGCTGAGGTGCCGAAGTGTAGACACCAGTCTGTGGCCCTTAGTCAATAAAAGAGATGAATTATAATTTAAGTGCTATATCAACACATTGTAACAGCTACTAAAAATTAGTTATCCAAGCTCAAGGTTCAATGGCCCAGGCCCTAGCAATATGCATCCCTGAATGTAAAGAAGAGTTGTGTATGGACCTCTCAGAATCTTACAAATCTTGTTCTGCAGAAATATGGATGAACAAAACATACCTAATGATTAGAAATTTACATATATGAGATCTATAAAGTGCTGTAGTATTTTATGTATTCAAAAATAATTACAGGTTGGTAAGTTTGATCTGCATCGTGTGTAAAGTGCAGTACTATTATAGTGTGTTATACCCAGAGCCATGATTGAGCAACATTGTGAAGGAATGCCAGCACAGGTTTATGCCCGGAAAAATCTGACACAATGGAAAGATCCTGCACTGGCCAGTACTTGCCAACAGTGCGTAAGAGACGTGATCGATCACCCAAGCAGCTAACGAGCCGATCAATGGTGCATAGGATAAAAGTAAAAGTAAAAAAAGGCTTAGCTTGTAGTGGATACTCTCCCCTACAACTGCTTGCTGTCCGCTTACCAGCCAACCAGCGGCGAGTTCCACAAATCAGCCCTTGCTTCAAACTGCGCAGTGATTGGTCAGTTGCCGCCTTCATTTTAGCCATTCAGCAGCATTTCTCATCTTTGCATTTCGATTCTTGATCCGGTAGAATGATATAAATACCCCCCCTGTCTCGCCGTGAGAGCCAGAGAACACCAAGCTCTTAAGACCTCCTCTAAAGAAGCCCCTCCACAGCAACTTCCCAGCACCTGGCTGCTCTGTATATATATATATATATATATATATATATATATATATATATATATATATATATATATATATATATATATATATATATATATATATATATATATATATATATATATATATATATATATATATATATATATATACAGTACATACATACATACATATATATAAAGAAAATGCCATTGTGAACATAAGAACATAAGAAAATAAGGAGTCTGCAATAGGCCGGTTGGCCTGTGCATGGCAGCTCCTGTTGAGAGTTACTACCACTCTCTATCATCCATGAATCTATCCAGCCTCCCTTTGAAACTTTCCAGCGTTCCAGCACTTACTACAAAGTTGGTAAGCTTGTTCCACTCGTTCACCACCCTTTTTGTGAACCAGTTTCTTCCTATCTCCCTCCTAAACCTAAACTTATCCAACTTGAATCCGTTGCTCCGAGTCCTATCCTGCTCGGATATTATAAGAACTTTATCTATATCACCTTTATTGATTCCTTTCACCCACTTAAATACTTCTGTCATATCTCCCCGCACTCTTCGTCTTTCTAGGGAATGCAAGTTTAGTTTCTTTAACCTATCCTGATATGGAAGGTTTCTAAATCCCAGAATCATTTACGTCATTCTTCGCTGCACCGACTCTAGTGAATTGATATCCATTCTATAATAAGGGCACCAGAACTGAACCGCATAATCGAGGTGCGGCCTGACTAGCGCAAGATATAGTTGCAATAGACCTCTGCACTCTTATTACTTACACTTCTAGATATAAAACCCAATACTCTGTTAACGCACTGTTTTCTAGGCCGTAGGTCCGGGCTTACAAGTACCCCTAGGTCTCTTTCACAAGTCGACTTCTCTAGGTTGATGTTGTTAAGGCTGTATACATTGACAGTATTTGTTCTTCCAATATTAAGTATGCTGCACTTGCTGGTGTTGAATTTCATTTGCCATTTTTCAGACCACCCCTGCAGTTTATTTAGATCCTCCTGTAGTGCATTTGCATCCTGCCCTGAATTAATCTGCCGCTCTATTTTGGTGTCATCCGCAAACTTGCTTATGTTACTGCTGATCCTCCCTCTCAATCCCATCCCTCTCAATCCCTCCCTCTAACCACCTCCCTTATTTTCACCCTTCCTTCTCTCGTTAATCATCCCCTACTATACCTTCTTCCCTCCGTCGTTAATTAACTCCCTACCTCCCTCGTTCAATAACTCCCTACTATATCTTTCTTCCTCCCTCTCTCGTTAACCACCCCTACACCTTCCTCCCTCTCTCGTTAACCACCCCTACACCTTCCTCCCTCTCTCGTTAACCACCCCTACACCTTTCTCCCTCTCTCGTTAACCACCCCTACACCTTTCTCCCTCTCTCGTTAACCACCCCTACAACTACACCTTTCTCCCTCTCGTTAACCCTACACCTTTCTCCCTAACCTCTCTCGTTAACCACCCCTACACCTTCCTCCCTCTCTCGTTAACCACCCCTACACCTTCCTCCCTCTCTCGTTAACCACCCCTACACCTTTCTCCCTCTCTCGTTAACCACACACCTGCCCATGACCTAACCCAATACCTTACACCCTAACTCATTAACCAACACATTTGTATCCTGTCTCCGTCCCTTGTTAAAACTACCCCTCTCTCTCTCTCTCTCTCTCTGCCACGCCCTTATTTCCTCCCTTTCCTCTCCCACACCTCCCTAACTATCTTCCTCCTCTCCTCCCCTCCCCTCACACTCTCCCAACTAGCTTTCCTCCTTTCCTCCCCTCTCCCCATGCTCTCCATCCTTTCTCACCTCCATCCTTAGTACGAGGTCTCTTACATGTACGTATGTGTGTGAGCCTAACAAAGAGAAAATAGACAAACACAAAGAGAAATTAGACTACTGGCCACATACACTATGCTACAAGCTCCTTCCCTCGGCATGGCCACCTGTAGTTAGATCATGGATGGCCATTAGGTTGTGGGGTATGAGATTTTTGTGTTCACACTCAGGATGGGATGGAGAAAGGAAACTCACAATGTGCTCTCTGTATACATGTTGTATTGGATGTACAATGCAGCTTGGTGCTGGGAAGTGGCAGCATGGTTACAAGCGTGATGTAGAGAGAGCTGGTTGGTGAGGGTGCTCGGAGGAGGACAGCTTGTGGGTCGCCATGCTCGCCGGCGGGAGCGAGGACCGCCAGGCAGCGGAGGAGGAGGAGGTGGTGCTGGCTGGTTGGTGTAGGTAGAAAGAGAGAGATCACCACGAGGTCAGGTCTTAAATAGCGGGGGTTGGCGTGGTTTAGTAGTTGACCCGCTGGTTGACCTAGACCACGAGGCATACACTGGGGAATTCGTGGGGTCGGCTACGCAGCGACAAACAGCGTTTGTAGGAGAGAAATCCACCACTAGGTAAATTGGATATATTGGATAACACCCTTCTTACATCTGACCCAGTGATCGAAACCAGGACGCTTTAAATGCATTTATGTACAGTACAGTACATTAATTTAATGTACTTTACATTAAATGTATTAGGTAAACAATCGTATTTTACTAATATTTTTTAAGTTTTCCTCTTGGTATGCTGTTGCTGGAGATGTTGGTCAGACATATATTTATAGGTATTGTGCTTTGGAACCTACAATGAATATCAAACATTTTAAAGTACCGGTGTAAAGGTGCAGCTGTTATAATTATGATAACCTTAGGTGGTGACATGCTTTACAGATTAGATAACATCAAATTTGTTCTGAGTAAAATTAAATGCACCCCTATCATTAATAAGAGAAAAAAACAGGAATGTACATAAGTTTGAGAACCCTTCCCCTGGTCTGATAAAATTGCACCATTGTTTGTGACAGTACTAGAACAATACTTTATTGGAATGACTACAACTGGTGACCCCGAGGCAGTAATTTAAGGAATGTGATACAATGATGTCGCAATGTCAAACTTGTATTCTTTATATCGGTATTATTATCAATATTATTGTTTGAATAGAAAAAAAATCTGTGGAGTAGTATAGTAATAAATAAACCTGTACTAGAAAATTCCTTAGAGTGTTGCCCGAACTATTCATGTGTAGTTCCTGATTTTCGAGAAACGAGATAAATGGATGGTTTCTTCATGGTAGATGGGTTTAATTTAACATTTCATTATAGCTTAAATATAGCATTTTAATCAGTGTTAATGTTATTTGTAAACTCTTAACCGATGAAGCAGATTAACCCACAACATGCGATTGTTAGGACAAACTACGTGATAGTTAGTCATCATGACTTGCTGTTTGATATATCATTAACTTTTTCGTTAGCTAACTACTATTTGAACTCCCAAAAGTTATTATAGATGATTAAAGCGAGATAGTTGGAAATATCGTGTCGTCTGCGGGGTATTTGGCGCGCTTTCTCCAGCAGTGACGCAAGGCATTGTGGGTGAGGCCAGACCGTCAACATGTCCGACGTAGAATGGGGTGAGTCTCACATGCTGCCACCTAAACTTTCTCTTAAACTTCTTCTGTAATGATCCCACATGCTCTATATGTTGGATGTGAGTTATATTCATTGATTCTGAATTACAGACGCGGATGACTTCGTGCCGCCGACGGCCGCTGCGGCGAGACCCACTGACAAATGGGATGGTGAGGATGAGGACGATATCAAGGTGGGTGTTAAGGCTGTTGGCTCACATGTGTGGACTTGAATATATTTCTGTATCAACTATTGAGATCGCAGATGCCCAGTAATTTACACAGTTCAGATAACCATCTATTTTGGAATATTCATGAATGTAGGTGACCTGAGCAGGTTCACATCTATTGTGAAAGTTTGGTGAGTGTGACATGCTGACAGTGGAAGTAATTTGCATTGATAATTAATAGAGTAGATACACCCTGGAATCACTCAATCATAACCAGTTATCACGAAGTCTCCAGAAAACTTGGTGGTCTTGTACGGGAGCTGATGATATAACTCAAGTTGTTATTGATTGTTGACATTCTGTGATTTTTGTTGATTTTAATTATAGTAGATACTCCTCAATAATAGATTTTCTACCCTCAAAATTGTGTTCTTGTGGCAAAGTGGCCACTGTTTCTGAGGGCTTGTTCTCTATATGGCAAATTAGAAGATACCAACTGAAGTAATTTCTTATTTATTATTTCACCATTTATTAACTTACTGGCCATTCAGTGGTTGGACTGTTCTGTATAACTTAGTTTACGACCTTCATTATCCAATGTTAGTTCAGGAGGAAAGCAAATTACCCGAAGAACCCAGCAATGCTTGTTAGGGTCACACTGGAGAACACCCTACCCACATCTGACCCCAACCAGGAATTGAACACAGGACACTTGGTGAGAGGCATGCACATTACCGTTGATATTCGCAGAAATGAACCAAACTTTGATCACTTCTTGCTAAAGTCAATTAGCTCGGTGATGGTTTGTTTGAATTTTCTGGTGCTCACAAAATTTTTATTTTACAGTTCTCACTTGGATCCCAAAAATAGAAATACAGGGTATAATATATGGTAAAATTATCATTTCGGTCATCTAGTGAGTTTTAGGATTTTAAGTTTTGGTATCAGTAGTTTAGACCAGTGATTCTCAAATTGGGGACCGCAAAAGGTTTTGAGAAATAGTGCGTTTAACGTTTGAGAGATTTGGCGATTCCAATTGGCAGGATATTTTGGATTTGTGTTGAAATGAACAAATCCTTTGGACTATGATTTATTCTTTGATTATTGACAATATTTGTATTCATCATGGTATATGAGTGTTCCTTGGTTGAAAAAAGTTTGAGAACCCCTTGTTTAGACAATATAAAAAAAAAATTCTTCTATGGCATTTTTCCCGCTCGTGATTTCTTTCAGGGAAAATAGCCCCCCAAAAAGGGGGGGGAGGGGTTTGGGTGGGGAAAATTACAAAAAGGTATTAATTAAAATAGAAATAGAGGTCAAAATAATCCAAAACCTAACCTAACCCACTCTAACCATAAACCTTACCTTAATCAGACTTGGAAGACTCCGAGTTGGGGTCTTGAGATCAGCCTCCTTGTCATCCACAGGTCGCATTGCCTGACTGCTTTCTCCGAATGAGGGGTGGGGGGGGGTTGGCAGGGGGGCCTATACCTAGCTGTGATTGGTCGATCCAAAATTATACCCACCAATCAATGTCCAGAGAACAACTGTGCATGTGTCAGACTCCAGCACATGCGTAATGAGCATAGAAACCAATAAACGAACACACACGAGCTGTCTCAGATGGTGGTAACAATAACAAGGACTTAGAAAAAATACGAAGATTTTCCAATAATTTATTGCAATTTTCTCTGAAAGCAATAATGAGCTGGAAAAATGCCAAAGAAGAAAAGTGTCTTGAGAATTATCTAAACTACTGATACCAAAACTTAAAATCCTAAAAATTGCTGGATGACCTAAACGATAATATTACCCAATACTTAGTTTAAGGGTAATGTCTTAAGAACAGTACTACCACCAGAATGAGCTGTTCGATTTTGTAAATTTTTTCCACATGTTTTTATCAATACAGTATACTGAGTGTTTTTAAAGGGATGACATTTACTAGAATTTGACATACCAACCAAAGAACCAGAGAAACCTACCTATCCTTACCTAACTTCCTAGCAGGGGATCTCTGTCTCCTGACCCCCCCGCCCCCACCATATTAAACAGAAAATACTTACGTTGATATCTGGTACAAATGAGAGCAACTTTGTTGAAACATCATGGTGTAATTTTACATTTTTTTGTATGTTAGAGTGTGCTGACTCAGCAGATTTATTGGAGAAGTATATACAGTAAAAATATGAAGATATTGGCAGCATAATGTGTTGTCTAATGGTAGATCCTGCTGCCATGTGGCATCATGAAAATTGTGACCAAGTCCCAGGTTGCTGATCTGACTTTCTGCCTCATTTACACACAATTGGAGGGTTTCAATTGTTTCTCTTACTATTGACAACACAACATGCTGCATATCATTTCTGACTCATGATTTAATTTTTCGTTTGTGTATTTATTTGTGGTTATTATTTGTATTTATATTTTTTTTGGTTATAATTTTTATCTATTTATATTCATCATTATTAATTATTATTATAATTATAATTTTAATATTTTTGCCCCCTAGGCCATGATGTGGGTCAGTGACCTGTGCTTGGGTGGGCTAATCCCCGTAAAAAAAAAAAAAAATGAGTGAATCTTCATATTCTAAAATGGATCAGGGTGTGATTACAGGGCAGGAAACAGCGAGTGAGCATTAACGGCACTAAATCTGATTGGAGCAACCTCACTAGTGGAGTTCCCCAAGGCTCAGTACTTGGACCATTATTATTTATTATATACATAAACGACATAGATATCGGCGTATAGGGCGTGTAGTTAATTCTGATGAGGACTCCGCAAAACTACAGGAAGATCTAAACAATTTTTTCAAAAGGTCTGAAAAATGGCAGATGAAATTCAATGTTGACAAATGTAAGGTACTCAGTATAGGAGATGTAAACAGGAAAACGAGATACCAAATGAACAACGGTGTTATTGAGAAATCCGACTGCGAGAAAGATTTAGGCGTAATGATAAGTAGGAATCTTAAGCCAAGTAAACAATATGTATTTGCTCAAAACAAGGCTAATAAAGTACTTGGGTTTATACAAAGGAGTGTTAGTTACAAGACTAGCGAGGTCATCCTAAAACTATATCTTGCGCTTGTGAGACCTCACTTGGATTACGCAGTTCAATTCTGGACACAGTATTACAGAATGGATATAGAATCCTTGGAAAGAATTCAGAGAAGAATGACAAGACTAATTCTGGGCATTAGGAACCTTGAGTACAGAGACAGGTTAAAGCATCTTAATTTGCACTCCCTCGAGAGACGTAGAGTGAGGGACGATATGATAGAGATGTATAAGTGGAAGTCAGGGCTAAACAAAGGCGACATTACAAAGGTACTCAAACTATCTAACCAGGAGCGAACTCGTAACAATGGTTTTAAATTCGACAAATTTAGATTTAGGCGCGAAATAGGTAAACATTGGTTTGGAAATAGAGTAATGGACGAGTGGAACAAGTTACCAAATATCATCATTAACTCGAATACGATGGATAGCTTCAAACATAGGTTGGATGGATATGTGAGCAATAGGGGTTGGGTGTAAATGGGACTGCCCAGTATGGGCCAATACGCTGCTGCAGTTTCCTCCATTCACATGATCAGTTTTTCACGGATTCACCCTGCAATTTTGCTCATCCTTCATACCCTGCCTACTACAGGTAATTTATGATCTTACAAATAAAAATGGAAAAAAAAGTAGGATAAAAAGTTGTTGCCTCTTTTAGAAAAAAATACTTACTATAATGATAGAACGTACAGTGTGTGGGAAAAATGAATGAAATCGAACAACTCCTTCTGGTGGTACAGTAGTACTGTTCTCAGAAGTTACCTATTTAAGTACTATGTATAGGTTTTTCTGTACCAACAAAAGCCACGCATTTATTTTGTGGTTTTGCAGTGTTGATGTTATGGACTCGACCAAGATGAGTGTCATTTGCCCTGTTAGCATATCTGAGATGTATCTATTGTGTGTTGTCAGCTGGCTGTGATTGCTTAAGATTGATTTGTCTTAATTCTAAAGCTGCCAACCTAACCTACTTCAGAAACTTAAGTTTGGTTTGTTTTGTGTACTTTTTAAACATTGTCTTGCACCTAAGCTGTCAAAACATGACTGAAGGGTTCTCACTGGCCATACATGTAAATCTAGAAGACGTTGATGTGTTCCTTGACAATCATCCACGTACAAAGTTCCATCATACTGTATGTGTAGTAATGTATACGAGGTCTGAAAAATTAAGTTCGCGAACTTAATTGTCTGACTGTATGTATACAGTGTTATCCAAAACATCTTAAAATGCTGAAAAATATTGTAATGAAAATTTTTGGTGCAGACGATGATTAAAAACCAGTAATAAACATTTTATTTAGTTAACGTCTGATGATTTTATTCAGCTCGGAGGGGACTCCGTACATGGGGTTGACAGCTCTACACCTTTATTTTGTGTTATTAGCTTATCAAATTTAAATTTACATAATAATTTTAATTTATTTAATTTTCCATATATACTGTATGTGAATGAGGAGAAAGTGGACAATGAGACAAATGGCTGAGTGATAGATGCTAGTCTTTTTGTCTTCAGTGAGTTTGAGAAGTAAGTCAAATGGTGATTGTAGGAGAGTGATGACAAAATGAAACTTCTTTGCAGACTTGATAATGTTGTAGGTGTTACAGAATAATTATAATTAATTGTTAGTGAAATAAATCGGGAAACTGCTAGTAAAAAGATGCATTGATTTAGCGTACTGTACTGTCTTTTCATTTACAGGGGGGGGGGGGCGATTTAAAATAACAACAACAAAAAAGTAACCAGTCATTTTCGTATATAAAAAAAAAAGTTTTCAACTTACTTTATTTTATTTATTAAAAGAAGCTTCATAAATTGGGTACCTACAATAACTTTGTTTGGGAAATGAAGGGAGTTGAGCCCAGTGCTGGCCACACTGCTTAATTTTGTTGTATCCATACAGCCCCTAAGAGCTCATTAGATCTGCTTTTCCTTTAGATTTGAGTAGAAAGAAGAAATGTGAACTTCAGAAAATATTTCCTATGTGAAACATTGGTCTTATTTCAAACATTTCACATGTGGTGCCTTCGGTGCTAAATCATTGGTGATGGCAGATGACAATTAAATCAGCCTATTACTCATGGGTTGGGTATGGGTTGTATTTAATTGGTTTATGTCATCTGCCATTTTACAGTAATGATTTAGCATTGCAACCTCCTTGAGCACAAATTATCGACAAAGGTTTAACGACATATGGAGACTACCGTAGTATTTTAAGTTCACATATGCTTCCTTCCCTTGATTTGTATTCTATGCATTAACATGTGCAACATTAAGATATAAGAAAAATGAAAGTGGTGTCCATTTCCTTAACCTTTACCAGTATTTATTTTGGGTTGTATATTGCATGTTAAAATATGTCCTTTGTCAATTTCTGTTGTGGACTTTTGTAGATGATGGGCAATTTTTATATTCATGTCGGAGTAGAAAATTATGGTATTTTTAAATGACAATATTTCTTGTTTCTCCAGTGAGAACATTATATGTACTGTAGATAAATTTTGTAAATTTGCTAAGTATTGTGTCCTGGGCTTAATCCCCAGCTCAGGTCAAATGAGGGAAAGGTTTTATCCAGTGTGACCGTACCAAACATTGCAGGTTTTCTCCAGGTACTCTGTACTTACAGTGGACAATGAAGGTCTTAACAAAGAACGGACTAACCATCTGTCGTCTGTCAAAATGGCTAATTATGAATTAAAACTTTTAAAAAGGGAAAATAAATTACTCTCCATCAAGTAAAACATTTTTATCTCCATTACACACAAGCTGCTGCTGCCTTTTTATTATTATTATTATTATTATTATTATTATTATTATTATTGTAGTAGTCTTGAGTTGACTTACTAATGTTTACAGGACAACTGGGATGATGAGGAGGAGGATAAAGAAAAAACAGCGACTGACTCAACTGCAGCGCCTGTTAAAAAGAAAAAGAAAAAACTAACAGATATTATTGCTGAAAAAGAGGTCAGTTGTTTAGTACAACTTAATAACACTTTACTTTCAAGTTGCAGACATTATTTGGGATTGCAATTGCAACAACAATTTTGTAGTCTATGTCATTTGGGGTGGTGGTAGAGATTGTTGGATTATGATTATATAGTAAACATTTTGGTATATGACAGGAGACAAGTAAACATAATATGGTTTTTGGTGGAGACTAATAAACAGTATAGTTTTTGGTGTGGGTGGGACCACAATCTTTGTATTTTTTATTACAGTATCTTATTATGCTTATGTTTTTCATTATTTGCACCTCAGTTTTTCCAATTTGTTTGTTATTGATAAGAATTGTGTAAAAATTTTGGGAACCTGGGTGATTGCCTTGCTTAGGGTCTAGTCATGCATGTGTCAAATGTACCCAAAGGAACCTACAATATTTGACTAGCTCTTGATAGCCACATCATGATGCTTGTACAATATTTTTTCTTCAGCAGACTACTTAAGAGGTTTTGTGGATATTAGTCTCTAACTCACATACACAAAATTAATTTATACTGTTTTTCACTCATGGAAGCCTATTATTCCAACTGATGCTGGCCAGAATCAAGAGTATCACACTGTTTCTTCATTTGCTGTCATTCATTCTTTGTGGTGGTCATATCAAATGTATTCCCACAAATGGGAGTATTTGTCAGTGAGTGGAGGTAGTTTTTATTGCTCATTACTCCAACTACTGTACATGAACCAGTAGAAGGAAAGGGCCTGTGGAAGTAAGAAAAAACCATATACTGTATTGGTAAAATAATAATGGAATTAAGTTATATCCACCATACAAAACACTTGCTTTACCTGTGTGTTTCATCCTCTCCTTCTCCCACAGTCCAGCAAAGAAAATGTAGGAACATTTGTCAACAACATAGAAGTGAGTAGGCTAGTGACTAGCGAGGGTTTCTTTTCAGTACTTGTAGGCCAGTTAAATAAACTTAGGTCACTGTCAGATGTTAATGGTTCATTGAAGCTCAATGGTTGACTACCAGTGAAAAGTTCTTATTTTATGGCTTCTTCTCAATCTAGGTAGAATACTCCCACCCGTTGATTAAGTACAGTATAAGTTGAACTGGTAATGTGCTCTTTCTTATCTGGTGTATGGTCACTGTTAGTTGTGGAACAGGAATTGTCACTTTGCTGGTGTCACAATAGGGTGGTGCTATGTTTTGAGCCAATTACTTGGCAAAGAGAAATGCCATTTTTTGTAATATTAATTTTGTTACGGTTATACAACCTAAAGTTAGAACAAATGCAGACTGCATTTCAGGTGATTGATTTATTTTTTTGATAAATACTGTATTTGCCGGCATATTAGACGCATTTTTTATTTTATTTTAATGTATCACAAATTACCGTGTGTCTAATGCGCCCGTATTACGGATGGGAGGCCGAGTTCCGTAGGGGGAGGTGCCTCGCTAGGGAGTTTGGGATGAGCATTTTTTTTTTTACAGGATTAGCCCACCCGGACACAGGTCACTGACCCACACTGGGGCCTGGGGGGCGAAAATGTAATTGTAATAATGATAATAATAATAATAAAAAAGAAATACAAAAATGAGAAACAATATATGTATGTTGTGTTGTCAGTAGTAAGAGAAACAATTGAGACCCTGCAATTGTGTGTAATGGGGCAGAAAGTCAGATCAGCAACCTGGAACTTGGTCACAATTTTTGTGATGCCACATGGAAGTAGAGTATCATTAGACAACACATTATGCTTCCAATATCTTCCCAGGCGGTAGTACGTCCCTGTTTGATAGCTGCCTACTACCTACCGCACAAAAATTTTGTTTCTAATAATATTACTAATAATACAAAACTGAAAAGCAATCCAAATTATCACACTTATGCAAATTTGCCGAAGACGTAAATAATGGCTTACATTGGCTTAATGGCAGAGAGAAGCTCACATCTCCTCACTGTACCTCCTTCCCCAGCTTACGTAACCCACACCAGATACATGTCTTACATTATTTAACGACTGTATTACCTTTAAGAAACATTTGTTTATTATTTAAATGAAAAATTTCCCTAGAAAGATTAAAGAAATGTTAACAAAGTTCAGCTGCCAGTCTGCCATTTGCAATGAGTCAATGATGCCAAAACAATAGCGATGGTGCTTCACCCTGGTGGTAGATCGTGGCAATGCAAAACATCACGGCCAAAAATACGAGTTTCACATCCTGTCGGTAATTCTCTTGACCAAAATGTAAACAAGCCACACAGCTGCTCTTTTCAGAGGTAGAGTTGGATTAGTATAATGTTACTATATATGATTTCCTACTTGACTCCAGTATATATTGTATTTACATGCACAAAATCATATGTTTTCCCCTAAAAAAAAAAAACTTTAAAATCACTTTCAATAATTTTATAATGAAACGTACTAAAAAAATATTCCACAAAATATCCTTGTAAAATAGGGGTGCATCTTATGCGGCGGTGTGTCTTATGTGCCGGCGAATACGGCACATCTAAAGATAATTATATTTTAATGTTTGTAGAGTAAAGAATAAAATTTATATGTCTTCGGGGAGGATAGTACCAGTGTTTTTTTTTTTTTTTTTAATAAATAATCCCAAGACCTTAAGATGGAAAATATGCCAATAATTTTAAACTAAAAGTTAGTGTGCATGCTTGACAGGAAATAACGGGGATTTTGAAATGTGAAGCTTTTGGCGGCGGGGGGGGAATGGATATCTTGGTCTGTATTATGGAATGGGACTATCAAAACAGAATGTGTTCATTATATTACAAGAGTTAAAATGATTGAATGAGTGACTGTCAGTGAGAGTTTGTGCTGCTCTTGATTATGGCCAAACAGTGCCTTAAGCTGTGGTATTTTATTTATTAAATTGAAGAAAAATTGGAGATAATGAAATATAATGACCATCAAAAATGCAAAGTTTAATGACCATCGAAGGTACAAAGTATAATGACCATCAAAGGTACAAAGTATAATGACCATCAAAGGTACAAAGTATACAGTAATGACCATCAGAGGTACACTTACTACCAACATCATGATTTTCCACACTTGCTTGGGTTAACTGTAATTCCTCTCCAGGCTGCAGGGTCTCTTACAGCCTGGCTTGTCATTTCACTCAACCTCTCTCAATTTATCACATTACACATCCATCTCACCATTCCTATTTCAGCTCACTTAAGTCTGAGTATGTCATCTTCTGTAACTACCCATGTTTCCAGGATTTTTATATACTATATATATATATATATATATATATATATATATATATATATATATATATATATATATTTAATCATATTTTTTTTATTTAAATCAGGTATATTTAAAAAATTGTCCATATTCAATATACTGTACACTGAAACAAGTAGAAAACAATCCTTTCCATTACTTTAAGTTCCTGTAGCACTAATAGCATGAAATAATTTAAACAAACTATTGTATTAGCTATTTAAACAGACATCATCAAAATTGGATAAGAAATGTCTAGTACCTGTACTGTAAAACTGCAAATCCGGCTATGAAAACCTATATCATTGCTCTTGTGTGCTTCATTTATTGACTGTGTATTGATTGTTTCTCTTTATACTTACAAGAAAACATATTTTTAGGCATGTTTATTTATCCACATAAGTACAGTATATACATACAGTATACGTACCATATTTTGACAAATATTGGCAGCACCTTCCCCCCCCCCCCCTAAAGAAAATGGCAGAAGTGGGGGTGCAATTTATTATCAGATACTGTACAAAGTTTGCAAGAAAAGCTTGTTTGCTTGAGTGTGGTGCCTGTGGTAGGTCCCTTGCCCATTGTTGCCAAGGTTTGACTTTGGATGGTAGTCACTTGTAAGCCCTGGGCATCCACTAGTACAGTAAAAGGAATGTTGCACTACAGTAGTCTGTTATGGATATATTAAATTCCTAATGTATAACTGATCATACTTGACAGTTCTGGTAAATCATAATTTGGTATTATTACTGGTCCTGTACACTGTACAGTATTTGTATTGTGCCATTTAGAGTCCTGGCCACGCTAACATTTCATCATGATGGACACCATTGCTTACAGATAACTAACATGTACTAAATATAGCTATAGATACAAATTGATCCTTTTCTTCATTATAAAATTTTCCATGCAAGAAAGAAAACAAAATGATACTGCAAAAGTTTATCCAGAAGTTTACTCTCCAGTATTTATTTATTTTATCTTCCATTACAGTTATTCAATTTATGTATTATTTTAAGTGTTTTTTTAGATTTATTAATAACTGATGAAGTATATTAAGTGATTACCCATACAGTATTAGGTGACCACATAATATTTCCAAGAAACAAGAGCAGCTGAAACACAGGGAATTAGCTAGGGTTTTGACCATGTTATTTTTTTCATCACATTTTAACTGCATTTCCTTTCAACTGAGTACCAGTAAAAATTGTTGGAAAATAAAGCAAATTGGGATTGGATGAATGAAGAATCAGTACAGGTAATAAAAATATCTGTACACTATCTGAATCGATGAATTTTTATTAGTACTGTACAGTATACAGTATGTAAATCAAAGATGGAAGTGATACCATGAGTAGGTTATTTTTATTTCGGCATTTTGATTGTCGTTTTCTGTTCATTACCATTTTAAAGTATTGAATGGTGTTTGAATCTCTGACAGGGTTGACATGTTAATATGGAAGATGAAGGGAATGTAGGAATGGTTCAGGTTGTTTAGAAATGATAGGAAAGTCAAACAAATAATGGAGTTTATATGGCAGTAGATAAGGGAAGTGTCTCATTATGAATTATTTTCCAATTTATTCATATATTTATTTATTTGGGAAACATTGCAGTTACAGTAATTTCTGTAAGATAGCAAAATCCTGTATCTTAACATGTGCCTCAGTCTTTGATTTTGGCTGAGGTCTATTGCCAATTTGATAAAATGCCTTCACTTTATGTACTGGTGTGTTTTGCAACTTTATCCTCTTTTGCATCTTTACTGTAATTTGTTGATTTGTGGCTAGCTTTTTCTTCATTTGTTATTGTTGATATGTTACCCCTTAGTTTACTATGTTGCTCATTACTGATAATTTTCAGTATTCCTTAACAGGCAAGACAGTTAGAAGAGCTTGAAAAACGGAAGAAAGAAGCAGAGGAAAAGGCAAAATTACAGACTGCAGAAGGAAAATTGGCAGAAAAAATGAGACTTCAAAAGATACAGGAAGACTCTGACTTACAACTTGCCAATGAGCTCCTTGGAAGTACCAGTAGCATTACAGAAGAAGGTGCGGTAATGATATCTGACATAGTTTTTCTCGCACTTTTACTCAAAATTATTGCCATATCTATAAAATTTTATGTCTGTATGTGTAAAAGGGATATACTTATCCATTTGTCAGTGCATAGTAGAGAATATTATATACCAAAGTGGATAAATGAATTAAAATATGATTTTTTTCTAAACAGCTTAGGTTTAGTACACTACCAGGTACCTTTTTTACCTCATTAATTGAGAACTGTGAATGAAGTTGGCAGTTGATAGAAAATTGCTATAGACCTGAATTTGACTATCATATAATTTTGCTAGAGAGCCTAACTTGTGTACATAATGATTGGCCAACACACTCACAAAGCCAAATTGTTTATGGTGTGCATGCAATGTAAACTGCAGTTTGCAACATCCAGACCTGAATTAAGATTGTTAGGTTTGTTTAAGTTAGGTTTGGCTAGATTGTATCTTCTGGCTTAAAGGGTTCTTTTGTACTTGGGCAATTCAAACTAGACTCAAGCAAAAATTGAAACCAAGATCAATTGCAGCAGTCAAGTGAATCAGGGTGCTAGATAGAAATTTTGAGATTGGACCACAGTATTTCATCCATATAAAAAAGTTACCATGGTAGTGTTTTGCCTTGATTATATATACAGAAAGGATGTGGCAGAGAAGGCAGTCCTATGGAGTGCTGGCCACAATGCCTCCTTGCTTTACAAATGCTTTGTGTACTATTTGCTGTATGCACACCATTCCTAATAGACAGTCATGCCAATGTGACCCACTTTTGTTTTCACATATACAGTACATGGCACAATAATATTTTAATAATTTTACCTAGGTGAAATGCATAGCTCTTTTGGAAAAATATTTTAGTGATACTTTATTCTGTACAGTCTGTACTCACCCCTGAAGATGTGAATTACACGAAAGGGCTTGGGAACTTCGTGTTTTCTTCTTTCCTTGTGGTTATCAGCATATATCTGGATCACGTGCAATTACAGTGATTTACTTGCATATATATATATATATTACTGCGTGTTGATATACTGTACAATGCATTGTGAGGCTATTTTTTACTTTTTCTATTACAGATAATAAGATGTTGGACGACATAGATCTATCAACTAGCAGTGGCTTGGAGTCCTTTAGAAAAGCACTGACATCCAAGATAAGAATAAGTGAACGATTAGAAAAGCGGCCATTCTTTGTTACGTTTGTGGAAGATATTTGTAGGGACCTTTGTCAGAACCGTAAGTGTAGAGGATATTGTTCTCATTATTTTCTGAAGTATCAGCAATTATAATGCCCATCAGAGGAATTATAAGCTTTAAGTAGTAACAACATCAACTAATTAAAAAAAAAAAAAAAACATGAAAAGGGTGAATTTGTTGAAGCCCCCCCCCCCCTGGGGCATGATTAGGTTAGGTTTGGTTCGGACATAAGACTGCTTTTCTGGAATGTTTCAAGATAACCAGTTCTGGGTATAATGCTATAACCCTATTATAACGTCAATAACATAAAGGATGAATGATTCTTTATGTGCGAAAGATAGCACACTGAGTAGTGGAAAGGAATGTGGGAGCTGTGTTGCTAAGGGGTCAGCAGGGGCAGCTTCCTGGTGGTTGTGTTAATCTTTCATTTAGCTTTTCTTTAGTGGTTTTTAGGTGCATATTTTCACCTACATAGTATTTATTAATGTTTTAGGGGGTATAATATTTGGGTTTTCTTGTTGTTGGGGAATCATACCCTTATTTCTCCCATTTTTCTTATTATTCAAGATGAAAATTCACCTAACAAATGGTTTTCCAGGAGCCTAACCCATATGTTAAGCGAGGGATACTGTCAGTATTGTTTGCACCTTTTGTTTTTCTTTTTTCCAGTTGAGGTGGAAGAGGTGAAGAGAGTATCAACAGTCATTAACTCCATCTACAATGAGAAAGTTAAAGCAGGCAAACCCAAGAGTAAGAAGAAGGCAGGAGGAAAGGCCAAGCTCAACGTTGGGCAGGGCGCCATTGCTGTAAGTTACTTTCATTCATTAAAGCTTTTATGACTGCCTGTCCAGAGCAACATGAGTATTATTCCATCAAGTCTATGGGGTTAAAACCTAGGGCCCCCCCTCGACACATTAGTGGCTGGCTTGTTATTGCATATCTTTCTGATGAAACAAACATATAAAAAAGAAACTTGGAAATTGGAGTTACTGTACCACTGAAGGCAGAAAGCTAATGAGTCATTGTGTCACATCACCTGTGAGCACCTTGCTTGTCAGCACTTGTCATCCATAATTTTCTTTTTCACATTAACCATGACAACTAATGCTACTTCCCAAGTACACAAAATTTTCCACTCATGTAAGTTCCTTGTCATCATCATTGCTTTTGTTGTCATCTACAATTATTTTTAATTTAGGATTTATTTTAAAATATGACTATTACTTCTGACCTAATGCTAAAATTCTAAGCCTATATTCTCATCTTGTTCCCTACTAGTCAGTTTTTATAATGCCTCTACAGAATATGCAATGAGAGCAGTTATCTGCATACTAAATACGGATATAATTTACCTTTAACTTTTATTCCTTCATCACTATTTACAACTGCTCTCATGAAATTTTTGTTGATATACGATGTTGGTGACAGCGAGTAGCTTTATCCAGTTCTTTGTTTAATCTAAACCAACTACAGTACTTGGTTCTTGATCTAAAATAGAGCATTTTACTGCCTGTAAAGGATTTCCTAAAACTTTATTATTGATAATGCTTTTCAAAACCATCTTAAGTTTCTTGTGTTTTATCCTATAAGAGCTGTGTCAAAAAGATCGTTTTAATACCTTTGTAGCTTTCTAACTAATTGAGCAGGATATCATAAATGTAGCAGAAGAGAATGACAGCGTTGAATCAAACACACAGCTCTGGTTAGCCCGTTTCACAATTGATGAAACAGTGGCGTGATCTAAGAAAATAATATCTCGTGTAAGATTCGCATGATTATGAGTGATGGTACACACAATTCAACTGGTCTCTACTGTATATTGTATTTTGATTTACAGCTGCTGTAGCCAATATAAATGTAGATGTTTTAGTAGTAGTGTATACATGACACTTGGGTGAAATTTAATATTGATGTCTTTCTTTTTCTCTTTTCAGGACGATTTAGGCAACGATTTTGGTGGTTACAATGAATACGATGATTTCATATAGTGTATTATAATTTTAGACACCAATTACAATTATTTGGCTTCCTATGAGCTTTTACTTGTACATACACAGTCCCAGTGCTTTATGAATTGATAAAGTGAAAACCCTAAATGGGAAATTTGGAAAATCAGGAATACAAAATGATCCATATGACTTTCTATGTATTTTACACATTTTTATTAGTCCTTTAATGCTGTAAATGCAAGTGATAGTTGGTGATGCCAGTCTGCATCTTATGTCCAAAGACTTCACTTGGAATGGAGATTTATTCACCTCCTTTAAGTCCGCTGTTTACCAGATGCCCCAGTTAAAGTGTACCATTATATTAAAAAAATGGAAAACAAAATCATCATATGACAAAACAGTCCTTGGTGATGTTGCATTTCTTTGAAAATATCACAACTTGCTGACTTCTAAAATAAATTTTTATTTTGCCAATTTTTTTTTGCTGCCTGGGTGGTTATTGTATTGATCAGGATATCCTAGTACGAACCTTGTGATCACTGCTCTTGCTGAATAGACTGCCAAACTATTTGAAATCAAAATTTAGAGCTTTTATTATTTGCTGTTACAACTTGTGGCCTTAAATTTCTCCTGTGATTGGCTGTTGTTGACTATTATATTTAGCTCGGCTCTTCACGACTTAACCATTCCTCCTCACTTATATAAGCAGCTTCTAAATTGGCCCTCTTCAGGATTGTTCTCCTAGTTGTTCTCATTTGCTTTGAAAAGAATGGCAGGTTTCTGTTTAGAAAATTATTTACTACTAATAAAAATGTTTGTTATTCTGTTTTTTTAATTTTTTTTATCCTGATTCATGCTTCAGTATACTGTAGTATTTTTGATTGGAAAGGATTTCAAGAAGTGGTTTTGGGGATGGACCTGCTACTGATGTATGAGGTGGATGTGGTGCAATTACCAGCATGGATAAACCAATTGGATATCATGGTGCTTTGTTTTAGACCAGACACCACAGCAGAAGACTCCGGGTAAGGCAGCTACAGTACAGCCAATGAGTCATTGTTGCTGTTGATTGTAGCCACCTTGTACTATATAGTGAGAAAGGTTTTATAAGAGCAGAATATACAAGTACAGTATTTGTATGTTACAGGTAATCTGTAATGAGGGATTTCACATAATCCCTAAAATATAATCAGTGTGACTGTTATTTCATGAAATCCCTTAAATATTTACGGTAAATTGTACAGTACTAGAAATTTCTTCACTGTATATTAGTGAATGTTTGTATAGTATAATATTGGTCAAAGAGCATTATTAGTTTAGATTTGGAAATTGCTAAGGGTCACTAATTATTTGAAAATTTTAGGGGTAACTTGAAACCCCAGTTACGTATATGGATTCCCTGTAATAAACACACACACTCACTCGCTCACTCACACTGGAATTTCTCTGTTTCTCTATTTATAGAAAGGATACATTCACATAAAGTAGTCGGTTAATCACAATTTTTACACGAATTACATGTATACCTCACTAAACGTTCGACATGTGTTCTTGAAGTTGCAACATGGTGATACAATGTACTGTATACGTAGTCAATACAGTACAAGTTTCTCATAGAGCTAATAATAGTAATAGAGGTTATTTTCCTGGGGGACATTTCTAGTCAAAATATGAATTAAATAGTTTATATTGGAAGCATAATGTGTTGTCTAATGGTAGACCCTGCTGCCATATGGCATCACGAAAATTGTGACCGAGTCCCAGGTTGCTGATTTGACTTTCTGCCTCATTTACCGTATTTTACAGCGTAGAAGACACACTTTATTACAAAAATATACCTTGTAAATTACCATGCGTCTTCCACGACCCTAGTTGATGGGTTGTAGCAGAGGTTTTCTTAGGGTCAACAAAGACTGTTACCTCATTACTTTGCAATTACAAGTATTCTCTATACTATAAAACAATTGATTTAACTAATATTGTTGATATACTGCAAAAAATACGATTATTTACTCAGTAGGTAAAAAATTAAAAATAAACGGCTGCAGCTACACAACCCTTGCTGTGCGGTTTGTTTACTAATGGCAGTGGTGCGGCAGCGCCATCTATTGAGGAATTGCGTCAAGAGAAAAAATGTAAACACTACAGCCCACTAGACGCGGAGGTGACCAGGTGTATAAAATGAGTGCCGTATTAAAGATTTCACCTTATACAGATTTTTTATAAAAAATTAATGAAAATGACGACTGATAAGCAGTTCTAAGTGATGATATTCAAAGAGGTGCCAAAAGGGCTGTATACCAAGCAATGGTTTCACTGGTGTCGGTTAGTAAGTATAAGAAGAATTTCCTTGAATTACATTTCCAAAATCAGGGTGCGTCTTCCACGATGCAGCGTCTTCTACGCCGCAAAATACGGTACACACAATTGCAGGGTCTCAATTGTTTCTCTTACCATTGACAACACAGCATGCATATATTGTTTCTCACTTGACCTTTTTTCATTTTTTTATTTCTTTATGGTTCTTTATTATTATTATTATTATTATTATTATTATTATTTATTATTATTATTATTTATTATTAATTATTATTATTATTATTATTATTATTATTATTATTATTATTATTATTATTATTTTTATTATTCGCCCCCCAGGCCCCGATGTGGATCAGCGACCTGTGCCCGGGTGGGCTAATCCCTGTAAAAAAAAAAAAAAAACTAAAGTAGATTATTAAAAGTTAAGTAAATATTTAGGTGTAAGATATATGTCGATAAGATAATGTTAACCTGAGTTAGTTTAGGAAACTAACTTGGTACAGGCTGCGTGGGTTGGGGAGTGGTACGGTTATTGAGATGAAGCTCCAGGATTGCTTGTCCCTTTATCTAAGGACGAACATTTAAAATACTGTATAGTATTAGTCCAAAGACAGCTGGATAGCATTCTTGTTTATACAGAACCATGTACTGTGGTAGTTAATATCAATAGTTATTCACTTAACTGTAGAACTTTGTTCTGTATTTGGATCACACCTACTGAAGATGGTGGGGTAGGCCAAGCACTGGTGATGTCAACAGAGGTTAAACATGTAGTTTAACTACCACATATGTCGGCTTACAAGGCCACGGGGTGTATAAGACGACCCTCAAAATTTCCATTTCAAATGAAGGTTTTGAGCTATACTCGCTGTATAAGACTGCCGCAAATTTGACACTTGCCACTGGGAGCTTCCTGTCCCAGTAGTCCTTTACCAACCATCTCACTGACCAGTGGAGTGATGCTGTTAAGCACACTGCTAAGCAATACAGCCTTGGTTATTTAAAATAAGTCCAATTCACTTCAAGAAATGGCATCAAACGGACGTCACTTAGACGTCGTCTGGAACTAATGTCGGTGTCGAGTAAAATTTTACCATTTACTAGAAATGGAGTTACCGATTTATTTGTTTATTTATTTATTTCTAATTAACTGTAATATATTAGAAATGTAGGCATAAAATACACTGCAGGTATTTTCTTTAATTTATAAACTTGCTTCGCGAGATGATCGGTAGGACTGGCTGTTTGTTTACTTTGTGTGGCAGTTGCAAATGGCGGGTAGTGCGTGATGATACCTGCGCTTATTATGTTGGTATTTTACGGTATGTTTGACAGGTTTATAATATATTTTTATTATTTGAATATACCGGTAATCTTATTTTTACTGTAGCTTCCCAAACATAAATTTCATTAGAAAATAATTATTGGTAGGACCGTGGGATTAAGGCAAGTGTTTTACGATGTTCTCCATCACTACTGGTGACACACTAAACCACAGGATGTAGAGGTTCGGATTTTATACCCGGCATTTAAGACGACCCCTAATTTTGGGCTGATATTTTTTAAGGTTCAAATTCCGTCTTATATGCTGACATATACGGTAAACATGTAGTTTAACCTCTAGAGTGGTTCCCAACCTTTTCTGGCTGCAACCATAAATTTCCCAACAATATGGTGTTGTGATGCTCAATGCATTTTATATATTATATAGCTTGAATGTTAAGCAAAAATTTGTTTGACTATGATAAGTACTATATTTTTAAAATTGTCTGAGGGCCCCTCACAACCCTACTGAGGACACCCCACGACCCTGATTTGGGTTGCAACATGAGGTTGGGAACTGCTGCTCTAGATTAATACTTTTCATTACCGTAGTTTATTTTTACTAGACAAAGAAATATCACTCAGTGGGCACTTTCCATTAATTTTATAGGGTGTTGTTAAGGTTTTACTGACTGTAAACAGATAAGAATCAAGCATAAGTGGTAGCAATGTGTGCAAATTGATGCTGAGGAGAGGTTGCAGTGGATGAATTTAGTGATTCTAAAGCTCTACCCAAGCTTTCTAAAGTAATCCACAGCTGTTGCATTTCTTTTCTCAACATGATGTAGGGATCTTCTTTTGTAGTACTGTACTAATGGTAGAGGTAGGGAGCCATGTCTCAAAACTTCCGAATAATTTTGTCAAATTTTCGGGGATGAAGGCCATTGGTGCCTGAAGTATGTGCATGAAGGAATTAATGGTTTGTACTACTCTTGGGGTCTTGGCAAATTTGAAAACTTTTCTTTGGTATGTTTGCTATCTTGATGATATTCCAAGGTGGATCTGCTGTGGTAGTTATGGTCCTTGTTAAATAAGCTATAGCTGTTGGATTATGTGGTCTTTACAATTATTTAAGGATTGGGAAAAAGAGATTTATCAATTTTTTTTATTATAAATAGCTTGTTAGTCTTTACAAAATAAATAAATTAACAAATTATATACAGTACATCAAGACGGATACAACCATTTCGTAGTTTATCCTAATACTCCATGAAAGCATCAAGTTGGTCTTCTGAAGCATCAGGGGAGTTAAGGTAAGTGTTGATCCTTTCATAATCTTAGATAACATATGAATGTGATGGAAGGGAAGAAAACATGACGAAGAGTTTGAGCTTTATTCCTCATGTTTCGTCAAGACTTTTTCAAAGGAATGAACACACAATACGGGTTTACTGCTATTTATACATCAATTTAGACCACGGCGATGGGCGGAGCTATGTCACACAAGGAGAGCTGGATCTCAGGGTGAAACATAATGGGTACTAGTTCAACATGGCTCAGGTACGTTAGGAATAAAGCTCCTTCCCTGTCATTTTTCCTTTATTATTATCTGTCCACTATGAACAGTTTTCAAATGAATATGATTCATACACTGAAAATCTGGTTGGTAATTAGCACCTAAAGTTCTAAACTTAATGAAACTCTGATCTCATCATTTTCATGAGTCCCTTTTTTCTGAACAACAAACCTATCGGAGAAGAAATAAGAGGGGCTAGGCATTGTTTAAGTCCACCACACCATTGTTTGAATCACATATGCACACTGATACCAAATATAAGTATGACTTTGACTCTTTTATAATGAGTGATAGTTAAATAAGTATACTGCACTAGTCATACTAAAATTTCAACACATGAACAACAGTGGAAAGTATAGAACAGTGAGTTAAAAAACTGTATTTACTTAAGACGCTGAAACAAGGTAAACCTTGGAGCGAGCCAATAATGTAGACCTACTTCGTGGGTCAGCACCCCAATGACATGCACTGTACCTAATAAGATAACTTATCTCCGCCCACAGGGGAACCTTTTTACGTGACTAGTTGACCTAGCAACCACACCCGCCACGTAGTGTTACTGTACGGACTTTGTAGGTAGCCTTGGCCTCCAGAAGTCAAATAAATGTCATCCCCCACAAGCAGACGGAAGCAGTTTCATCTTCCAGTCTGGGGAAGCATAAGTTGTCTTGGAGTCCAGTCATAGACACAAGGGGAGGATGTCACACATCGCAGAACTATTGGTGGTTAACACTCGAGTAGATGATTGTTGTTAAGGTAAAAGTAGTCTAAGGTTCTGTAGTTGGCAGTGCCCCTGTTGATATTCTATACTCACGTATCACCTCTCATGTGCCCTAGTGGTAATATATGATCGTTGTGAATTTTCCCCAATTCAAATGTTAATTGTGATGAGTTCATTTATCGTAATACAGTACAGTACTGCAAATAACATGTAACTTGGTGTTTGTTAAATATCAAAGAAATCTTTTCTCTAACCATCACAGATACATGGTGATTACTTATTTGACAACCAGTCATGCTACTATTTCTTAGCTTTCAGTCCCTCCCAAGATACTCTCATACCTTCCCCATTACACTCTTGTATTTTTTAAATACTTTCCTCCACATACAAGACAAAATCTTATGCATCTGTGGGTAATCCATGAGTTTGACCAAGCAGGTGATTAACAGCAGATAGCAAATAGTTTTTGCACTCGGATAAAAATGTGCATTTAACCAGGCATGAAATATACTTAGATAAAACCTGCAGGTACTGGGCAATAAAATGAACGTTTCCTTTTGGGAAAGAAAACTGAAAAAAAAAAAAAGTTGTCCTATGTTTCGATTTACATAAAAAAAAATCGAAGTTACAAATTTGGTTTTCGCTTTCATAATTTCTTTACAGGAGCGGAAGGTTGCTGATGCAAACATTTCCAGGCTTTCCAAAGTGGACCTGGTCAGTTTTTAAAGACATTAATGTATACTAAAACAATATACAGAACTCTGCTGTATTAAGAGTGGTTAACTAAATTTAAAATAAAATATATGTAAAGTTTTAGATATGACTCACGGGATTGTTATGTGAAGGAGTGACTAGATGCTGACTCAAAATACTTCAGTTGTGGCAATGCTGATGTGTTTAGTGTCCCAGAGTTTGATATGATGTTGATTGAAAAAAATTTAAATGGATAAGTATAAAATTTCTTCAAACAAAACCTCATCAAAAATCAAATCCAGTGAAAGCAAAAATCTCAAAATGTATATAGGAACTGTATGCCAAATAAAATCTGTAACTCTTGGCTGGGCCTCACAGTCTTGCACTACATCACAACCAGTGGCAGAGTTTCTCAGTATCAGCACATTTCGCGCACAACAATCTGACATCACAGACGATGGATATTGCAAAATGCAATATATCACTTGCTGGCAACATTTCTTGTTTTATCCATAGTAAGTACAATATTGTTATTGTGTGCACATTCAGAAGAAAATAGATTAATCTTGCGAACAATGTGTAGCAAGGTTCACGTTGCTCTTATGGTATAATCATTGTGCACACCAAAATTTTTTTTTAAAAACACGTTTTGTAGCATTTTCAGATGATCGGGGGGATTTCCGTTGGAACACATCTTAGTTGATATACTGTACTGTAATGAGGGTCTGGGAAAATAGGATCCAATTTATAAAATATTTTTCAGGAATGGAACCCTTTCATAAATTGGGTCACCTTGAGAAAGGTTTATCTATCCATGAAGTAAAGAATCATTTGCCCATAAAGGGGAAATGATAAGATAGATTGAATCATCACAAGTCAAAAAAGTATATTAAAGGTGACATATCTTCTGCCAGGCTGATAAAGGTCACAGAAATGGATCATGATGGTGTGTGACTATGGTACTATGGTGCTGATAAAATACAATAAACACAAACAAGATTAGAGATTTGAAAATAGTCAAATGCTTAAATGGTAATTGGTACATGAAACGCCCATTTTATGTACATAAGATGATAATTCATTGCTGTATTGATGAAACTATACTGCACTGCAAATTCACATTTATATGGTGGCAACAGAAATTTTGAAAGGTTTTACGTGGGGTGAAAAGCAATGCAACATTTGTCATGCTTAGTGAATGGGTTGTCACAGCTGTTTGTACTGCCTGTAAGGCCTAGAGCAGCTTTGGCTTGTACTCACCAAGGTGGTGACAGCTAACAGGTGTTATGTGTTAGTTTGCCATGGGATTGGCTGCAAGGACTGGGGCACAATGCCTGGCAAAGCCACCTCAGCCGGCTCCTTGATAATTCTTTTATAAAAGAGAGCTTATGCTTTAATTTTTTCAAAATCATGCAATTTGTACATTAATGTGCCTAAACACTGCTTAAAATGTCCAATTAACTTTGCAAATATTTCTCCTTTTTTATGAATAGAAGTGAGTAGTTTAAAAGTTTAAATACCCAATCAGGTTACTTATCCTACTTGCCTAGAAATGTGCAGTACAGTACGTTCATCCATGAGTCACGACACTATTTTCTATAACTGAATATAAAAATTATATGCATAAATCTGTAATAACACTTACAGTATCAGTGATGCCTGTAATACACTAAAATTGTGAGTGTTTAGTGAATTTCCACCAACCATTAAATTAAAGGATTGAGAGTGGGTGAAGTGGGTGACTGGTGTGTTCAGTGGTTCCCCCACTCCCAAAGTTAGTGTATTATCATAATAGTACTGAAATCAAGATGGTTTTCACTCCTCACAATTATAGAATGCTTAATCTAAAGTTACATCCATTAACAAGGTTCTACTCAGTGTAATGGAAATAAGTATGAATGCCACTTTAGTTTTTGTAACTGTAACAGGAACATCATCTATTTCCCATTGACCAGTTATGTCATCATGTCACAATAATTTTTCTCATATATTCATGTCATGTCTCCTGAAAAATTAATCTGGGCACTTTAGCCACAAAGTCATTGAACACGTTACTACTTGCTGATCCTGGCTACCAATATTACTTAACACAATTAAGTCATAGGGGTATATGCAAATACAGTACTGGTATACAGTATAGTACATTATGGGTAAAATTTCAAGTTTACACATTTTTTTTTAAGTATAGTACTGTAATGTTTTACTGTATGATAAATGGACTTAATTTGGAGTCCAGTCCTGTATCTTGAGTTATCTTCCTTAAGTACTACAGGAATCCTCTTTTCTCTTTCTTAAACAAGAGTCATTTCTAGGCTATTTCATAACTTAAGCTTTTGTTACCTTTTTATTGATTTTGATATATTAAGAAATCTTTTTCCAGATGGAACGTCTGCCTCTGCCCATTTCTAATGGATAATCTTACTTTGCTTTTGCCTTCTCAAACTTCATACTTATAGTGTTCCATTCAAGTATTACATTCTCCTTACCTCCAAAATGGTGGTTCACTTGTTTCACAAATTTATCAATGAACTCTGAAAGTGTGGGGTGGATCCATTATTAGATCAGATTTGTGTGTTACATATACTGCATTTACATTGATCCGTGTCGTCTTTCAGTAGAAAACCTGGTCGTTGATAACTGAAACTGCATTGATGGTGATACTGTACTATTACATAAATGATTACTCAACAAAATTGTATAATGATAGTCATGTGTTTAATGAACAGTCCGGTAATATGTACACCAGTCCAGTTATATGTATGATGACATTTCAGTTACATTATGATCACAGTCCAGTTAAGTTACAGGTATTATGGCAGTCTTTTATATGTATGAAAATGATATGTATGTTGATGATATGTATGACCATAATTATACAGTACAGTATGTATGAGGACCAATTGTCTGTACAGTATTATGACAGTGCAGTTACATTTACTAGTATGGTTCAGCATAATGAATATTAGGTAATGATTCTCAATATAAAGACATTTAAAACAATTCCAAAGTCATAGATATCAAAATACATGAACCATTTAGGCAAGATTTTTCCCTTAGACCTACAATCACAGCTGTAACCCATTGTCCATACCTCCATAATGAAGCTACAGTATTTAGGTAAGATCAGACTTAGACCTATAGCCATACCTGTGCCCTAAAACAAGTAATAATTCCCCTTCAACCATACCTTTGACCTGTGCCCTAAAACAAGTAATAATTCCCCTTCAACCATACCTTTGACCTGTGCCCTAAAACAAGTAATAATTCCCATATACAGTTCATAGTGTGTATGAATCTGTCCCTTATACCCTACATGTACTTATAACATAGTCTTTGGACACACCCCCAATTTCCTGTCACCATATCTTGATCTTTAGTCTTCTCAACCAAATATAGGATCTGCTTTGTTGTAAGTGACATGTGTGATATTTGTTGTTTCAAAATAATCTTAGAATATTCATTTGGGTAAAACGAAATTCAAAGTTTGACTTATTGTGCAACTTCTCTGAACTTTTCATGTGTGTTTGGTGCTTTGATATATTCTTAATGTGATCAGAGAAACCATTTTCTATTAACAGACATTCTGTAATATCTTAATATTGTTCTTCCCACTCGGAAACAGATATTATGATAAGACAGATTATTATTATTATTTTGTACATCAATTTAACTCGTGTGAAATGTCACCGGCCGTCAGGCACAGAAGACTGCCTTGGATATTATTCATATTTCTGCAAGTAAGATCTTGGTTGTAATGGGCAGAGCAGTATTCCTTGAGTGAAAATGCTCACACACACACATATATATATATATATATATATATATATATATATATATATATATATATATATATATATATATATATATATATATATATATATATATATATATATATATATATATATATATATATATATATATATATATATATATATATATATATATATATATATATATATATATATATATATATATATACATACAGAGTATGTATGTGAAGCACAATAACCAGTTCAATCAGCAGCAGTAATTTGCAGTTAATTATGTCATTTTGTCTGTCATCATGTCCATAGAAATGCCATCATAATGCCATTTTCTAGTTTCAATCATAGTCACTGTCGTCACTTCAAATATACAGTATGTTACCTTATACACATATCAAGTTCTGTCACCTTCCTCATGTCTTTAAAGTTTCACAAAAACAGCATATGTATAAACAGTTACATATTAAATAAGCCTTTGGCAAGTTTTAGCCTTCATTAATACATAATTGTCCTATCACAGTTACTTGGATTGAGCGAATTTCAGATCTTAGGATACACAGTTGTCCTTCATTGTTCCTCCTGAAATCTAGTTTATTTGAGCTGATCATCAAAGCTAATTTTATTCACCTCAAAAAACTATCATCAGTTTTCATATTTGTACGGTTGTCTTAAATTTTTTTTTTTTTTGGTTCTTGACTTCAAAATCAATTGTCTGTTGTCAACCATAAACTGTGACTGCATGTATGTCATGCCCAAAGTTGTGATAGTATTTCCTAACATTTAATTAAGAGTCAAAATTAGTCACTAGTCTCTTGTTGTGAATCAGTCATGAGGCTCGGTCACAGATTGCTGTTTGATTTGCACTTGTTGATTCTATAATATTAAGAATTTATTTGATGCAGAAACTTGAAGCAGTATGGAAGTAAATCCTATGCTTGTAATTTCTGACACAATGTTATTTGGCTGTTTGTGGATCAAGTCATATCAAAATTGCTCCGGAGGAACTTTTAACAATTGATCGAAATGAGATTGACACCTCACTTTAGTAGCTTCATATGGAACCAAATTGTTCAAATTGATAATCAGCTAAGAGCAAGAGCATATGGCTGAATTGGTGTCAATTATGCAAGCACAGGTGCCTTGACCCAGTAGCTACGGACAATGCCTGGCGTCTGCACATTTAGCTTGGAGGAAAACTGTACCATCTGGTCATCTTGCACCTCACCCATTCTGTCACTGATTACACCTGTAACCACCTCTTCCTCCATATCCGTAGCTGGTGCCTTAATAATTATTTCAGGAATATTTTCCTTTACATATGACACTACAGGATTGAGGGCAGCACCTGGACCTTCTGCAGGTGTGGGTGGCACGCCAACTACTTTCCAACCACTATATGAGGCAGACTCGATAACTGGTGCCTTAAAGGTTTTACGGTCTCCATGTGTACTTGGAACACGTGCATAGTGTGTGCTATATTCGGTGATGAGTAAAGGAGTAATTGCCTCTGTGGCTGTGGGTAATGTGGTTGGCTGGGTTGTGGAAGGTGGACTTGGTCGGGTGGCACTCACAGGTAGTGGGGTAGTGATGGTGGTGGTTGTGTGCTTATATACAGGTCTTAACTCTGTAGGTTTTGGGTTTCTAGTAGAAAGCAGAAGTGAACGTTGTGTCGCAGGCAGACCTGAGGATGGTGCAGGGGCTGGAGGTAGAGCAGAGGATGGGGATGGAGTTGTCGCTGGTGTTTCAGGTGGGGTTGATGATAAATGTGGATGTGAGACATGGACTGGTTGTGGTCTGTTGGCTTCAGGTAGCCGAGTTAATCTGGGTGGTAGAGCATGTGGTGGAGGTGGTAGCAGGCTATTAAGAGGTCTGTCAACTCTAGTAGGGTTTGGCCAATGAGAATGATGCCTGATGGTCTTTGTAGGTGTATATTGAGCTCCTTGATTTGCCACTCGGACATGTCTATCAGCAGCTGCAGATGTAGGTTTGGATTCACCAAAGCCAAGGAAGGACCAAAAAGAGTTGGTGGCTGACTGAGGTGATGGTACACGTCGGGAGGCATAGTGTTGTTGGGGCAAGATTGGCACTGGAATGGGAATGATTCCAGGTGGAAAAAGTCCATTTGTATCTTGACCTGATCTCTCTACACCAGACATGGAAGGAAACCTAATCTTGCCTGCAATAATTGCTTCTTTGTGCTCATCACTGACCTCTTCCACAGTATTTGTGTTGTTGGTGATGGAGAAGTCCTTTGAAGACACAGTAGAAACATCCAAAGGCACTCTACTGGTTGTGCTACCTGTCATCTCTCCACTAACGTTAAATGATGAGCTGACATCAGTAAGAATTCTATGTGTCTGCGTGCCATAAACTATGGGATCTACAGGACGTCCATATACAACAACTGGTACTTTCTTCTTATCTTTCTTCGTATTACTGTCTACTGGTGAAGTTCGTAATGGTTTTGACGATTTCATTACTAGAGGCTGAGGAGTAGGAAGTGATGGAGGGGCAATGCGGTTAACTCCCTCTACTGAATATGTCCGTCTAGAGATTGAAGGTTGAGATTTTACTTCCACAAGAGGCATGGTGACAAGAGTCTTCTGGCTAGGGGGGGCTTCCTGAATTTTAAGTGGTGGGGGTGAAATTCTGCGACTTGGTATAGGTGGGGGAGGAGGAGGAGGCAGAAGGGATGGATCCTTAAAAGTGATAGGGGGTGGAAGGTCTCTGTCAGGCAAGTTAATGACTGGTGCACCAGGTGGTGGTTGTTTGAATGGTCCAATTACCATAACCTTCTGTGCATGTTTGGGGATGGGCCCATGTCTCAATTGGTACCGAACAGCACCATTATCTTCAGTCAATCTGTTGGGCAACTTGTTTCCGGCACTATTTGTCTCCAGCAAAGGACCTGTCTCACCACGCCGACGGTTTACGGGAGGGCGACCAAAAAAATTAAAATTTTCAAGGAAAGATGGACGTTTACTTAGCACTGGTCGTCTGTCAGGATGTAATGGCCTTGGCCGAGTCGTGAATACTCTTGCTGGATGGTCCTGGAAACCAAAGGTTTCCCGCTGGGGAGGTGCATTGGGGCGGAACTGAGGGAGTACATTTGGACCAGTATCATCCAGCTGGGGTCGGATTAGATTTTCATCTTGGGAAGGACGTCCTGGCAAATTCTCGGCTTCTGCTGGTAAAGTAAAGCCTGGCTCAGGCTGATCATCTAAGTCCTGAGGGTGGGGTGGGTGAGTGCCAGCAGCAGGGACTATCTGGAATGGTGGGTATAGCTGAGGGGCTTCTGGATTAATCTTGAAGCCATGATGAGGACGGGACTGTGGAGGACCGAAAGGCACCGAAGACAGGACAGAATGTTGAGCCCCAGGTCTTGAGAAAGGTGCAGGAGGCCTGAGAACAAACTGGGGTTTCTGAGGTCGTGAACTTTCCTGAGTAGGTCGTTGGCGGTGGGATGGCCCAGAAGATTGTTCTTGGAATCCAGGCAGGGGTGGCAGAAAGGGTGAAGAAGAAAGTGGCCTGGGTGGTGGTGGTGGCAAAGATGGGCGACCAGAGAGAATAGATGGAGGTGGTGGTCGACGAGGTTGAAATGGACGCTTGGGTGGCTGTGGAGGGGGTGGCAAAGAGGACAGCAATGGTGCAGGAGGGCGAGTTGCTTCAATATTGAGGGTGGGCACTGGTTGTGGCTGTCTAGTGGGAAGGTCATATGCATTTACAACTGGTGGCAAAGGTTGTGGAACACTTGGGGGGGAAACGTTCAGGTTGATCTTTATCAATCAAAGGATGGTAGCTGGTAGGCTTCTGTCTTGGTGGGAGGAAGGGATCAACCTTGGATGGACGGAAAGTTTGATCCTCTCTTTGTCTATCAACAAGAGAGGGTTTTGGAACAGTACTGGAAAGTGGATTTGGCTTCTCAATTGATGAAGGCACAGCCTGCTCAACTGGTTTTGGATGTAACTGAGGATTTCTTGAAGGAATTCGTGTTCCATAGGGATGGACAGGCTTTTTAGGGGTTGATCTTGGTGTTACTTCAACTGTCTCAAGCCAAAAGTCTGGCTGAGTTGTGGTTTGTTGTGTAACAGGAAGAGGTGTGGTGGTAGGCTGCAGTGTGGTAGGTCTATGTGTAGAAGAATGAGGTGAGGTAGACGGAGGAGAGTGAGGTGTAGTCCAGGGACCTGCAGTTGGTCGACGTGTATACCTCAGTGGTGGGATGTTAGAGGGAGGGGAAAGCCAAGTGTATGTTTCTGAGTGAATTGGCTGAGGATGAGCAGATGTGTAAGTAGGATCTGGTCGAGTAAGAGGATGCTGGGGCACACTGGTGGACGGAGGGCGGAAAGGTAAATGTGCTGGATGTGAGCGGTAAGGTGGGGATGTAGGTCGAATGTGAGCATCCTGTGTTGTGGGTTGTAGTCGGGTATTATATGGTGTAGGTCGAGGTCGAATACTCTGTGTTGTCGGTGGGGTAAGAGAAATATGAGTTATAGGTGGCTGAGTAGGAAGGGTCTGAGTAGTGGAAGGAGGCCGAGTAGTGGGAGGAGGCCGAGTAGTGGGAGGAGGCCGAGTAGTGGGAGGAGGTTGAGTCGTGGAAGGAGGTCGAGCAGTGGGTGGAGGTTGAGTCGTGGAAGGAGGCCAAGTAGTGGGTGGGTCAGTGGGGCGGTAGGGAGAATAAGATGATTTAGTAGTAATGGATGTGGTTGTGATCTGAGAATTATCTACAGGCTTCCTTGTAGCTTCAGTGAACTCATGCATTGGTTTGTAAACAACCTGTGGGGTGTCCTGGTTAACTCCTGTTCGCACCTTGTTGTTGCCCTGGATCTTGGTACTGGCATAGCCCTTGGAGATAAGTGGGCCAACTGGATGGTAGCGATGGTGAGGGCTGTAGGATGTTCCATTAGAGTAGGTATGCAGGGGGATCTCCAGCAGTTCATAGAACTGTGGTGGAAAAAGTGAGAAGGGATTAATCTCATTGTCTTCCGGAAGGACGAAGGTAGAGCCTGTCTCACTGGCAGAGTTGGACTGATTAGAACCAGGAGGTACCGTCGTCACCAGAGGATACCTGAAAATATACGTGTTGTTAATTCATGTAAGGTAATTAAGGGTCATATACAATCCATACTATTGACTTAATGTTAGTACAGGGTAGTTATTACTGTACCAGTAATTGGAATAAGAACAAATTCCCCAACTCCTGGGTGAACACTGTTATGTTCAACGTAACTCCTGGGTGGTAGACAACACAACTAAGTTTTAGAGATAATGCTTCAACATTTATGAAAACTACTGTATTCTTATTTCTATTGAAAGAGAGATTCTTTACAAGATAATAAAGCTCAGCCCATTCTCAGAGGAGGAAATATAGATTAAGTAATACTGGATGCACTTCTAGATCACCAATTTTAAGTTTACTGAACCACTCGAGTGAAATCCTTAATAAACAATGCAACGGCACTCAATTAGGTATAGCCACCTCCTAGTAATAAGGGACTTCACTTCTGATAATATCAACTGTAACAATGCAAGTACTACTGTACATTGCTTGACCTTAATAACTCTACAACTATTTTTGTAGACAATCTGAGAGGCAATTTCCTATTACGATATGGTAAAATCCAACTCCTTTGGGGTAAATAAACACCAAAACCACTGGACCTCAGCAAAACTAACAAGGAGGGTATGATGGCCAGATTTAAGCATTTATACAATACTGGTACTAGCCATCACAGGATGTTGTCTTTCAGATTTAATTTTTACTTGGTACGTGGCGAGAGCATGCCAAGGCTCAAATACTACAATGGTGATTACAACAGAATCAAGAAGCATTCACTGATCTGACTTTTTAAAACAATAAAGACATGGTCACATAGCATATTCTGTTGATCAAAATCGCTGAAACCATTTCATTGACAGGCAGTAAATTGGTGATTTTGTCAACCCAGTGATCACACACACACACACAAAAGATCTACCATACAGGCTGCCGACTTTCAGCAACCAAAACAAGCAATGGCATCTACGTACTGTAAGTGACTGCAGTGGCTATCATTGCCTTAATAACATACGCAGTTCAATTATAGAATGTTAAACACAAGAATAAAAAGTGTGGTTAAGTTCCTCATTGGCAAGAAGAGACCGCAAAAGTGTTTACTATAATTATCTATTACAAGAAGTTGGTTTGGATACCTCAAATAATTCTATGATTTTCATGGCATAAGCAAGGTCAAGTTTCAGGAATTATTACGCCTAATGATACCACTCGTAGCTAAGAAAACATATTTACTTGGAGAATGTAGAGTTGAAGATCAGATACCCGCGTCGCTGTTTCATTGTGTTAAATGATTTCTATTTTAGCAATACTTTCATAATTTTAGCTTTTATTTCATACACGTAATAATGAAAAGATGTTTCAAACTATGACAAATTTTAGCCACTACCACTTTTCCTAGCTATTGTCAAACCTTTTTATCACCTATCAAACTTGTAGCCAGGTGTTCCAAACACAGTACCTAATTACTGTACAAGTATCCTCTGACTATTTATCAACCTACCGTCCAGCCATTGCCAATCTTTTAACTACCTGTTAACATCAACCTTCAAGTCTCTGTCTACTTTCCAGCCATCTGCCAAGTTTCCAATCTGACCCACCTGAAGTTGGCCTGGTCTGCCTGCTTCATCACAGCGGAGAGGAGTGTCGGGTCAGCGTATGAGGGAGCCGAGAAGGAATCAGGCAGGTTGTAGCCCTGTGTGAAGGTATGACCATAAATTACACTACAAAGGTTACAAGGATAAGACTATAACTTGCAGGGATGACAAGGATACGACTGAATTACAGGGTTCACAAGGTTAAGACTATAAATTACTCCAAAGGATAAAATCATACTGTATATTTCTCCACAGGATAAAATCGTAAATTACTCTACAGGGACCTCAAAGATAAGACCATAAATCGCTCTACAAGGCAAAGACTGACGCAGGTTCAGATACATTCTGGAACCTGCCAGTGCATGCCCAGTACGTACTTGCCCCCAAAAATGTAACCAACTGCCCAAGCAGCTAACAGGCAGTTCAGTGGTGAAGAGGATAAAGTAAAACCATAAATAAATCTACAAGGATAAAATCGTAACTTAGTCTACAGGGGTCATTACAATAATATCTCGACTATTCCCTGAATTAACTTTCAAATTGATCATATTCATTATTCTAGGTTTCTCTGGACACTATGGTAGTCTCAAGAGTAAACCTATGATGTAAACACGTACTCAGGGTGATGTGACTGAGTAATCCGAAAACGTCAGCTGTCAGCAATCAGAGTAACATCAGAAATAAAACAATGTCAGCAGTGGGACTCACCGTAACAGCATCACCGGAGGGGGTGTCGTTAGCATCAGCATCGGAAACGTAGTTGGGTAGTTCGTCAGCTTCTCCAAGTGACAGGACACGACGGTTGTTGTGTGGTAGAGAGTCATACAGCGGGTGTCGTGGGAATAAATTGTGGACCTGATCCTCTCTGGAATAACTGTCTATGCTGTCGTCCGCAGCAGAGATCCTCACTGTAAGCAGGGCTAGGGTGAGTAGCCCCACTGTCAGCGTCTCCCTCATCTGTGACAGAAGAGAGGAAATTAGCACAAAACCTATCACAGATGTTGTGTTGTGTCCTTGCTGGTGTTGAGTAATCCTGATTTGTCTGTGTTTGTAACTACTGCAAATCTATAATATCGACCTCTCTCTCTCTCTCTCTCTCTCTCTCTCTCTCTCTCTCTCTCTCTCTCGTCTCGCCTTTTCATTTGCAACCGCTGTTGCACAAAATGCACTGTATGTTAAGGTATTATGGTGATCACATTCTATCACTACACGGGACTTAGTATATTTGTTCCGGCTATCTTAATTTCTACTCAGCCAGGTACTCAAATTTTCAGGAGGGTGGAGTGAGATCCCCCCTCCCCCCAACCCCCCCTCTTACTTCATTAGAACAATACTTTCACGAGAACTACCGCATCGAAAGTAAAATTGAGGTTAGGATCCTTACAGTGTGACAGATCCGTTGAGTAAGCTCCATTCTTTTCTTCACGAGTCCGCGTGTATGATGTTACTGTACTGAGTTTGTTTATTGCTACAGTATTTTATTTTAAAGGATCATCCTGAATGAAAAGAAAAAAAATATAATGATAGAGTTTTATGACAGGCGGTGAATCATTGTTAATACTATATGCTAATTCCGGGCCTTCGTTAATCCTTTATGAAAACAGGAGAGGAAATAAGCATCGGGACGTAGCATTTTACCCCAGGAACACGAAAAAAACAAAACGTAATTTTATGAGGTAAAGCACTACGGTTTATGAAGCTCCTGTCGTGTAATGGTTCTGTTGCCAGTTTGTGTATATTAATATCAATAATGGCCCCTTGAGAGGAAGTGACGTGGAACTGTGTTGGTGATTCTGTTATTGGTGATTATGCAAGGTACTGTTACTCTACTCTGCATATTTACGTCTCGATTCCTTCCTATAGTATGTTTTTTATTTTTATTTTTCGCTTTTAATATTACTGCATATCCTCTGCGTCTATGTAAGTTATGTTGCAATTATAGAAGTTATTTGTGTTCTGTCATTCCCTCTCCCCCCTGAACAGTGACCAGTGACCGGGCGGGAGTATAAGCGTCACCCAGGAGGATTGTGGGTCAGGGAGGGACTACAGACGCTACGCTACTTCTACTGTACTTCAGCACTCCCCGCTTCCCACATCCACCCCTACCACCCACAACGTATACTCCTTCAATAATAATATTAATAATAAGAATAGTAGTGGTGGTTTTAACAATCCCTCCTCAACTTCTACTATTACTACTACCGATCAGAGGGACGGGTGGGGGTGGAGGAAGTCCAGGGGCTGTGTGTAGGAGGGAGGGGGCGGGATATTTCCTGGGGGTGGTGGGGGGGGGGAGGCGAAAGTGGAGAGGGGGAGAAGAGGAGTCAGACACTTTATGGATGGATATGAGTTCCAAATACATCGACCCTGGCCCAAATACATCGACCAGGACCCAAATCCCACAGCCACACTCCTCCTCACAAGACCATGGTCATGTACCTGGATGACTCCAAGGTGATTCGGCTGCGCCCGGCTGAGAAAACCTGCCCGAAAAAACTCAACTTCCTAGTTTTTTAACTCTGAAGGGATCAAGGGGGTGACAAAAGTAGAACGCCTGAAGCTGTACGGAGACCTAAAGATCACTTTCGCCGACTACGGCCAACCCGCACAACTGTCCTCCCACGCCGAAATTGAACACCTGAACCGAGACGATATTGACAAACCACCCCTGGATCAGCTCTGGTCGGACACCACGAAACTCTGCCCCAGGAAGTCCAACTGGCCAGGGAAACCGTCCAGTCACTTCCTAGTGCCGACCCAAGTGTTGCTTCAAATGCCAGAATTCCGAACACACCGTCAACAAGTGCAAGGCGCAGGAGGATGTATGCTCCCTCTGTGGTATCTCCGGGCACCGCTACACCACCTGTCCCAACGCCGAGAAAAAGTGCGCTGCCTGCGGCGGCCCACGCTCCTCTGCCGAGTCTTACCGACCGGACCTGCCCCAAATGGGAGGAGGAATGCAGGATAGCCAAGGTTCGATTCAACAAGAAACTAAGTTACAAGGAGGCCCTCCTTGCAGTACACGCCCAAGACAAGAAAAAACAAGAAACCAAGAAACAAGAAGAAAAGAAGACCCAAGAAAAGACACGCGTTACCAAGAGACAAGAAGACCGCGAGACCCCAGGGGCAGGACACCTCATCACGATCACCTCCTCCGACTTCCTCCACGTCTACGAGCAACCAGGACACGAAGAAGAACAGGACCTAGACACTAGCGAATGGACGGACCAAGAGAGCAAAAAGAGGAGGAAAAGAAGATCGTCAACTTCAAGCTAACAAGGCCCCCATAACAAGCAAACAACACCAAGAAAACATCACACCCAATCAAACCGACCAAGAACCGAGAAACCATTGTCCAACCTGAAAGCGCACCTGACGTTCACCTGACTCATGGTCCTGCCCCCTCCCCGCCGCGTCCAGGCAAGTTGCCGCTGCCTCAAACCTACAACCCCACACCACGCAAGCTGTGTTAAGCCACGGCACCTGTCCCCTCCCACTAAAATTCCCTTCCATCCTCTCTCGAAGCTTCCACTGAACCTCCTTCCCCCCGTCGCTAGCCTTTATCCTATCCATCCTTTATCAATCGTGACAGTAGACTTAATGACGGGCTACTTACTGATGGTGACCGACCTAAGGTATTATACGTCTTGTCACACACTGTTACAGCTGTTGTGTTCAGTGTTACAGGGAATGTAATACCTGAAGCTATCATTTCTTAATAGCCTTTTGAAACGTAGCATGACCTGATCTGACCTGACTTATCTACAGAGACGATGTTCTTTAGACAGGAATTGTTATACTATAGACGTAATGTTCTCCTGTAGACACATAGATCTGCAGATGTACAGTACAGTGTTGTACAGATTGACCGTGTCCTACAGCAGACCGTGTCCTCCTACAGCAGACCGTGTCCTCCTACAGCAGACCGTGTCCTCCTACAGCAGAAGGCCGGCAGTCAATCGTTCTGCCCCAGTTAGTGTGTTGTTATTATAGAGTGGCGGCGGTCAACACTGCGTCCCGATCCCTGCTTCATGGCTTACACACACACACACCACTGATGTACTGTACTTACAATCTCCTTAACCACAGGATATTGTGCCTACTATTGCCTCTGATGACCTCCCTAATTACCCTTATTTCAGTGTGCTTACTTCCTCTCAAACCAAAAGAATGTGTACACTATATCGATAATTTTAATTACGAATGTTCCATTACTGTGATTGGACAAAACCGTTATGTATGTGGACAAAATATCAAAAGGCGAACATTTTTAAAACCCTGATGTCTTCTGTGTTATCCCGTGGTACATATTACTGACTGATTATGTTACTGTAATATAATTAATTGGACTGCGTCGTTATGCATATAGACAAAGTACAATCTCAATACTGTACTCGTCATGTGATGTAATCGTGTATCAAGAACCGGGAAGTGGGGGAAGAGTTGTCAAATAAGCGTCGTTAGTCAGCCGTGGAGGGCGGAAAGTCCACCAATCATAAATTATGGAATGAAGCACGACCATAATAAGCTTCTGTACACTGTAACCCGGAAACTAGTACGAGTGTTAATAGGTTGTGTTACTGTTTGTATTTATGAGTCATTTGTATTCAATAGGTGTCAGTGTGTCATCACAAAATCAACTCGTCCAAACAGTTTTCAGCGGAATTACACGTTGTCAGGTGTTTTGTGGAAAGGTGTGTGTGTGTGTGTGTGTATGTGTGTGTGTTGTCTCATAGTTCATCTTTACCTTACTTATAGGGCCATGTGCGTCACTGAACATCATTTGTTAAGTCGGTCTTTCGGTCTTACCAAAATGACCTTCAAACTAAGGGCCGGACCGAAGTCGCCAACCACACCTATACATTATGTTGATCATTATCTTACATATTGTACCACTTGTTAAAAGCCTCAGTGTGTGTGTGTGTGTGTGTGTGTGTGTGTGTGAAGATACAATCAGACCCGTTAGTCCAACACACCCAAGGTTCATTATTTACCTCGTGTGATACAGAGTGGGAACTGGGTCGTGGGCAGGGACACTGAATATTAATCGAGATGCGAACTTGTACTGTTTCTGGTCAACTCTATATGATAGTGAAGATAAGCTACGTGTAATATTGTTGCTATTATTGGTGTGGCATTCTTACCCAACCCATCCCAACGCAACCTAACCTACACACACACACACACACACACACACACACAAAATGGGTCGACGATCTTGTCCTGTAAACCCGTGAGGCAGAGCTCGGAGGGACTATGTAACAGTATGTACTCTTGTCATGAAACGAGGGGTTAACTTTCACCTGCCGACGCGAGACAACCTGGGTCATGTAATTCACGATAACTTTACCCCTCTGTGTCCTCCAGTCAACCATTCAACCATTTTTTTATCCAGTCTAAAAAAAAACTGTCATGTGCCAGAGTGCCATTACCCTCTAAATCTATGCCAGGTATATGGGGAACAAGCGGGAGGATGGTTTCTGTTTAATGACCTTTGATGGACAGATTTAAGGACAGACAAAATATTATCCAGACGGCAGAGAAATCCTAGAGTTCCGTGTTGTTGTTGTCGTTGTTATTGTTGTCGTTACTGTTGTTGTTGTTCTTGTTATTGGTGTTGTTCTTGTTATTGTTGTTGTTATTATTGTAGTTGTTGTTTTTACTTAGATACAAAAAATATACCACAAGGCTATACCGGTCCCCACACTTATCATACTTACTGTGTCTGTAACCTTGCAATCAGATCCCAACGTAGCCTAACCTAACCACGTGTACCCTGGGCTGGGCAGATATACTGTATGTTAATTGTCACCCTCTAATAATTACTTCCTCTAATGCTTTTTCTTTTGTGTTTCATACCCGTTTTCTGCGGAATATGACCGTGTGTCGTTCATTCGTTCTACCTGACCTCCCGTGGACCGTGACTGGCAACACTGCTAACTATCCTTGTCTGCTCT